GCCGGGGCTTGTGCTGCCCTGTGGCCAGCAGTGCACACCCTCCGGCCCTTTGCAGGAAGTGCTGGTAGAGCTGGCAGCACCAGGCTTGTAGGAATGTACGACCCAGCCCCAGCTGTCGCACCATGCTGAACTCAGTTTTGCGGATGGTGGGTCTTCCCCTGGACTGACTGTGGCTGGAAGGCAGGTGCGGGCCGGAGCACGCAGTGGTCCTTGTCAGCATTGGTGACTGAGGAACGGACCGCGTGGGATCGCGTCCTGCGTCCTGAGGGTGGCGGAGCACATGGGAAACAGGAGAGGTTTTTGGTCAATGTTACTGGGACCAGGAGACCTGTGAAGAGCTGGCTGCTGGCAGCATTGGGATAAAGGAGACTTCTGTGCAGCTGGCCAGGGGCTGCCTCCCGCCTGGGGTGACTTATTCCAGAGCCAGTGCGCCTCTTTCCTGTCTGTGGGCCTCCCCCCCGCAAGATAAGCAGCAGCAGCCTGGAGTTGGGTCCTCTGGGCACGAGGTCTAGGCCTGGTCATGTCCTCCCTGGGCGTAAAGCCCAACACAAGGTAGTCCCGTGACCTTGGACGAGGTACTTCTATATTCTGACTGCATCTTAGTGTCCGTCTCTGTAAAGCAGGCTGATGACATAGTGTTTTCCAGAAAGAACTGTTGTGAGGGGTCCTCAGTGAGGTGTGGGTGCTCAGCAGGGGGCCTGGATCTCAGGAATGCTGGAGGCCACTTTGATAGCCTGAATGGGTGGCCGCAGTGGCTCCCCAGGGAATGACTGCCATCCCAAGGCCGCCCTGTCTGGCTGGGTGGCTGACACTGGCTGGTGCCCAAGCCAGAGTGAAATGAATCCTGTACCGGAAATGGCTTTCGATAAGGTGGAGTGCAGGCGATTTTCTCGGGGTTGGGGTGGGGGTGGGGGACAGCGAGCTGGCAATCCCGCAACCTGTTGGGCAGGTGGACTGCTGTCTGGGGGCGGCTGGTGTGAGTGCCTCTCTGGGAAGGAGGCCTGCCCCTCTCAGCAGGTCTTTACGTGACTTGCCAGAACACGCAGACCTGAAACTTCTTAAATGTCCTTCTCTTCCCTCCCCAAAGCTGCCTGCGCTGGGTTTTAGGTGTGTCCCCTGCCGAGTGGCGGCATTTTCTCCCAGGCCACCATTTCCACATGCTCTGCCCCGGCAGTGCCTCCGGAAGGGGGGGTGGCAGGGAGGGTTGCACGCAGGCGGACTCCCAGGCCGGCACATGTGGCTCACATGTGTTTGTGTGACACCGTGGGTCCCAGTGAGGTTTTGCTGGAGGGAAACCACACATGGACTCCGCTGCCTACAACAGAGAGGGAAAGCCGCCTGCACGGGAGGCAGGCTGGGTCTGTGCCTGCCCTGAGCACCGGCGCCTCCGCCAGCTCTCGGGCGTGAGTCACACTGGCAGGAGCTGGCCTCTGACCCGGAGAAAGCTCCTCTGACCCGGAGAAAGCTCCTCTGACCCGGAGAAAGCAGAGAAATGCCCTCTCTCACCTCCACGCTCCTGACTCACCCTGCCGCCTGCTCTTTGCTGCACTTCTTTCCGCCTGGGCCACGAGTGGAGTGTGTGTGTGTGTGAGAGAGAGAGGGGGGGGGGGGGGATAGGGGAGGAGCCAGACAGAAATCCAGCAGGTCTTTGGAAGCTAAGTCCCTGCTGACAGGCAGTGCTCCTGGCCTGATGTTTGTGGAAACCAGCGGGGTAAGCGGGGTAGCCAGATGGGTGTGGGCTGGGCGAGGCCCCTGTACGACACTGCATACAATTGGGGGGAACCGGGTGATGGTATCTGCGTTTTGAATTTGGGTCCAGTGAAGTCTGGCTTCGTGACAGGCCGGCGTGAGTCTGTTAGCTGCGTGAGTCTGTTAGCTGCGTACGTGCTTTGTGGGCCTGGGGTCTGTTCCTCGGGGGGCTGACTAACTGGCCAATCGCTGCCCCAGGGGAAGCTGGGCGGGAAGACCTCCGCCTAGCTGTGGAAGGTTAAGATGAACAAGTATCAGCTCCTCCCCCACGCGCTGTTGCCGTAGCAATGGTGACTCAGTGGCACTGGCTGGCAGCACCAGGCTTGTAGGAATGTAGGACCCAGCCCCAGCAGTCCTGAGACGCTGCTTTGACTGAAGCATTTGGAACTGGCTGGCACGTTTGGAATCTAGTTTTTGACGGGGAAACCGAGGCCCAGAGAAGCCAGTCGTGTGTCCAACTAGTGCAGAACTCGGTTAAGAAATTGGGGGTGAGGGGTCTCTCTAAGGAAATCGTTCCTGCAGGTTAGTGCGGACCTTTGTGCAGTGTGACCCCGTCTGGTGTCCTGAGCCCCTCTGTTGAGCCTCTGATGGGAGCTTTTCGTCTGAACACAGTAGGTGATCAGTTCCTGCTTGGTAACTGGTCTGCTGAGAGGACAGGTGCAAGCACCTCACACCTCCCAGACAGTCTGACTTCCCCGGAGGGCTGCTCCTGTTGGCCAGCTTCCTCCTCTTTCTCTTGTTCAGTGGGCCAGCGCCGTGGTGGCCAGCCTGGACCGGGGAGTTCTCGGAGGAGGTCTGTTCGCAGGAAGACACTGAGCTGTCTGTCCAGTCTGGCCTCTGCCTGGGCGGAGCCTGAGGGAATTCGCACTGGCCGGAGTGGAGTTTGGACTTGGATTTTAAGGAGCCTTTTCAGCAAGTGCTTTCTGGTCAAGTCTCAGAATCACAGACACTGGACTTTTAGCAATCACGCATGATAGCATTTAATGTGGAAATTTGGTGATCTGGAATGGCTGGTAAAGGATTTTGCCTTCTCTTGCCTTTGCCAATTTGGTGTTTAATTTAGTAAGAACTAGCCATGTGGATATAAATTAATGACGCTCAACCTGCAGTCCTATGAGGGGTGTGGTGGGAAGGAGGCACCCCTGGTTTTATTTAGAAATGTTTGGAGGCCAATGGTCGGGTGAAAGCTGTGGCTGGGGAGAGCCCAGAGGTAGCTGCAGTTGAGCATTTTTCATCATTGTGCCAGAGTGAAAGATTCCAGAACATGCTGCTTGTAATTAGCCCCGTTGACTGTGGGTGGGCCCCTCACTTCTGTGGGCTGGACGTTGTAAGCTGGGGGTGTGTCCAGCTTGTCCTCTGATGTACATATCCCAGGCCCATAAGAAAAATATGTTGAATAGCCCTGCCAGTTTGGCTCAGTATAAAGAGCGACAGCCTGCAGACCAAAGGGTCCCGGGTTCGATTCTGGTCAAGGGCAGGTGCCTTGGTTGCAGGCTCTTCCTCAGCCCAGGCCCTGGTCGGGGCTCATGCAGGAGGCAACCAATTGATGTGTTTCTCTCACATCGATGTTTCTGTCTTTACCTCTTCAGTTCTCCCCCCCCCCCAAAAAAAAAAAAATCAATGGAAAAATATCCTGAGGTGCTGATTGACAACAACAACAAATTTGTTGAATAAACGAGCGTATTAGCTTTCTCTTGTTGCTATGGACATCACCGCACATCAGGGACATAAAACACACAGCTGGTTCTCTGGCCGTTCCTTCGTCTCAGGGTGTCCACACACCGTGCTCCTCTGGAGGCTCCGGCGAGTCTGTTTACTTTCTTTTCCGGCTTCTGGAGGCCCCTCCTCTGCCCGCGGCCTCTGCCATCCTAAAGCGCATCACCCACTGCCACGTGGCGACCCCCCTCCCGCCTCCTCTTCTAAGGACCCTGTGATGCCATCGGGCCACCTGGATAATCCAGGATCCTCTCCCCGTCTCAGACCCCGAGTGTAGTCACACCTGCCCAATGCCTTTGACCGTGGCCGTGACATGTTCCGGGTTCTGAGGATGAAAACACCCCACTTTGTTGTAGGAGAAGGAAGTGCTTCCTGAGCAGCCCTGCAGAGCCCATGGCTACCCCCTCCTGGTGGATAAAAGGCGCATTTCTGTTCTGACACCCCTCCCTCCCCCGTGCCTTTTGGTGGCTTCTGTTTGTCCCCCTGCTAGAGCTTTTGGCCTCTCCCGGGATGGGGACCTTTGAAAGGGCTTGTTTTAAGACTTTTTCTTTTATTTCTCTTTAATATTTTTATTGATTTCGGAGAGGAAGGGAAAGGGAGAGATAGAAGCATCACTGATGAGAGGGAATCATTGATGGGCTGCCTCCTGCATGCCCCACACGGGTTCGAGCCTGTAGCCCAGGCGTGGGCTCTGACCAGCCCCTGATGCTCAGCCCCTGAGCCACGCGGGCTATGCTGGAGGGAGTCTTTATTTCCACAGTTAATGGCCTTGAAGCTGAACAGCAGCCATGATTTCACCTGAATGTGCTTGGGTTTTCTGGAGAAGGAGATGTTTTGGCACCGCTGGTTTAGAACTGTGATTTTGAGTAATTGCTTCTGGATCTGAAATAGTTGTACTATGAATGTCATTTGTACCTTTGGGTTTGGGGGGAGCATCAGAAATACCAAATGGGAGCAAGACAGTGATTTCTTGATGTTCGGAAACCTTCTCAGTCCTTTGTCGCGTCTAAAGGCTGCAGTTTCGCGGACTCCAGCCTTCTGGGAGACTGGCTTCTGGTTTCCACGCCTGCAGCTCAGGGAGCCCGCTCTTGAGGCCTGAGCACGCCTTCTCTCTGGGTGCTGGTCCTGTATTTGGAAAAGTCACACCCGACTGTTCCGGGTGACGGGCCGCCTTCAGTTGCTTCCCTCGGATTTGGTGACGCCTGTCCTCCGTGGTGGGGTGTGCGCCTGCCGCCTGTTCTGCCCGCCGTGCTTCTGATGTCACGTGGGGAGGCGGAGGCACCACGGACAGAGCTGACCTTCCCTGTGGATGAGCAGTGCTGGGTCACTCCGGGGGGGGGGGGGGTGATGGCAGGATCAGCAAGTCCACAGAAAGCTCTGTGAACGTGAGCAGAGCTGCCTGTGCGTGGTGAGGGTGGTTTCTGGGGAGAGCCCACAGCTTTCTCTGGATCTGCAGGGAGATCCATGACCCTAAAGGACTTATTCGCTGGGTCAGAGGTTTGGTGGATTGACACTTTTTTTTTTCCATTTCAAAGGCAGATTGGGGCGGCGCCGAGAACAATTTCCTTACTAGATGACATTTCATCGCAATGTCCGATCGTTTGGGGCAAATAACCAAGGGCAAGGATGGGAAAAGCAAGTATTCGACGCTCAGCCTGTTTGATAAGTATAAAGGAAAATCAGTAGACGCAATCAGATCCTCAGGTAAGACCGGGGTGGGGCCGGACCTTCCCGCTTTGCCTTCAGTGAGAAACCCCTGGCAAGGACCTCGGGAGCCGTCCTTCCTGTGGGCAGGGAGTGGTCACCCGTCTTTCTGGGAAGCAGTTCCCCCCCCTCCCCCAGGTCTGATTTCATACCCTGACTCTGCTGGGGGGCTGCTTCCCCCTCCTCTTATCTCACTGAAACCGGGGGTATTTTTAGTCTGGTGGTTAGAATGGAGCTGCATTTGCATTAGACTCACCCGGTTTAGGTTTCATGGTTCCAGGACTCTGGAACGTGGTGGGAAAATTCCTGCCGATGCTATCCCTCCCCCTGGGGGTTTTATGAATGCCCAGGCTGGCGTGGTCTCGGCCCAGGCATGGTCCTTTCAGTCCCGCTGTCACGAGGCCAGAGCAGCTCCCCTTGCAGAGAGGGGCTCACCGTGTGGGACCGGGGTGCTGGGCCTGGCCCCTGACACAGATCGTGAGCTCCCGAGCCTTCTGCCTGCTGTGCAGATGGAAGCTTTTGGGTCCTCCAAGGCCTTGGCCAAGGGCTTGTCAATGACTAGAGTGACCCCCAGGCAGAGCTATTGATTTCCCTGGCGCGCCGCCCCTCGCCTTTGTTCCGCTGCCTTTGTCAGGAGCACGGGGTTTGTCAGAGCAGCTGAATGGTCTGGCCTCTGCTTCTGTAACCCGCCGGCGGTGTCTGTTTCCCCCGTCTCCCTGCAGTTATTCCTAGACATGGCTTACAGAGTCTCGGGAAAGTTGCCACAGCCCGGCGTATGCCACCGCCCGCAAACCTGCCAAGCTTGAAGTCTGAAAACAAAGGAAACGACCCCAACATCGTTATAGTACCCAAGGACGGGACGGGATGGGCAAACAAGCAGGACCAGCAAGACCCAAAGAGGTGAGAGCAGAGGGCAGGCGGCTCCGGCACCTCCTGCCTGCACGGGCGGCGGGGATGGGAGAGTCCCAGGCAGGTCTTCCGTGCTGGCCTGCTGCCTCGGTTCTCGCTCCCCGCCTGCCGTCTTCCTGCTCTTTTTATATATTTATATGTATTTATTGATTTTTTTTACCGAGGAAGGGAAAGGGATAGAGATTAGAAACATCGATGAGAGAGAAACATCCATCAGCTGCCTCCTGCACACCCCCCCCCCCCCCCCCACTGGGGATGTGCCCGCAACCAAGGTACATGCCCTTGACTGGAATCGAACCCGGGACCCTTCAGTCCGCAGGCCGATGCTCTATCCACTGAGCCGAACTGGCCAGGGCTCTTCTGCCTCTGGAGCCAGTGCAGCGGCATTTCCGTGGGCCGCCTGGTCCCGGTGCCCAGCTGCACCTCTTGCCCCGCACCTCACGGTCCGGCTGCTGAGGCTCGGGACCCAGAGCAGCTGCTGAGCAGCGTCCTCTCGCTCGCCGGGAACGGCCACACAAGCTGTTGTGAAGCTTTTCTGTCGTTCCTCCAGGCGGGGTGGAGGGAGGGAGCAAATAGCCAGATCTTAAAGCTGCAGTAGCCACAGTAGCAACCTAAACGCTAACATTTTCTGACAGTTGCTTGGGCATTGTGCTGGTTGATGGTGTAGTGTGACTTAGTAACGGACAGGCGTGTGGGATGCCAGCTAAGCAGCCGTTAGCTCTGTGGCACCTGGAGCTTCATTCGCTTCTGAGCTTCATGTCCTGGGAAGTAAGAGTCCCCGGCGCCGGGGCAGTCTCAGGAGATGGATGAGAGCACCAGGCCAGGTCCTGAGCACAGAGCCTGGCTGGAGGGAGTGCGTGGCGGGTGCCAGCCGTTACTGTCATCTTCTAATCAAATGGTGGACACTGCAAACTCGAGAAAAAATGGAAATGACACATTCCATCACAGGCCTTGAAATGCCCGTGCTGCAGACAATTGTAGAGAGGACGGAGCCCGCTCCTGCCTAGTACCTGTTCGCACGCGGCTGGCACAGAGCGCTGCAGCTGTCAGGCCGGGGCTGCCTGCCGGGTGTGTGTGTGTGTGTGTATGTGTGTGTGTGTGTGGGAAGGCGCCAGGCCAGGCCGTGGCTCTCTGCTGCTGGGGGCTGCCCTCCTGGGCGGAGTGAGAGGTGGGAGGGGACGAATCCTTAGGCAGCACGGGAAGCTCCTGCTCGGTAGAAGGGCGTGTGAGAGGACCGACGGCCTTCGTTTTGTAAGGTCAGAGTGGGGATGAGTTACTTGGATGAAGTGAACTTGGGAGAGTTGGTGTCGTGTAGGATTGGACTGAGCTTCCAGGGGAAGCACCAGCAGTGGGTGATTCTGGCGAGTGGATGGCAAGAGCGTGAATAGGAGAGACTGGAGGCTGCTGAGCCGGCAGAAATCTTCCTTCCGGACCCTTGTTGTACCTTCTCAGAGGACCTGTGAGCCCTGGCCAGTTTGAGTCAGTGGTTAGTGTTGACTGCAGACTGAAGGGTCTTGGGTTCAATTCCCAGGTCAGGGCCAGTGGGGGAGGCAACCAATCAATGGATCTCTGACATTGATATCCCCCCCCCCCCTTCTCTCCATCCCACTCTCTCTAAGAATCAGTGGAAAAACATCCCCCGGTGAGGATTAAAAAGTAAAGATTATCTATGGGCTATCAACTGATGCAACCTTTTTTTGGAGGGCAGTTTGGCAATATCTTTTAAACTTCAAACATCTTTTGATCTGTAGCCGGTTTGCTCAGTGGATAGAGTGTCAGCCTGCGGACTGAAGGGTCCCAGGTTTGATTCTGGTCAAGGGCACAGGCCTGGGTTGTGGGCTTGATCTCCAGTGGGGGATGTGCAGGAGGCAGCCAATCAATGATTGTCTCTCATCATTGATGTTTCTATCCCTCTTTCCTTCTCCCTTCCTCTCTGAAATCAACAAAGATATATTTTAAAAAATTAAAAAAACACCCACATCTTTTGATCCAGCAATTCCATTTCTAAGAATTTACACTTCTGAATTACACAAAGGTGTATGAAGGTGTTCATACAAAAATGTTCATTGCAGTTGTATCTTTAATAGAAAAAAACGGAGATTGTAAATTATGGTTCACACTTGTGCTGTATCATTAAAAGAAAGAGGAAGGTCCCCACGTATTGTCATGAGAAGATGTTAAGTAAAAAACAAGTTACAGAATTGTATGAGTGGCATTATTCCACTCGTGTTAAAAATATATTGTTGAGAAAAAACTGCTTGGAGTTTCTCTCTGGAGGATGAGATCACGAGAGATTCTGTTATATATATTTATAAATTTAGTTTGCTGTGAGCATATGTATTTTACAAGCTAAGAGATGGTAAAGATTCTTCTATATCTGCTGTTTCAACGCAGTCAGCCCCGAGGAGCCGTGAGTGCTTGGTCAGGAAGAAGGGACTTGGAGCCCCTTCCCTGCAGTGACTCAGTTTCCCCATGGGCAGATCCTCCATGGCTTCATTGTTCACAGGAGCTTTCAGTGTTTGCAGACAGAGACCTGTTCTGCCCAGTCGATGCCAGCGAGTGGGCGGCGGATGTGGTAGTCTGCCAGCGTGAGCGTCTCCCGGGGAGGGTACTTTCTCTGTTGGCCTGAGGGGTCTTGTCCCAGTGAGCCGCTGATGAGCAGCCGCAGCTCTTAGAAATGCAGAGGGGCCTTGTCGGCGTGGCCTCACCGTGTGTCTGCCTCTGTCTAGTTCCAGTGCGACGGCCTCTCAGCCGCCGGAGTCGCAGCCGCAGCCGGGTTTGCAGAAATCTGTCTCCAATTTACAGAAGCCGACTCAGTCAATCAGTCAGGAGGTAGGTGCTGGAGACGCCCGCCCAACGGCCATGTGTCGGAGCCACCGAACGCTGCCACCGAGACGGGTGGCTTTGCTTGGCTTGCTTATATCAACCGCAAGCTGATGGAGAAGACCCAGACAGAGCGGGACCCAGGCACCTAGGTGGAGTCTGTGACTCCTGTGGGGTGAAGTCGCTCAGGTAGATAACGGGCTGGATCGGACCTCCAGCTGTGCTCCGAGGAGACCAGTGCCGTAAGCAGACAGTCTGCAGTGGCCATGGAGGGCGAAGGCTGGGAAACTGCGTTTGGAAGCTCCTTTTTAACATGCTAACGTGCACCCTGACTGGGGGGACAGCAGGGACAGCAGGCCCCAAATTGACTGCCCTCGGAAACCTTTCTAACGAGGTCTCTAGGGACCGGTTGTGTCTCGGAGCCTCCTTGGGAGTTACCCAGCTGCAGTAGTCACTTACTGTTGATGCATTAATATGTTTTCCTAAAGAGAAAGGCGTGGCTCAGCTGAGCAAGAGCTCTCGGCCCACTGAGCCCGTTGAGTAGGTGGGTCCCAGAGACCACAGGGCTCAAGCTTGGCTGGTGGCTGGGACCCAGGTGAGAAGTGTTGAGTATTTTAGATCAAAAGAAATCTAGACAAGACCCCTAGCACTCCCCAGACTCTTGAAAACAGCAGGAACTACCGAACTTTGGTCTTATGGTGCCTCCTGGCAGTGGAGGTCTGAGATGCCGTCCCCGTCTGTGGGGAAGTTTATGGCTTTGCCAGAAGGAAATCCCACCCGACAACACCGAACTGCACTTTTGAAATTAAAGAGAAAAGCCATATTCATTGGCCCAAATCCACCGGGGTCTGCGAGCACATAGCGTTGAATCCGTGTGTTTCTCAGAATTTGAAACTAAACAAGATTGCGGAGCCTGGTTTCAGCCCTGGTGCACAGCTCACTTGCCTTGGGAGCTCAGGAGTGTGCGGGGGTGCGGGGGGGCCCTCACCCCTGGAGAGGCGGGAGTCACCGGGCACCTGTTTGAAAGCCATTGTGTGGGGGACTCTCGGAGCCTGAGGTAGCCCAGCCCTGCCCATGCTCGGCTCTCGGCTCTCCTCAGCTGCTGCCTGGCCTTCTCTCAGGGCAGAGGTGCTGAGAAGAGACTCCCACTTTCTGAAACCTCAGCCGAGGCTATAGGTTCGCTTGGGGTGAAGTTCACGGGCAATAATAGTAACCCCTCCTTGGCCCTGTAGTACCTCATCCAGTTTGGCTGCTTATAGACCCCAAAGGGGGGGCTGTGGGTTGGCCCTGGTGCCCCTCTGCTTCCTGCTGCTCTGGAGGTGCACCCCTCCTGGGGGTGGGGGCTGTCCACCCGAGCTGCATGGTCCCCTCAGGTGGTCCTATGGGCAGCCACTATGGCAAGCATTCAGGGCACTCCCAGTCAGTCTGCGCTAGAGAGACAGCCCTGCCGTGAGTGTGTGCGGGAGGGGGTGGGCTGAGAGAGGGGTCATGGGCAGGGCACCTATTTAATTAGGTACCCACCCCAGTCACTGATGGGTTTTGCTCATGGCGCTCTGTGCTGTAGCTTACCTTCCTTTGGGAGGGGCCCGCCAGCTGGATGCTGCTGAGAAAGGGGAGCTCCTGAACTGATCCCATTCGGCCCGTGGCCGTGGACACGTGGGCATCGTGGTGGGACCTGGGGCAGCCGAGAACACCTTCCACCTGCTTGGGGAGCAGACAGCCGGCCGATGGGCGGACTCTCTAATTCTCTTCCTTTTTCAGAACACAAGTACAGTGCCAGGTGGACCAAAGTCATGGGCACAGCTGAATGGAAAGCCAGCAGGACACGAAGGTGGTAAGTGGGAAGAGGTGGGCAGGACGGCGCTCACCTTCTCGGACCATTTCGGTTGGGTCTAGGTCAGTGGTCAGCAAACTGCGGCTCGCGAGCCACATGCGGCTCTTTGGCCCCTTGAGTTTTTAGCTAAGGCCAGCTTAGGAGTACCCTAATTAAGTTAATAACAATGTACCTACCTATGTAGTTTAAATTTAAAAAACTTGGCTCTCAAAAGAAATTTCAATCGTTGTCCTGTTGATATTTGGCTCTGTGGACTAATGAGTTTGCTGACCACTGGTCTAGATTATCTTGGCCTAAAGCTTTGTGAGCCTCCCACCTGAGAGTCACTGCTCGGGGCCTGGCCTTGGCCCCGGGGAAGCAGTGCTGGTTCTGAAGGTGTATCAGGGTTGGCCTCTGGGGGTCCTTAGGGAGCCGGAGAGCGCGCTGCCAGCACTGACGCCAGCGCGGCGCCACGCACCCCGAGGAGCCCACCGGCGGCGTGGCTCTCCGTGCTTGGAGTGCAGAGGCTGAGGGTCCTTGGTGCTGACCTCACTGGCTCATAAGTCCTGGTTTTCTTTCAGGTTTAAGGGGCTCAAGCCGACTCTTATCCTTCTCTCCCGAGGAATTTCCGACGCTGAAAGCAGCTGGAGGGCAGGACAAGGCTGGCAAAGAAAAGGGCGTCTTAGATCTGTCGTATGGGCCCGGACCAAGCCTCCGCCCTCAGAGTGAGTGACCGCAGCCCGTGCGGGCGGACGCGTGGGGATGCAGACTCTCCCTTACCTTCCTGCCCTCCGACAGGAGTGTGCGGGGCCTCAAGGAAGGCGTGGCTGCTGACCTTTGCCTGACCTCTGCATTCACTGGACTTGAACCCTAGGCTGGTCAGGAGGTCACCCTTCTTTCTTTCTTTCTTTCTTTCTTTTTTTTTTTTTTTAAATACACTTTATTGATTTTTAACAGAAAAAGGGAGAGAGTTAGAGAGCTAGAAACGTCAATGAGAAAGAAACATCGACCAGCTGCCTCTTGCACACCCACTTACCAGGGATGTGCCCGCAACCAAGGTACATGCCCTTGACCGGAATCGAACCTGGGACCTTTCAGTCCGCAGACCGAGGCCCACTGAGCCAAACCGGCTTCGGCCACCCTTCTTTCTTGTTGTTGGGGCGGCCAGGCCTTCCTGCTGTCATTAGAAAGTTCTGCTATGCCAGGTGGTCATGGCAAGGATGGCCAGGCCACGGACCAATTGGTGTCTGATTCAGAAGCGGCTCTCCCAAAGCCTAGTGCAGTGCCATCCGGGTCACTTGGGGAGTGTGTCAAAGGTGTGAGTGACTTCCACCTCCCCACCCGCCAACTTAAAGCCCTGTTTTTAACCCTTACGTTGCTCGCTCAGCGCTCATCTCCACGGCCCATCCTCGGGTCTGGTCAGGGAGGGGAGGGGTGTGGAGTGCTGCTTGCTGGTGATGTTTTAGAGGCTGTCGGTGGCCTAAGGTGTTATTGAGGAATGAGATCTTCTACCTGTTCTAGCCAGAGATTCTGAAATGGCTCTTGTTTTTTTGCGGGGGTTACTGGGGAGGGTGCTTGATCAGGTTTTGAAATATATGGGGCTTGTGTTTGCTTATGATTAACCCCTAAGAGCTGAGTCCCGTGAGGAAATGGTCACATGCAGCTCTCCTCAGCGCGCCGCCTTCCAGTGGCCTGCACCACGTTGCTACGTCTGCTCCGAAGACGTCCTGCAGTTTCTCAGGCCAGGAGCGGGAGCGTTCTGGGTCCGACTAGGATGAGCTGCTTTATAGGACTACAAACAGAGCGCGGAGGAGCTCCTGGGATGGGTTTTCTCTCTTTTGAGAAGAGGAAAAAGCAGATGGCCAGAGAGGTGACCCCGACAGGGCATACCCGAGCCATATGTGGGGCTTGGAGGGTTAGACTGAAGCCAGTGTGGTGGCTTCCACACTCAGGGGCCTTTTGTGTTTCAGTGTCACCCACCTTAACTGAAGCCAGCAGTCACGTGGCTCTGGCAGTGTCTCCGGGGCCTGAGATTCCACCAGACCTGCTGCCTTTGCAGTTGGCAGCAGCATAGAGAAAGATGGCTTGGTCCGCAGGCCACCTGGGCCCTGCAGGAGGCCCCGGCTGGGGCAGGGTAGGCGGGCCAAGGCCTGTGGCAGTCCAGGCCCTTCCAGCCAGAGGGTCTCTGTGCTCTGCTTCGTCTGTATAAACTGGGCACTCTCCTTGATGAGAGGGGCCACCGCTAAACGAAGTGTGAAACATGCCAGAACTCACTCTGGTTTAAGGTCAAATCCAGGGCTGCAGGCAGGGCCGGCCCTCCGGGGCTGGGGCGTCTGGAAGGAGCCGCGGCTGTGTCTACCGGGCTGCCTGGTGCCGCTCGGAGGACGGGCTCCTGTCCGCCAGGGAAGACCGCACACTCGCCTCCTCTCTTCTGGCGACCCCGTCTGTCTCCCAGCCAGGCTCCCTCAGCAGGTGCACACGTGTGGCCAGTGCTGTCCGCCCACCTCCCCGACACACGTGACCAGGACTCTCCTCTTCACTCTTTGTTTTTTGGGGGCCTTTTTGGTGAATGAGGCCCACTCTCCACCCCTGCCTGATTACATGCCTTTAAAATCCTCTTTGTTTTCGAGTTAAGTTTTAGTTACATTGAAAGACACACATCTTAATCGTCCACTTTGACAGTGGATCAGGGGGTCCCTTGGCCTTCAGAACCTCATACAGTCCCTCCTCCCCCTCCTCTTTCCCTCCCCTCCGCCCCCTTTCCCTTTCCAGATGTGACCAGCTGGAGGGAGGGCGGTGGGCGAAACATAATTTCTGCCACGTCTCTGAGCGCCGCCCCCACTGAGCTGGGCAGCAGGAACGCGAGTGCGGGAGACGGAGCCCCCTCCTCGGCATGCACCAGCGACTCTACGGACCCCTCTCTCCGCCCGGCGCAGCCTGTCCGCAAAGGGGCTTCACAGTTCATGGGGAATGCATACCACCCACCTACATACCACGACATGCTTCCTGCTTTTGTAAGTCTCCGAGGGTGCGTTTCCCCGCAGTCAGCGGTCCGTGCCCAGTAGAACTGCCTCCCGGGGTGGGGTCACCTTCGGTGCTCCCCCCGCCTCACGCTTCGCCCCGGGCCCTGCGGGGAGGTTTCCATTCAGGCTCCGCTTTCTCCTTCCCGGTCCGAGGGCCTCGGCTGCCTTCCCTGCCACGTGCCTCAGCCTCGCTCTTTAGGAAGGAAGAGGCAGGTTCCCCCAGACACAGGCCCCGGCGTCCCAGCAGCAGGAAGGAAATGGGGAGACGGTGGCATGTGAAATAGGGACCCCAAGAGTTCCTGTTTCTTTTCCCAACACAAATCCTAATGTGAGTGGAACGAGGAATTGGGGTCATTGCTGGAAATCCGTTCATGGATGTTCTGTTCCAGATGTGTTCGCCGCAGTCCTCCGAGAGCCCAGGCACCGCGGAGCGAGCCTCCTTCCCGCCCCCGCAGCTCCGCCTGGAGCCCCGCGTCCCGTTCCGGCAGTTCCAGCTGAATGACCAGGACGGGTGAGCGGCGAGGGGCGGGGCGTCTCGGACACCCAGGGGCTGAGTGGCGGTGCTCTGCCTTCTGCAGACACAGTGCCTGGGTGTGCGGGACGGTGTGCGGGACGGGACGGCCAGGTGAGGGGTTGGGCTATGGCTCAATGCCTGGCACAGTGGAAGCTTTGGCACGGCCGAGGCCGCTGCCCTGGTGTTGGCACTGAGCGGGCAGCGGCAGCCCCAGGCAGGCTCCAGGCGGGGCCTCTCTCCCGTGTGTCTCTGTCCAAAGGGGATGGGATGGCTTACACGTTAAGCACACACAGACCTTGGTGGTTCAGGACTTACTTAGACGTGTCCGGTTCTGCTTCCATAGTGTAGTGACTAAGTTCAGTGTCTTCCCTTCTCTCCCTCAGGAAAGACAGCCGGCTGGGGATGGCCCGCCCGCCCCGCCCGCTCCGGCAGCTGGTGGAGCGGGCGCCGCGGCCCACCATCATCAACGCCGAGAACCTCAAGGGCTTGGACGACCTGGACACGGACGCCGATGACGGCTGGGCAGGTGGGTTGCTCCTGCGTGCGCCTCCCCCGGTGCGCTGGCGGCAGGCTGACGTCCACCTGGGTGAACGCCCTGCGCACGGTTTTCCTGGGCGCGGACTGAGCATGGGGGGCGGGAGTGGCTCTCACAGCGGGCTTCCCGGCCCATCCGTGTCTGCGTTTGGTCTTTGGTCTCGATCTAGATTTTTTATGTTAACTTCTTGTAAAGACTTTTTTATAATGGAAAAGTTAAACCAAGCAAATTATAAATGCCCCCCCAGCCCTCATCAGCTTCGCCAGGTACCCCCCTTCTGCCTTCTTGTTTCTTCCCTTTGCCCCCTCTCCACCCCAGCCTGATTCCCTGCCGTTACAACCCTTTCTGTTTGTTTTCGTGTAAACTTTATTACATGGAAACACACGCATCGTAATGGTACACTGTTGATAAAGGGATACCCCTGGGAACCTTTCCTCCTCTCCCAGCCCTGTCACACCGCCCGCCTCCCCCCCCCACCCCCAACACCCGCCGGCCCAGGCCTGCACTCTGTTGGCATCACCCTTGGAGCAGTCTGCCCTGTATAACTACAGGCAGGCAGAGTCACAGCTTTTCCTCTGGGTCGTGGTTTTGAGATTCATCAATGTTGTTATATATGCCAATTGTTGCTTTTACTTACTGGGGCATATCTTACTGTATCGATATACTGTAACTTACCGATCTCTTTAAAGCTCCATAGTTATGATATTCTCATGTCTCCTGAGTGCCCAGGGGGGAGTGGGAGTGTTGGGTCAAAGGGTGGGTGTGTGAAGGGTGCACAAGGACCACAGACCTTCTCTACCGCCGAGCAGCGACCACGCCCTCCTGTCAGTCTGTGCTTTTGCCATTCTGGTGGGTGTGGAGTGGCATCTCTGTGCTTTTCATTTGCATTTTGTGATGACTAATGCCAGCGAACACATTTCCATGTTCACCTTGTGAGGTGTATCTTTTACACACACACACACACACACACACACACACACACACACAAGGACTGATGCCCAAAATTCGTGCAAGAGTAGGAGTTCCTTCCCGTCTGCCAGGGCCGGCTTCCCTCTGGCATCGGGACCCGGGCATCCCGTGCAGCCCTGCTTCTTCCAGAAAAATGTCCGATCTAATTAGCATACGACCCTTTAATTATCATAGACTGCCCAGACTTAGGAGCTGTTGTCTGGAAGGAGGGCAGTCTGACCAGGCTGCCTCCCTGCTACCAGAAGCCAGAGCTCCTTGCATTAGCTTCAGTTTGTTATGGTGGCAGCCGCGTGGCTCGCCTTACTCCTCACTGGGTCACTGGGTTGGCATGGTTCCGGGCTGAAGTGGCACTCTTGGCAGTTGAAATTCTCATCTCTCCTCGTTCTTCCTGGCCCACGTCCTGCTGCAGGCCTCCATGAGGAAGTGGACTATTCGGAGAAGTTGAAGTTCAGTGATGATGAAGAGGAGGAGGACGTGGTGAAGGACGGCAGGCCACAGTGGTAAGGCTCCCCGCTCCTGGCGTGCTCCAGGCAGCCTGACGCTTAGCGGCACTGCCGGGTGCTGGTCCCGTGCCCAGAGCATTTCCTGGTTCCCTGCAGCCTCCTGGGAAGATACTGTTTCATTTTGCAGATGAGAGGGCTAAACTGGGCACAGCGTTCTGTTCGAGAATTGAGCCAGGATTTGTATCCGGCGTGGCAGGCTGGTTCTAGCTTTCCTGAGGGGGTGTGGCAGCTGGTCCTAGTGATAGTAATGGCCCCTCCGGCGCTTCCCTGAGGGGGTAGAGACTGTTCTGCAGCATGATGGACGTCATGCCCCAGAAGCCTCTGTGGCCACACGAGTTTGGGAAACCGCCTGGCTTCAACTTTCCCTTTCCTTCTTTCCTCTAGGGTTGCCTGCACTCGGGGTGTGTGTACAAAAGCATGCTGGGAATCTCCTGGGAGGTGGGAGAAGCCTACGCAGGGCAGGCTGGGCTTCCTAAACTTCTTAGACCCATTTAACCCTTTCTCTCTTTTCCTGGATCATTTAATGGACAAATTGTACTCCCAATGCCCTTTGGAAAGTACTTCGTTGTTCTCTAGCCCCTCTTGTTTTATCATAATATCAGCAGTATTGGCTAGTACTTTTTTTATATTTAACACGAGAGGCCTGATGCACAAAATTTGTACAGGGGGCTTGGCTCTTGTAGCTGCAGCAGCTTGCCGTGGTCCTTGCAGCCCCAGCTTTATTCAAGGGCGTTTATAGAAGGACGTTTGGATGTCTGATCTAATTAGCATATTCTGCATTTATTATTATAGACATTTTTATTGATTTCAGAGAGGATGGGAAAGGGAGAGAAAGGTAGAAACATTAATGATGAGAGAGAATCATGGATCAGCTGCCTCCTGCACGCCCCCTACTGGAGATCGAGCCTACAACCTGTGAATTAAACCGTGACCTGGTTCATAGATAGATTTTCAACCACTGAGCCATACTGGCCAGGCTTGGCTAGTACCTTTGTTTTTTATTTATTTTTGGACTTTACATATGTTTAAAAGCCATATGAATAATATGTTTTGTAAAATACAAAAAGTGTTTAAAAATAAGGCAGAAATCCTTTAATCCTAAGTCCAGAAATAGTCATCACATTTTTAAGTTTATTTTGTACTGGAGGCCTGGTGCATGAAACTTGTGCATGGGGCGCTGTGGGGGGGTTGTTCTCAGCCCAGCCTGCACCCTCTCCAATCTGGGATCCCTCTCACAATACAGGTCTGCTGGCTCCCAACTGCTCACCTGCCTACCTTCCTGATTGCCCCTAACCACTTCTGCCTGCCAGCCTGATTGATGTCTAACTGCTCCCCTGCCAGCACATTTGCCCCCAGCTTCCCTCCTCTGCCAGCCTGGTCACCCTAACTACCTTCCCCTACAGTGTTGATCGCCTTCAACTGCCCTCCCCTGCTGGCCATCTTAAGATGACCATCTTGTGTCCACATAGGGGCAGCCATATTGTGTGTTGGAGTGATGGTCAATCTGCTTATTACTCTCTTATTAGATAGGCTAGAGGCCTGGTGCATGGGTGGGGGCAGCTGATTTGCTCTGGAGGGTGTCTGGGATCAGGGTGGGGTTTCTCTTGAGGTGTGGGGCAGCCTGAGGGAGGGGCCTGTGGTGGTTTGCAGGCTGGCCACGCCCCCCCAGCGACCCAAGCAGAGGCCCTGGTATCTGGAATTTATTTACCTTCTACAATTGAAACTGTAGCCTGGAGCGGATTGGGACTCATGTGTCTTCTATAAGTGAAACTTCGTAGCCTGGGGTGGAGACTTCGGAGGCCAGGGTGTGCCAAAAGCTTTGCTTCCTCCATTGCTGGGGAAACGCCTCCATCCTGCTTTCTGTGGCTGTAGCCATCTTGGGGTTAATTTGCATCCTCTCTCTGATTGGCTGGTGGGCATGGCATGTGCAGCGGACTGATGGTTAATTTGCATTTTACTCTTTTATTAGGATTGTTGACACTATTACAGATGTCCCCTATTTTCCCCTACTACCTCCCTTCACCCAGTCCCTGCCCACCCCAGGCCTTTACCTATTGGCGAGTACTTGTAAAATAGCACCTTGGGTTGCTTTCATTTGCCTTTTTTTGTGGACCAGCACATAGGGTTTTTTTCCTTCATGTGGCATTTCCTGTTTTCTTTATACATCACCTATGGGACTTATTATGCTTCCTCAAAAAATGGGATTTTTTAATATTGTTTAGATATTAATGCTTTAATGTTCCCTTTGTTTTATTATCGCTGACTGAATGTGTGTACGGTCCAGTCTGCAAGTCTCTGTTTTCATCTTTCACTTCTAAGCTCCTGGAGTCAGCGCCCTCTTCTGGAGGAAGCTGGTAGCACGCTCTGCCACTCTGATGGCACACAGTTCACTAAATGAGGCTCTGTTCTTTATTTTCACGCTGCTCGCTCGATGTACTTGGGGATTGTCTGTGGATCAGTTCTTGGAACACTGAGCTTAGAAGGAAATGTGACCAGGAATTTAAGTCAAAGACAAAGACATAAAACTTAGGTTGATTGGGGCAACAGGATACTGTTGTTTCTTTCAGTTGATGTTAATTGAATATTCAACAGAAGGAGTTAGACACGGAGCCAGTTTTGCTACTGGCTGTGACCAAGGACACTTCAGATTGAGGGCACCTTCTTCCTAAACCTGCTCTTTTTTAAAAATATATTTTTATTGACTTCAAGAGGAAGAGAGAGGGAGAAATAAATAGAAACATCAGTGATGAGAGAATCAGTGATCAGCTGCCTCCTGCACACCCCACACGGGATCGAGCCCGTAACCCGGGCCTGTGCCCGAACAGGGAATTGAACCGTGACCTCCTGGTTTATAGGTCGATCCTCAACCTCTGAGCCGCGTTGGCCGGGTGAAACCTGCTCTTTTTTTTTTTTTATATTCTCTGAGCTGGCTGGTGATGCCCAACCCCCAGAGACTCCTACAAGGAGCTCAGAGTCCCTCTGACATCTTTGTTCCCTCCGTGCGGATTCCTGAACCTTCCCTGACTCCCTCCCTGCCTGCTCGTTGTGTCGGGGCCACGGGACTGGCCTCCTGTCTTTTCGGGACCGTGCAGAGGTCAGCCAGCGCCCCCTCTCGTGTGCTTACCCTCTCCGGTGCCTGGTGTCTAGTTCTAAAGACACGGCCTTTCCTGTGCAGAGAACTTGCTGGGTCTCTCCCTGCCTCACTGTGAGGTCAGCAGTCGCCAGCAGTTTTGCTGCCCTGCTGTGATCCCCTAACCTGCCTCACCTGCCTCACCGGCCCCGCTCACGCACACATGTGCACCGACACGTGCGCGCACAGAGTAGCCAGACCTGAGCCTGCTGTTCTCTGGGCTCCTGCTAGGTGACCGGGCACCGTTTCCCATACAGGAGGCCCAGGCGTGTCCTCGCGCTTTGCCCTGTGCCTGTAGCTCTGCCCTGAGCGTGACGGTGAGCACGCACAGCTCCCTTCCCCCCTTCTCTTCCTGCTGCCCGCAGCCTGGGGCTCGCCTGTCCTGTCCGCACCACGGGCCTTCCTTTCCCCTCTTGCTCTTCTCGGGGGCCCTGCAGCGGCCGCCTGTGCTGAGGAGCAGTCTGAGCCCCTTCAGTGCAAAGCGCAGGGCAGGGGCTGCGGTAAAGACGCACCTTCTTCTGGGTTCGGCTTCAAGTCCGTTAGCTCCTCCCTGGGCGGGCAGCTGCCCAGCCTCTGAGAATCTTTGTAAACTCCTTAAAAGGGGGAGAGTGAGCCCCTCCCCCATAAGATAAAGTGGTGGGTGGGGAACAGCCTCGCTGGAGCGCTGAGCTGTGGGAGAGTGAACTGGTAAATGCTGGTACTGGTTTTGGTGTTCTGGGATGTTGTCACCGTGGGTGGGGAGTGGGGGCGCTCCGATGAGGAAATGGGTGTGTAGACAGCTGGCTCAGGACCTCGGGCTGGGAAGGCCAGACCGTGCTGGCTGATGGGAAGCTAACAGCGTGCGGTTGTCCTAGGAACAGCTGGGACCCAAGGAGGCCGCGGGGGCTGTCAATGAGCTCTGCAGACAGCGCTGATGCCAAGCGTGCCCACGAGGAAGGAAAGGACTGGGGCGAAACAGCGGGCATGGCTCGTATCGTCCGGAAGGTGCCAGAACCTCAGCCACCTTCCAGGAAGCTTCACAGCTGGGCCTCAGGCCCTGACTACCAGGTACCATGGGAACTGGAGGGATCTGTGCCTGTGATTGCTGGGGACACCCTTCCCTCCAACTCTCCCTCTCTCCACATTGATTTGACATGAGGTCCCAGAAGACCAGTGTCACCTGTTGGATGCCCTCTGCATTTGACCTTTGCTGAGCTGAGTGTTGGGTTTCTGAGAGTCGTAGGAGGATACTGCTCTTTCTTTTTTAATTAAAGAAATGTCTTCTGAAACAGGCAGGAACTTACAGAAAAGTTGGAAGCGCATAGAAAGAAAACTTTCTGAGCCAGGGAGGGAAGGTGGCGGCCTGGCGAGCATGTCGGCACAGGTGCTGTGGTGTGAGCTGGTACTGACAGTCACCAAGTCTTCATTTGTCCAGAACCTCCTTCCAGATACAGGGAGGGGCAGAGCAGGATTAGAACCGGGGTCCGCCTGGCGCGGGACGCGGCTCCCAGGTGCTCGAGGGCCATGGAGAGAGGACGGCTGCAGGGAGAGGGCCCGCCTCTCGGTTCCATCAGACCCTCTCCTCCCGGCAGAAGCCCCCCGTGGGCGGCGTGTTCCGGCAGCAGTCCGTGGAGGACAAGGAGGACAAGCCGCCGCCACGGCAGAAGTTCATCCAGTCGGAGATGTCCGAGGCCGTGGAGCGCGCCCGGAAGCGCCGGGAGGAGGAGGAGCGCCGCAGCCGGGAGGAGCGGCTGGCCGCCTGCGCCGCCAAGCTCAAGCAGCTGGACCAGAAGTGCAAGCAGGCCCAGAAGGCCGGCGAGGCGCCCCGGCCGGCGGACAAGGAGGCGCCCCGGTCCCCAGCCCCCGAGAAGGCGCCGCCGCAGGAGAACGGCCCCGCCGTCCGCAAAGGTGAGCGGGGCTCTCGCCCCACAGACTGCTCTGCGTCTCCCTGGCTCCGGCACCTCCCGCTCCGGCCGGAGGGCTGGGAAGCACCGGCAGTAAGAGCTCCAGCCCGGGTCACAGGCCTGGGGTCACCGTTTCCATGCCAACACTGGCTCCGCACCTCACCTGCGGGAGCTTGTCCCGCATCTGTGCAGTGGGATGGGACCGGTATGTCCCCCCCCTTCGTGCGGAGGGGCCACCGAGGGGATGCGTGCAGAGCGTTGGCACAGCTCTGGGCACAGAAAGCACGCGTGCACCTGCTGATAACGGCGCCCGTTGTGTTGTCACGGTCACGGGCATCACTGCCCCTGCTCAGCCCAAGGTGCGAGCCGAGGATCTTCCTAAGGCACAGGGTCCTCCTGGACTGAAGGAAGCCCTGTGTGCACACGCGGCTCTCAGAGTTAACGCTGAAGGCCTGGGGCACGGCTGTCAGAGATGTCGGACGGCGCTGTCAGAGCGGTTTTAAAGAATCAGACCAGCATGTTCTTTGTGATTTTTAAAAATCGAGGAAAACCAGCTCTTTTCTGGAGACAAGGGCCTGGTGAGTTTCAGTCCCTGAGAGCCTCTCGGATGGGGGCTTCCTGCCGCTCTGACAGCGCCCAGCGCCTCCCTGGCTTGGGAACTCGGGGAACAGACAGCCGCTCTGTCCGTCTCCCGGAAGTCCTGTGAAGCCTGGCCGGAGGTGGCTGCCCGGGGCTGAGGGCAGGAGGAGGTGGCTGGGTGTGAGCGTGGTGCGATGATCCGGGTCCCGGCGGGGCTGCTGTCTGCACTGCCTGCCTCCGCCGTTCCTCCGGGCCTGAGCCTCTGCGGTTGAAGGAGGAAAGCAAGTGTCACTTACACTGGAGAAAAGACTGGAAAACGTGCAGCGCTGGGGCGGGCTAGAAAGAAGGGGATTTCGGAGAGAATGATGGGGGACAGTTGGGGAGCACCTCCTGCTGTCAGGTGGTGTAAGCACATGACCGGGATTATCTCTGATGGCCAGAAGCCCGGCGGGAGGCAGCTGCCGTCCTCGTTCTGCAGAGGAAGGACCGGCTGCCCACCCAGGCCCCCAGCCGTGGGACGGTGTGAGTTAGCGGGTGGGACGGTGGGTGCAGCTGCCACGGAGCGCATGGCTGACTTCGAGGGTCCTGCTTAATGAGCCCTCTCTCCTCTGCACCCAGTCCTGCTCCACTGCTGGCGCTGTGGCCTCGGGCAGTCACCTACCTGACCTTGGGTCCTGGGTCTCCCCTGAAGCGGGATATGTGGGACCGTGGGCTCGTGCCAGTGCCATGGTCCGAGGCTGTGACACCTCCGCTCTAACTTCCCGTTCCAGTTCCTGTCACACTGCAGCCTGCTCTCTCTGTGTTTGTCTCCAGGCTCCCCCGAGTTCCCTGCCCAGGAAGCCCCCAGCACGTTGTCAGAAGAGGCCCCCCCAGCGCCTGCGGCTGTGGCTCAGAGCGGCGGCAGTGAGGAGGGGCCCGGGGAGGCGGGGTCCCCCGCGCAGGAGTTTGGCAAGTACCAGAAGTCCCTTCCTCCCCGGTTCCAGCGCCAGCAGCAGCAGCAGCAGGTAAGCAGGGAGACACTGAGAAGCCCTTGTAAACAGGCCTGCCTGTGGGGTGAAGGCCCCTCCCCCTCCCAGGCCCTTCCGTTAGAGTAGGGGTGTCGAACTCAATCAGAGAAGGGGCCAAAATCTAAAATCCAGCCTAAATCGCGGGCCGAATGGTTTACTGAACAGTCATAAACTGTCATTGTGATGGAAACGCAGCAGAGTGCAGTGATGACAGCGCGGTGCAGGCCACATTGCAAGGCCTGGCGAGATGGATTTGGCCCGCGGGCCTTGTGTTTGACACATGTGCGTTAGAGCAACAGCAGAAACGCCCTCCTGCCCGGTCCCGTCAGGGCGGACGGAGGGCTGCACTCAGAGCTCCGGGCCTCAGGAGATATCTCTGACCACCCCCACGCGGGTGACTCCCTGGCCTTGTCTCACGTGAGCGGGAGGAGCTGGCGGTGGTACCTTGGACGTGGGGTGAGCGAGCTGAGAGAGTGGCTTGTTGTGCAGAGCAGTGACTGTGGCCGCTCCGGACACGGACAGTGGCCCCACCCTGGGCGTCTCGGGAGCGAGGGCGGCCTGGGAGCTGCGGGGCGCTGCCAGCGGGAGCGGGTGCGCTTGGGGAAGGATGCAGGTTTGTCAGTGTTTAACCAGAGCGCGTGAGTCCGGTCCTGGTGGTGCGCACTCCTAGTTGTGTATGGCCCAGACGGGTCATTGTCCACCAGTAAGCAGGAGCTTTCCTCCCTGGCAGTGAGGGTGTCTGGCTCCTGTAGGCTGACTTCTGGGCAGCGTCATTACTGGTTCCATAAACCTTAAGAGGACTTGCCTTTGCCCAGGACAAGCTCATGTGGGGTCGTGCTGACCATCCCAGGCTCTCAAGCCGGGCCCCTGGCCCTCGGAGCCACTCTGTGCGGTGTGTGTCCTACAGGAGCAATAAGTGAGCAGGTCATTGTGACGAGCAGTGCGTTTCGGTGGGAAGCAGGCGATTCTTGGACATTCCTTAATCCAGCAACCAGGCATGCAGTAAAATGTTGCTGTTGTTAACCAAATGTTTCATAACGTGTGTGCCCGGGGCAAACACCAGGCCTTGAGCCTCTTCCTGGAATCGCATTTAGTCGCCTTGAAAGCCTTGCCCTGGCCTGTGAGGCTCAGTGGGTTGGAGCATTGTCCTGTGCACTGAAAGGGCACATACCCAGGGTTCGGGTTTGACTCCTGGTCGGGGTGTACAGGAGCAACCAATGATGTTTCTCTCTCACATTGATTTTTTTAAATTTAAATTCTTTATTGTTGAAAGTATTACATATGCCCCCCTCCCCATTGGCCTCTCCCTGCTCGCTCCTGGCCCCCAGCACAGGCCCTCACCCCACCTCTGTCCATTGGCTGTGCTCACATGTGTGCATCCAAGTCCTTTGGCTGATCTCTTCCCCCTCCCCTGCCTGCCTGCCTCCCTCTGAGGTTTGACCGGCTATTTGATGCTTCTATGTCTCTGGATCTATTTTTGTTCACCAGTTCGTGTTGTTCACTCTATTCCACAAATGGATCTCACATTAATGTTTAATCTCCTTCTCTCTGCCTCTCTCTAAAATCAATTTAAAATCAAACAAAACAAACCTCCCTCCAGGCCCGTGCTCTGAGCAGGAGCCAATGCCCTGTGGTTTCAGTGCGGCTGCACTCAGGGCTGGCGCGCGGTTACGCTGGAAGAGGAGAGTAGCTGGAGCTGTACGCGGCCGGAGCTTGTGCTCTAGGCCATCTGGGGGCAATGACGGGCAGGCCCTCCCTAGGCGCAGGGAGGAGTCTGCAAGCGCCTTGCGGACTGGCCAGCCAGGCTCCCTGGGGACCTGGGGTCTAGACAGGAGTGGCTGGGCTGCAGCCTGCCGTGGGGCCGGGAGGCTCTGGTCATGGAAACTGTGCTCCTCAGAAAGCGCCCTGAGCGCCCCTGGAGCCGCCCAGGGGGCCAGCCCGGGCCGCCAGCTGGGGGGTGGCCCTGTTGTGGGCACCGGGAAGGGGCGGCGCAGCGGGCTCTGCTGGGCGGGCTCTGCACCGGGTCCTGCAGCTGCCGCTGCGGATGCCCCTGGAGGCAGCCTGAGGTCACGGCGTGGAGCAGGCTCTCAGTGGGCCCTCTCCGGCTCTCATATCGAACATGCCCCCGCTGGTACTCTGTGCTCATCCGCTCCTGCCGAGCTTTCTAGATGCCAGTCATGGTGGGGCAGGGACCCGTGGGCTCCGACTCTGGGGACGCAGTGAGCAGCGGCAGCGGGAAATCGTGGCTGGTGTCAGTGCTGCAAAGGCAGATGTCAGAGCCGAGGACGGGACTGCTCGCTCCCTCAGGCTCGCAGAGGAATGAGCTTTTAAACGGAACCTGAAGAGAGTGAGGGAGCGGGTTTGGGGACGCAGACAGGAGCTTCCCGGAGTCTCCCAGTTGTTACAAGGCCTCGTGTGCAGGCAGGAGCAGGCGCAGGGTGAGGCGCAGTGGGGGTCGGGCAGGATCCAGAGGAGCCGGTGGCTGACCTGTCACCCTGCGGAGACCATCGAGGCTCTTGGGAAGCGAGGGGCTGCCGTGAGCAGGGGTGTGAGGGTCACTCCGTGGGGTGGAGCGTGGGTTGAAGAGGCCAGAGGTGAGGAAGGAGAGCTGGGACCATGCTCAGCGGGTGGTGGGCGAGGAGAGTCCTGGGAGGGGTGTGCTGGCCATCGCCGGCTCCAGGAGACCCAGGAGGGGAGCACAGGCTCCCGCTGGGTTGGGGAGCCGTAACACACGGCATCTCCCCATCGAGCAGCCGCTCGTCCCTCCCTCTCGGTCTTCTGTCCCGGTGGGCCCTCTGCGCCTGCCGGAAGATGAGCGTGTGCGGGGTGCGTCTGCCCACAGCACCGTCTAACCCTCTCTCCCTGCCAGGAGCAGCTGTACAAGATGCAGCACTGGCCGCAGGTGTACCCTCCGCCCTCGCACCCGCAGCGCACCTTCTATGCGCACCACCCGCAGATGCTGGGCTTCGACCCCCGCTGGATGATGATGCCCTCCTACATGGACCCGCGGATCCCGCCCACGCGCACCCCCGTGGATTTCTACCCCCCGGCCCTGCACCCCTCCGGTAAGCTCCATGGGCTGGGGGGCCCCCGGACGGGGGTGTGAAGGATGCTGCCTAGGAGTTAGGTCCTTGGGATTCTACTGCAGCCTTCTCTGCAAGTCACATGACAGCCTGGATTTAACATTCTTGTTGGCAGAATGAGGCGTGATAACGTATCTGCCACAAAGCATGCTGGGAGGAGTCCTAATGTCATGTGTCCAATGGCTTTCTCTGCTGTGTCTCTTCTCTGTTGTTCTGTCCCTTTCTGTCATTAATGTTCTCCGTGCCTCTGTTTCCCTTGATTAGTCTTCGCCAGGGTTTGTTTAGAGTCATTTTTGAAAAACAGCTTTTAGATTTCTTAATTTCTCAATTTTATTTTATTTTTACTTCATTAATTTCTCCTCCCCCTATTATTTCCTTTGAAATTATTCTGTTCTGTCTCTAACTAATAGTGTTGGATGCTTAGCTCATTTGTTTCCGGCTTTTCTGATATGAGTATTGAAGTATCACCTGAGCTGTGAACGCCTATGAATTTCACGAGAAAGCACTTCTGCTCTCACACAGTTCTAGAAGTTAGTCTGGTTTTTATTATGATTTTTTAATGGTGGGGTGCGAATTTTCCAAATATATAGAGTTTAGAGATTGTCCTCCTGGTGTGCCTTTCCAGTGTCTGCTTTGTGGTGAGTGTGGGCTGCCTGGTAGAGACCGGGCCCCCAGCTGGTCTCGGTGAGCACAGCTGCAGACGGTGGTGGGCGGCCCTCGCTCTCCGTTCCGCTCTTTTTAAAAGGGGCGGCAGGTCGGGTTTCACTCGAGGGCGGAGGTGCCAACCCGGCCCGATCTAGATTGTGGGTGTTTGTTGAGATCTGCTTTGTAACATTGCTGGTTTCTGCAAACATCCTCTGTTTGCTTGAGACGCACAGACGTTCCCTAGGTGGCTGTGTGCTGAGCTTGCTGGTTGTGCTGTGGGAACATCTGGGTCATCGCAGTGACCACTCAGAGGTGCGCCGGTCCCGCTGTGACCGGACCTGCCCAGTCTTGTGAGCGGGCGGGGTCTGCGTCCTCTCTCCGGAGGCGCCCCCTGTTACCACTGATGGCGCTTCCTACCTTCAGTGTCCACTTCGTCTGATGGTAGTAGCATTCTAGTTTTCTTTCTCTTTAAAAAGATACACTTTTATTGTTTCACAGAAGAAGGAAGAGAGACATAGAATCATCAGTGATGAGAAGCACCAATTGGCTGCCTCCTGCAACCTGGCCCGGAGTCAAATTATGACCTCCTGGTTCATAGGTCAACTTCAACCACTGGCCCACACTGCCCGGGCCAGTTTCTTTTGGTGAGGGATCACTCGGTGTCCTCTTTCCTGTCTTTGCGGCCAGCCTCTCCCAGCCCCTTTTGGGGAGCACATCTTTGTACAGGGCGTGCTTTTACCCACTCCAAAAGTCTGTTCCTTTGTTGCCAAAGCAGGTCCTTTGGAATTAGTGGGATTATTATGTTTGAATTTTCTACTCTCCTATTGCATACTTTCTGTTTGTCCCTCTTTTCTTTTACTTTTTTTTTTTTTTTTTTTTGGATCAAGTTTTCCTATCTTTTTGTTTGCCTTCTACATTCTGTTTCTACTATTTTAGTAGTTACGTTAAATTATAACATGTGTCCTGATTTAGTTGGTACAACATGGTTAATATCTTCACCTGAACTCAGTACCTCATCGTCGCTTATCTGTTACTTCTGCCTAGAACACATGTGTCAAACACAAGGCCCGCTGGCCAAATCCGTCCCGCCAGGCCTTGCAATGTGGCCCGCACCGCACTGTCATCACTGCACTCCGCTGTGTTTCCATCACAATGACAGTTTATGACCAGTAAACCATTCGGCCCGCGATTTAGGCTGGATTTTAGATTTTGGCCCCTTCTCTGATTGAGTTCGACACCCCTACCCTAGAACTTGTGTTTCCTGTGGTTATGCCCACCAGGTGGTTTTGGTGGTTGTACCCAGTCTATGTGTGTTCAGACCTGCCTGTGTGTTTACAAGTTTACTGCATCTTTTTCCTTGCCTCTGGGTTTGGTTCACTTCATGAAGTGTGTCCTGCCAAGCCCTGCAGAAAAGGCTTTTGGTGGATTTTCTGTGCCTGGAAGACTTCCTGCCACGCTCTCATGAGTGGTAAGACAGCTGGGTATAGCGTTCTAGGTTGGCAGTTACTGTCCGTCTGTGAAGAGGACGTGGCATGTGCACTTCTTCTGGCTCCTGCTGCTGCTGGAAGTGCGGTGTTCTCTGCCTCTGCGCCTGCGCCCTTAGTTCTGCTGAAGACTCCCGGGCTTGAGGGAAAGGATGGATGTCTTGTGTCACTTCTGGAACATTCTCTTCTAGTTATAATTCAGATACTGACTTTCCTCATTCTTTGTAGCCTTTCTTACTAGGACTTGCACTGGGAGTTTTTGTACTTTCTCATTCTGTCTTGCAAGTCTCTCAAATATGAAAGGGAGGTTGTCTCAGGTGCCTTCTGGGAAATGCCTCAGCACTTACTCCAGTTAGTCTTCTCTGCAGCTGTGTCTTCTCTGCCCCCCCCCCTTTTTTTTTTTTTTACTGTGCGGTGAGTTTTTAATTTCAGTGACTATCACTAGAATTTTTTCTCATTCGTTATTTTTTGTCATATTTTAAATTCTTTTTATGCTTTTTAGTTATTTGAAACATAGTTTTCTAGTGTTTAACGGATTATTCTGTTACTGAAGTTCGTGAGGAGTTGTAGAACCATGCATGTTCTGGTGATTAGAGATTGCACATCCATTTCTGACAGAGCCTACTTATTGGGGGACCCAGTATGGCTTGGGCTGAGAGTCCATCCCTCTTGGGTGGTCCCCTACCCTGGCCAATGCCAAGACACAAACTTAGTTGTTTCCCTGACAAAAGCATGTGTGTTTTTATCTGCTGCCACACCTTGTGACAGGTCACAAGTGTATTGTGTTTCCCCTTACAAGAAGTAAGTGATGTTAGGTCTGAAAGCGATGGGGAGCGCTCACAACACGATAGACTGTTTGCTTAGGCTCAGGTACAAGCCACCTCCCTGCTTGGCTCTGCTTTCGGCCGTCGTCCTCTTTCCTCTTCGGGTCTCCGTCTCAACTTGTCAATCGGTAGTTAGTTAAAGAGATGAGGTGAGAATACATCTAAGTCTGTCCGTCCATCTCTTATGATGACAAAAGTCTTAAAAAGATGCATTGCTGCAGAGAAGAATGTTAGTGTGAATTACGTGCAGACGCTTTCTCTGATTGGCCGGGTGGCTCCGGAATCAGTTGGAAGATAGTCCCTGGTCAGAAGACAGTGATGAGTCTGACTGACATCAGACTGTCTCAAAGGTAAAAGAGCAATGTGATGGTATCTGCCAGTGAGAGTGACTCAGAACAAGAATGGGCAGAACAAAGTATTTTGCCAGCCTTGGAGGGTTATACACATATTTCTGGCATAATGGAAGACCCCACAGGGTATAAGTGAAGTAACCAATTTATTTTTTTAAAATATATTTTTATTGATTTTAGAGAGGAAAGGAAAGACAGAAACATCAATGACGAGAGAGAATCATTGATTGGTTGCCTCCTGCATACCCCCTACTGGGGATCAAGCCTGCAACCCAGGCTTGTGCCTTCACTGGGAATCGAATCATGACCTCTAGGTTCAACCACTGAGCCACACTGGCCAGCCACCAATTTTTTTTTTATAAGGATTTTTTCTATCGAATATCTCATTACTTCTCAAACCAATCCATACCATTACCAAATGCAAAAATACCACAAAACCCCTGCTAAAATTTCACCACGGACGAATGTTACTTATATGGCTATAAAGAAGATTCTTGGTTTATTATATTGATGGAACTAATGAAGAAGCTAGAATGCAGAGATTACTGGTCAACTGATCCTTTTCTGGAATCACCCACATTTCTAAAAACTGACTAAAAGCGGTTCAACAACTACTTTTTTTTTTGTGCAACTTCACGGTGGATACAGGTGAAAGCAAAGAGTTACAACAGACTATTTACCCGTATTCCAGCCTTTCATGGTTCTTGGCACCATATTTACAAGGTGATGGCTACAGCCGTGGTGCTGGGACTGAGGAGAGCGGCCGGTCTCAGGGGTGGAGGCCACGGCCCATGGCGGCCTCGGTTTACCAGCATCGAGAGCCCTTCCTGCTCATGAGAGTGTGGAGGGTCGCGCCCGTGGGTTCGGCCTTGGGGGCGTCCCCGCTCAGCCCCGGCACCGCCGCTGTCCCGGCCCAGGCTCTGTGGGCACGGTGTCGGACGGATTGTCCGGCATGTCCATGGTGGAGGGCTTGTCGGAATAAGGCTCTGCATTTGCCAGCACAGGCCACGTGCAGTGCTGAGCGGGCAGCCTGCTCTGTCACCACGTACATGCTGTGAAGCCGGGGTTCCAGAGCCCCCGCCCCCTGACGCGGTCTGACTGAGGGGCCTCAGCCCGAGGAAGCTGGAAGCCTGGCCTGAGGAGAACCACGGTCCCTGGGCTCAGCTCAGAGGACAGGCACAGCCACGTGTGGCTGCTGATGGACTGAAGAAATATTTGGAAAAATCAGATGTTTTTCTCCACAGACTGAGGCCGACGAGACCTTGTAGATCAGACGTACGAGCGGGTCTCCCGTGTGGGAGAGCTGGGGACAGAGGCCTGGAGGGCGCAGGGTCCCCAGCACGCTGGTATCTGGCAGGGCCTACACTGCCCAGGCCCCTAACGGTGCCCTGTCACTGACGCAGCATGCCCGTGGGAGTGTGGCTGCCCCCTGTAGGTGTGTGTCTGCCCCCCTGTAGCAGTGTGGAATTGCAGTAGCAGGAACGACCCTGTCCCGGCTCCTGCCAGGCTCTGCAGAGGTAGTGCCAGCCATCCATGTCTGTGGAGCTCTCGGGGGCCACTCACCATCCCTGGGTCGGCCCCCTCTGTGCATGGCGATTCGCGTTGCCGACCGGCCCTCGCTGGCCTCCTGCCGACACTGGTTTCGGCATTTCCGGTTTCCATTGCCAGCTTTATATGCCCTCGTGCAGGGGGTCTTGGTCTGGAAACTGAGACTGGACTTCCAGGTCTCCGCCCCTCGAAGGGCGGGCTGTGGCTTCAGAGCAGGTGACGATCCAGAGCGGGGCCTCGGAGTGCGGTCCATGTGGCGGTCAGGTCCCGGCTGTCTTCTCTGGGCCTTTGGTTGACCTTGAGGTTGGAGCCGTTTCTGAGCGGATGACCTAGTTCCGTCCTTTCCTCCTCAGGACTGATGAAGCCCATGGTGCCCCCAGACTCTGTCAGCGGGGCGAGCTGTCGCTCTGAGGAGCAGAGCCGGGGCCCCCAACTGCAGGAGCGAAAAGTGACCGCCCTCGACCCCGCCCCGGTGTGGAGCCCCGAGGGCTACATGGCCCTGCAGAGCAAGAGCTACTCGCTGCCGCCCCCAAAGGCCAGCGACGCTTTGGCCATGGACATGCACGTCAGGTGAGACAGCGTGGTCCTGCCGCCTGCACCCGGAGGCCTCTCCCAGAGACACGGCCAGGGGAGGGCGCGGGAAGGGCCGGCCAGGCCTTCTGGGAAGGGGCGGGAGGGTGGCATGGATGCTGGTGTGAGTCGCTGTCTGAGGTGGGATGGGAGGCCCAGGAGCAATCGGTTCGAGGCGAATCTCTGAACGGGGGGGCCCAGGGGGGGGTAGGGCGCTGGGCTCGGCAGGCAGGGGGGGCAGTGGGGACTCCTGGGAAAGCAAAGCATGCTGGCCCCTCGGCCAGTGCCGACCTCTGCATGGACCCCAGGCGCCGGCTGACCGAAGCAGAGGATCCCCGCCTCTCCCCCTCCAGGGGGACACGCCGCGTCCACCCTCAGCCACCGCCGCCTTCACTCCGGACTCCAGGGCACCCACTCTGGACCGGCCCAGCCGCTCTGAGGCCTGTTTAAAGATAGAGGAAATGTTGGTGCTTGTGTTTTTTTTCCTTTTTCCTTTTTTCGTTTTTTTTTTTTTTTTTTTTTTTACACATTTTTTCTTTTGAAAACTAAGCTCTGTGTTCAGCATGGAAAGCAGGAACCAGGCTCCAACCACATTGACTGGTGTTTCTGGTTCCTTTTCAGGAATGAGAGCGCTTACTCTGCCTCACCCGGAAGGCCAGGGGGCGTAGGCGCCCCGCGCGCCCTCCTGGAGGAGAGAGTGGAGGAGTACTTGGGTGCTTTCGACACGAAGGCCCAGGCAGACTTTGACAGCTGTGTCTCTGCCCACAGAAGAGGCCAGGAGCTTTTGTTCCCACCCCCAGACAGTGTGCAGGATGCAGGGGCTCCTCGGGGTCACACCCCAAACCCCAGGTGCTCCCCACTGGAGCCCGACTTTGCCCCAGCTGAGAAAAAGCCAGATTATAGCAGCTGGGACGGTAGCCACCAGCCCACGGCCACACACACAGCCGGCGGCGTGGACAAGGAGGTTCCCCGGGAGGAGCCGCCCTTCAGTGCCTCCTGGGAGAAGGAGGGGAGCCCCCACAAACAGCCGTCCCTGGAGCCCGAGTGGACCCCCGAGCCCCGGGGCCCCGGCAGCCAGCAGCAGGAGCCAACCAGCAGGACCCGGAGGTCGGGGCCCATCAAGAAGCCAGTGCTGAAGGCGCTCAAGGTGGAGGACAAGGAGAAGGAGCTGGAGAAGAGCAAGCCGGAGCCGGGGGAGGAGAGCACCCGCCCGGCCCCCGAGGAGGCGCCACGGCCCCCGGCCGAGCACGAGGACCAGGAGAACGACCCCACGCTGGCCAACGCCTCCCCCTCCGCCCCGGAGGCCCCGGGCGCCGGCCGCTCTGCCAGCAAGTCTGAAGAGGACGAGAAGCCCGACAGGGGCTGGGAGGCCAGGCCTGCCCGGGAGCCCAGCGACACGCCGCTGACCAAGAGGAGCAACTGGATCTTCATCGATGAGGAGCAAGCCTTCGGGGGCCGAGGGCAGGCCCGGAGCCGTGGCCGCGGGTTCCGAGAATTCACCTTCCGTGGCCGGCCCGCTGGCGGCGGCCCCAGCATCTGCGGTGGCGGGGGGGTCCTGGGGGCGCGGGGCGTCTACACCAACAGCCAGAGGAGCGGCCGCGGCCGGGGCCTGCACGAGTTCGGGCCGCCCGACGACTTCCCCCGCGCCAAGCCCCGGCGCCGCATCGCCAGCGAGACGCACAGCGAGGGCTCCGAGTGCGAGGAGCTGCCCAAGCGGCGGCGGCAGAGGGGCGCGGACGGCGGCCACGACGGCTCGCTCCTGGACAGGGAGGAGGCCGCCTCCAGGAAAGGCGACTTCAGAGACTCTTGGCGGTCCCACAGGATGTACCCCGACGACCACGGCGGTCTGGAGGCGAAGAGCAGGGGCCCGCGGGCCTTCGGACGCGCCCTCCCTCCCCGGCTGAGCAACTGCGGCTACGGGCGGAGGACCTTCGTGTCCAGAGAGGCTGCCCACTGGCAGAGCCGCGGTGCCGGCGCCTGCTGGCAGGACCACGGCTCCCCCGACGCCGGCCCCCGGCGGCCCCCCGACAGGGACTGCGTCCCCGAGGCCCCCCGGCACTCGGACAGGGGCTGCGAGGACGGCCGCCTGGAGGACAAGAGAGCCTGCTTCCCAGACGACCCCGGGGCCGATGCCGACAGCGAGAACCGGCCCTTCCGCCGGAGGCGCCCCCCGCGCCAGGACAAGCCCCCGCGCTTCCGGCGCCTCCGGCAGGAGCGCGGGCCCGCGGGTCTGTGGGGGCCCGAGGAGGAGCCCCACCTGCTGGCCGGTCAGTGGCCAGCCAGGCCCACGCTCTGTCCCGGGGACAGGAGTGGCGCCGCGGGCCGCAGGTCCCCCGAGCTGTCCTACCAGAACTCCTCGGACCACGCCAACGAGGAGTGGGAGACGGCCTCCGAGAGCAGCGACTTCAGCGAGCGGCGTGAGCGGCGGGACGGCTCCGGGCCCGAGCCCGGCTCCCACCTGGACGGCGGGCTGCCCGGCGCCAGCCTCGGGGAGAAGAAGGAGCTGGCCAAGCGGAGCTTCTCCAGCCAGAGGCCCCTGGTGGACAGGCAGAGCCGGAAGCTGGAGCTGGGGGGGTTTGGGGAGAAGGCTGTTAGGCCAGGCGGTGGTGACACCTCTCCCCATTATGAGAGCCAGCAGAGTGGGACGCCTTTGAAAGCCAAAAGGTAAAACAACACAGCCCGGTCCTGTTGTTGCTTGTTCTGTGGTTGAGCCGGTGTCTGGAGCCGCACTCCATGCATGCGTGTCCCGCCGTGTCAGGCCCGCCCCGCGCCCGAGGGACTCCGCAGCCCTCGTGTGAGCGAACCCTCACTCGCCCTGCACCGCTTGTCTGCTTCCCGTGGCGTCTTGTTGTCGTGGCTTCAAAACCAAACCAGAGGCCCCGCCCCAGCGGCCCTCTTACGTGGCACCTGGCCCAGGAGCCCGGCCTCCTTACGTGCCCTTGGGCTTCCCCTAAGGGGCCACTGCAGTGAGGTGCCTGCCCGAGGTGGCTCCTCCCGAACGGCTCTGCTTCCGGCAGCCAGGAGCTGCGGGCACTGCCCTGTGTGTGGTGAGACAGGCAGGAGCGGGCACTGCCCTGTGTGTGGTGAGACAGGCAGGAGCGGGCACTGCCCTGTGTGTGGTGAGACAGGCAGGAGCGGGCACTGCCCTGTGCGTGGTGAGACAGGCAGCCCGGGCCTGTGAGTGGCTGGCCCGGGATCGGATGCTGTGATGTGGATGGCCCCAGCTCAGTGTCCCTCAGGAGTGTTCCCACATGTCCCTGCTCAGATTTGGGGCAGAGCCTGGATGACTTCCCCCAGAGGAGGAGCCACAGGGCGTGCGAGTTCTTGGGTGTCCGTTGGTCTAGGATGCCAAGGCCGGGCTTTGCCTCTGCCTCTGCCCTGAGAGCCTGGTGGCCGGGGCCTGGGCGGCCACGGGCGGTGTTGTGACGGGAGGATGTCCTGTGTGGAGTCCCGCCACCGTGGCTCACAGTGGCAGACGGAGCACTGAGCCCTGGGCAGGGCCGGCGCGGCTGGAGAGGCCTCCCCCGTGGCCCGCCCAGGACGCAGTGCTGCTGCCAGTGGCTTCCCAGGAACAGCTGGTGAGCCGCGGGGCAGGTCAGGGACGGTGCGTGCTGTGTGCTTCCTTCCCCACCTGCTGCTGCTTCTGAGCTAATGAGGTCCCCCTTCCCTTCCAGGACCCCGGACGAGGCCTTGCCCGGAGGTCACAGTGGCCACCACCCCCTGGAGCGGGCTGTCCACGCCACCTCGGACACCGAAGCCGCCTGTGAGGAGGCCCCCCTGGCTGCTCCAAGGGTGGGCGAGCAGGGAGAGGCCATGCAGCAGTTTGACCTGAACTACGGAAGTGAGTCTGTGTCCTTGTGTCTTCGGGGAGGGAGGAGCCGAGCCGGGTGAAGTGGGGCCTCGCCTGCAGCTGCCAGGTCTGCCCTCTTGCTGTCTGAACTTCTGGGGCGAGGCGACCCCAGCCTTGTTCTGGGGTACAGAGATGAGCAGAACAGATGCGGCCCCTGCACTTGTGTTTCTCACAGCTTGCCAAACCCCTTCACTGCCCTAGAGTGCCCCCACTGTTCAGGGAACTGAAGATGGGAACCCGAGGCCAGTGAGGCTCGTGGCTCATTAGGAGCAGAGCTGGGACTTAAGCGTTTCTATTTCCAGAGACTTTTCTGGGCGGTAGTGTCACTTAGGTCTCTGGTTTGCGTTAACGGTGTGTTAGAGCTCACGGGAGGGTGTGGGATCCCAGCTCGTTCTGTAGGCAAGATGAACTCTGCGCAGCTCCTGGGAGGTGCCCAGCTAGGCACTGCCCAGCCTTGGGAACTGAGCCGTGCCAAGATGTCGGGTGCCTGTAGGGCTGGGTTCTCCGTGGCTTCTGGTGAGTGGGACACCATCCCTTTGGTGAACTCTTGGTTCAGATTCCATCCTCGAGAATTGTGGGTCCAGCCCCGGGGAGGACACGGAGGTGGGCTCCATGGTGGGTGAAGGCTTCATCGAGATCCTGACCAAGAAGCAGCGCCGCCTGCTGGAAGAGGAGAGGAGGAAGAAGGAGCAAGCTGTGCAGGTGAGGCGCTCGGGGAGAGGAGGAGCAGGCTTGGGAGCAGCTGGTGTGGGGAACCACAGCCAGGAGCCTCCGAGTTCTGGGTGCAGCAGGGAGGAGGGCGGAGGGCAGGAGTGTCCCTCAGACACCTTCCCCAGCACCACAGGGGATGACCCCGTCCCTGTTCTCAAAGAGGGACTGGCCGCTGACAGCAGGGGAGCCCAGCTTAGCACGTGCAGACGGCCTCAGTCCATGTCTGTCCTCTTCCCCGGCTCCTTGGGACCCTGTGCTCGCCTGGCACCCTCGGGGCACTGCACACTGCCCTGTGGTCGGCTTCCTCACAGGCCATTGGCTGTGAGCCCTCGCCGGGTGTGGCATTAACACTCGTGGTTGAGGTCTTGAGAGAGAGAGAGAGAGTTCCAACATCGCTGGGGCACGTTCTCTTGGTTCTGATGGCCCAGAGGCATTGCTGGCGAATATGTCACATGCCTGACCTCTAGGACGGCCTCTCCACCTTTCTTTCCTTAGGTGCCTGTCAAAGGTCGGAGCCTTGCCTCCCGCATTCCGCCTCGGTTTGCGAAAAAGCAGAACAACTTGGGCCTGGAGCAAGGCGATGTGCCCGTGCCAGGCGGCAGCCTGGGCACCGAGATCTGGGAGAGCAGTGGCCAGGGTAAGAGTGCTTAGCCCTGGCTGTTTTCTTCAGGGAACATCAGCTCCAGGACTGAGGCTGCAGGCGGGCGTCCTCTAAGCAGTGTTAGCCCCACCGGAGCCATTGGTGGCGTAGCAGGGGTAGACGTCCCTGCCTTGCAGCTGCTGGAACAGCAAAGCGTTCCGTGAGTCTGGAGACCTGGAGAGGGGCTGGCCCCGCCCCCCTTGCCAAGGCCCTCGCACTGGCCTGGCTCCCTTTGCCCATGGCACTTGCCCTCACCTGTTATGAGTGGAGGAGCGACGATGACTGCCAGCAGGGGCACCAGGCCCAGGGCTTTGTGATTATGGAAGGACGGCTCTGTCAGCCCCAGGCACTCTGAGACAGACAGACTTGGGACCAGATTAAGGGTGGACCTTGCTCTTTAGAAAATTTGTTCCCCTGAACTATATATTAAAAAAGCGTATATTCAACGCTATTTTCCTAATAACTTTAAAAACAAAGCCATCTTAACGGAACCAGTTCTTCTTGAATGCCCGCTTTGGACGGGACCCGGAGGGAACAGAACAGGGCACAAGGCACCCCGGGGAGCGTGAGCAGTCACCCACAGCCAGCTGTGTTTACACAGCACAGCCCGGCGCTCAGGTGTGAGCCTCCCCCTCTGAGGCCGGGGTCCTGGGCTCTGGGCCTGGACTTTCAGTTGGCGCCATGTGGCCTGTCCCATTGCAGAACGAGGCTGGAAAGAGCGATACCCTCTCCGTGAAATACCGATGTTAGGCAGTCGGTGGTGTGTGACGGGGGGTGTCAGTGTGCACGTGCGGAGGTACCTGCCCAGGCTGGCTAGAGCGGATGGAGGAGGGATTCTGTAGGCTTCCCCTTGGTTCTGCAGGCTCAGACCACGGCCGGGTGGCTGACGGTCTTACGTGAGGTTGTGGACAGGCACAGGTTGTGGCTCCTGCTGGAGTCTCGGTAGTGGTGGCGTGGGCCTGGCAGGACTGGCAGCAGCGCCCAGGGGGCAGAAACCGGTAGCTGGCTTGAGTGTAGGTAGTGTCACAGCGGAGAGGCTTCCTCAGGGTGCTGGGTGGCGGTGATGCTCTGACCAGCCCCCAGGTGTCCGCGCTGCTCGCTGGCGTGTGGGGGGACCACCAGGGCCAGGGGCCTGGGTTTGTGTAAGCCGTGCTGTGCTCGCCATGGCAGCCTTCTTGCTCCTTTTTGACGTCCTGACTCTGCTCCCTCCTGCTAGCTCTGCCCGGCCAGGCCTCAACCAGTGACTCCTGGACTAAAGCTGCCACCGCCTTCAACGGCTCTGAGTCCGGCTCTGCTGAGGTGAGTACTGGTGCTCCCCGTCCTGTGCTGGGCTGTGTCTGTCCTGCGGCCCAAGCCCTCCCTCAGCCTCAGCACCTGAGCCTGTACCCGAGGCCATTCCCTCAGGCCCCAGCAGGTGGCTGGACTACAGTCTGATTCTGACCTCTGTGAGGTGCGTGTGTGAGAGGCAGGAAGAAAAGGGGTTACCCACCCCATGTCGGGGAGCAGGCAGGGCTCCCTTCACCCCTGTGACGGTGGTCACAGTTTGGTTAGGGTCACGTGAGAGATGAGTGTGATGGTCTCAGCCGAGGACCCGCTGGGGGTCTGGAGATTCGGACAGGGGTGCCTTTGGCCACATCCATCCCTTCAGTTGTCTGGTCAGGACCCAACGCGGGGCAAGATGGCACACAGGCGGCAGCACGGGGAGCAGGGCCAGGGCGCTAACCCGCGGGGTGCCTTGCACAGCAGGGCTTTAAGAGCAGCCAGGGAGACAGTGGTGTGGACTTGAGCGCCGAGTCTCGAGAGTCGTCCGCGACCTCCTCGCAGCGCAGCTCGCCGTATGGCTCTCTGAAGCCGGAGGAGATGAGCGGGTCCACCCTGGAGCCCAAGGCTGACGGCCACAAGGAGCAGGCCCAGAAGCAGCCTGAGCAGAAGGTAAGGGGAGCCCCCTGGCAGGGCCGGGCCTGGGCAGAAGGGCTCGCTGTCTGGCTTCTCCCTGATTCCCGGGCGTAGAAGGGCACCTGGTCTGCCTCTCAGCTTCTCTCTTTCCCGGCCAGGACTCGGAACAAGGCTCTGCGCAGAGCAAGGAGCACCGGCCCGGACCCATCGGCAACGAGCGCTCCCTCAAGAACAGGAAGGGCTCCGAGGCGGCCGAGCGCCTGCCCGGCGCCGCCGTCGCACCGGTCAACGGGGTGGAGATCCACGTGGACTCGGTGCTCCCGGTGCCGCCCATCGAGTTTGGAGTCGGCCCGAAGGTGAGGCTTTATTTACTTGTTTGTACTTGGAGAGGTTGTCTCCTAGACAGAGGCACTGGGGAGCGTGCGGTGAGCTGTTCCCTGGAGTCCCTGCTGCCGCCACCAGGGTCTCAGGCCGACCGTGCGCAGTCTTGTCTCTCCCGGGCGGGCAGCGGGCACGGCAGGGAGAGGAGGAGAGGCGGCACTCGGCCCTGCGCCGCGGGGAGCACGCGGCCAGGTGCTCGCGTGGTGGGTTTTTAGAGGCGCTGAGACCACGGCTCTGCCGCACGGTGAGCGGGGTGATCCAGGGACTCTGTCCCCTTCTTCCAGGACTCGGACTTCAGCCTGCCGCCGGGGTCCGCGCCTGGGCCCGCCGGGAACCCAGTGGTCAAGCTCCAGGACGCCCTGGCTAGCAACGTGAGTGTGCGTCCGCGCTGGTCGGCCGCGGGTCAGGCAGGTCGGGTTTGAGTCAGGACGTAATTTCTAGCTGCTCACATACCTTCAGCTAGTTGTGTCAATGTCCTACACCCCAATTTGCTCACCTTAAAACGGGGTCATGTGTTTCCCAAAGTCTGGTTTGTGTAGCGTGCTTCAGTTCTGTTTTTCCAAGTCCGTGTCATGTTTGAGAACGCTGGGCACCACGCTGCCCGCCTGAGCCAAGCCTGCACCGGGACCTCTTTCTCAGCCTCCTGGAGGTCTCCAAGCCGGTGTGCTGGCGGCCAGTGGTTATGTTGCTGGCATAACCCTGCTAGAGAGCGGGGCAGGGGGACTCTCCTGGGCCTCTGTCAGGGCAGTCGTGAAGGCAGCTCTTTGGAGGAGATAAACGGGTCTCGGCGCTGGCAGCTTCAGCTTGTGTCTGAGCACAGGACCAGACCTGAAGGACATGTAACACGCCGTCCCGCCGCCTCTGTGCCTCCTGTCTCCTCCAGGCCGGGCTGACACAGAGCATTCCCATCCTGCGGCGAGATCACCACATCCAGAGGGCCATCGGCCTCTCCCAGATGTCCTTCCCCACAGCCGACCTCACCCTGAAGGTAACGCCCGTCCTGAGCGCGGCAGGCCCATGGGCGTGTGAGGAGGCGGGAGCGGCAGCCCCCCACACTGCCATCGGCTCTCCCCGGCGACGTTCATCCCTCTCCTCCCTTTCCTCCAAGATGGAGTCTGCGCGGAAGGCTTGGGAAAACTCGCCCAGTTTGCCGGAGCAGAGCTCTCCGGGGGGCCCGGGCGCGGGCATCCAGCCCCCGTCCTCGGTGGGCGCCTCCAGTGGGGTCAACTACAGCTCCTTCGGTGGCGTCTCCATGCCGCCCATGCCCGTGGCCTCCGTGGCACCGTCTTCTCTCCCAGGTACGGCCCGAGCCGCCTCGTGCGCTTCGCGGAGTGTGCGGTGGCAGCCTGAGCTCACCCGCGTGGCTCCCCGTCTGCACGTGGGAGGTCGGGGTCACAGCGTCCCTGAGGCTCTGTCCCAGCCCCTGGAGGGAGGACGAGCAGAGACAGGCATTGAGGTGGATCGGGGTCACGGGGGCCGTGTCCCCTCTGCCGGTGGGCGGCGCCCCTCTGCGTCTCGGTCCGGCTCAAAGCCAGCCCGGCGAGGACGGCGCTCCGGGGGGAGCCATGCTGACAGAGGCCACACCGGGAAGTGCTTTCCTCTCAGCCACGGACATGTCCTTCCTGCCAGCATCCTGGTCATCGCGTCTGTGCCCAAGGGGGAGGGGGCAGTTTTGAGGTCCTGGCTGCCGAGGTCTCAATGATGGAATTCCAATAGATCCTTCTGACCCTCCACTGTGGACTCAATAGCAGGGAGATGAAGAGGAACGTGGCTGAGAGACCCAGGCAGCCTGCATGCGGTGGAGCCGCCTGCACGGGGCAGTGGGCACAGCGTGTCCCTTAGGGTCCTCAGGGACAGGGAGGCCTGATCCTGTCTGCCTCCGTGGGTTCTGTCTCCAGGCAGCCACCTGCCGCCTCTCTACCTGGACGGCCACATGTTTGCGAGTCAGCCCCGGCTGGTTCCCCAGACGATACCTCAGCAGCAGAGCTACCAGCAGGTGAAGGCCGCGGGCTGGGGTCCGGGGGGAGCCGGGGGCGGTGTCAGAGTCCTCCTTTCTCCTTTCTCCGTGTCCCTCACGTGTCGTGCCCAGCACCTGGCATGCCATGGCAGCCATCAGTGTGTGGGGACGCGTAAACGAGAGGCGAGGAAGAGGGATGGAGCTCAGTGCTCCAGACTCTGCTTAGTTTCCTTCGAGTTCCCCTCTGTCCGGCCGGGGAACTGGCTGAAACGGAATTCTCTTTGGTGATCAGGTACCCTTCTGATGAAGAGAAGCAAGGCCTAGACTCCCAGGCATGGATGCATTAGAAAGAGGTAGTCTTAGAACGAGCAGGCGTTGGTTTTTATGCAGCACCGGCAGTTCCCGTGCTGCAGGGGGTGCTTGCTGGAAGCTGGAAGCTGGCGGGGGCCAGACTTTCCTGCCAAGCCAGCACCAGGCTCCCCGCGGAGGCCTCCCAAGAGCAGATCGGGGCAGAGGAGAGGCGTGGGCCTGGCCTGCCTCTTTAAACGTGTTCTCCAGTGTCACCTTGTCTAGTTGTGCAAGGGGACGGCCTTCACGGAACCGGATCATACTGCGTGAGTTCTGTGTTGGTGGTCCGCTCACCCTTGCGTCTGAGCGCCACCTCGATGTGTGCAGTAGGGAGGCTGTGACGCGTAGAGCGAAGGAAGCGCAGGAGGAGGTGCTTGGACTTGTACTCGGGCGGTTCCAGCTGCGTGCGGAGGGGAAGGGAGGACCGGCTGGGAGGGCCCCGCGGTGACCTGCTGGCTTCCCCACAGGCTGCCGCTGCCCAGCAGATCCCCATTTCCCTTCACACGTCTCTGCAGGCGCCAGCCCAGCTGGGGCTGAGGGGCGGGCTCCCTGTCTCCCAGTCACAGGAGATCTTCAGCTCCCTGCAGCCCTTCAGGTGAGACCGGGAGCTCAGACCTCTGCATCCTGTGCGCCCGTTCCCTTTGCTCTGCCCTTGGGGTGGTGGTCACTATAGTTCGTTCTTCGCCATGTGCAGGAGGGGCTGAGAGCTGCCCCCTGCCCTCTGCCACGCCCACGCCCTTGCCCACCGCCTCCAGCTGCCCTTGCTGTGTCTCCCGTCCAGTGCTTTAGGCATCACACAGGTTTCCCTGCGTCTTGCACGTCTGTCCGTTTGTTTAATCCAGTGATGCCCAAACTGTGGTCCCTAGGCCAGCAGCAGGGCACTGTCCAGGCCGTGTACACGCCGGGGCCTCGTGCTGGCTCTCCCACGCCTGCCCTGACACCGTCTGGCTTTTGCAGGTCGCAGGTGTACATGCACCCCAGCCTGTCGCCGCCCAGCACCATGATCCTCTCCGGGGGCACAGCCCTGAAGCCTCCGTACTCAGCGTTCCCCGGCATGCAGCCCTTGGAGATGGTGAAGCCCCAGTCCGGCTCCCCCTACCAGCCCATGAGCGGGAGCCAAGCCCTGGTGTACGAGGGCCAGCTCAGCCAGGCGGCCGGGCTGGGCGCCTCTCAGATGCTGGACTCCCAGCTCCCCCAGGTCAGGAGCCAGTCCCTCACCCCCACCCCCACCCGCCTACCCCACCCCTGCCCGCTTTTCCCTTGCCTGCCTTGGTGTGTGCCGACTCGCTGCTGTAGCCTCGGTGACTGGGCCTTGGGCTGGTGGAACCAGGCCACATGCTCAGCCCCTTCTGAGGGATCTCATCACCTCTGTCCCCAAACCTGCTTCACCTCAGAGCAGTGCGCCTCCTGGAGCGCCCTCCCCCTCCCTCCCGCGCTGTGGGGCTGCAGGTGAAGTGAGCCATGCTTCCGTCCTCCCAGCTGTCTGCTGGACCTGAACTCAAATCCACTGGGCTGCCCCCATCTGGGCTCTAACGTCTGTATCTCACGGCATCTCCAGCTTGACTTGTTCAGACACCGGGTCCAAAACGGGGTTTTCTCCCTGGTTCTTGAGGTGGCCCAGTCCGTGTCCCCCGCTCTGGGCTGTCAGAGGGCAACAGACCCTCCCTGGCAGGCTCCCGCCCCTCCCTCTAAATCAGGTGGCGTGTGCAGGGCAGGCCTGGGTCCCCGCGGCTCTGGCTGCCACGTGTCTCCGTGATGCAATTCCAATAGATCCTTCTGACCCTCCACTGTGGACTCACCAGCAGGGAGATGAAGAGGAAAGTGACTGAGAGACAAAAGGGGGCTCCCTCTGCCCCCTCCTCACCCACCTGGTTCTGGACATTGGAAGGGGTGGCTGAGGCTGTGCAGTTACTTTCTCTGTCGTAACGGGCGTCCGAAGTCCCAGGAGGCTCCAGTTCGGTTCCAGGAACCCTGGCCCAGAGCATTGTGCTCAGACCTTTAGGGGCAGAGCTGGGCGGGTTGGCCCGGGCTCTGCCCAGAGGGAGCCTTTCCTGCCTGGCTGTTCTCACTGGGGTCCCCGTGGACGCCACCTCCCGAGAGCCTCCCGGCCTCCCTAGCTCTTCCCCTACCGCCCGCACACGGACCCGCACACGGACCTGCACAGGCTGCTGCCCACACTGCGCTCTGGCACCGGCGTGGCGCCCAGCATGGCACCGACTGCCCTCGTGGCTCTGGGCTGACCGTGTCCTGGCGCTTCCCCGCACAGTGTGCCTTCAGCGAGCCTTTGCAGGGTGGAAGCGGGGAGGGCTGGAGCACACGCCCCTTCCACCTCGGCGAGGGGCCCCGCCCACCGGGTGGCACTGGCCCCCTCGCCTGTGCCTGCCTCCTCACCACCCACTGTTCCCCCCGCCGAGTGTGAAATCCAGGGTGACCTCGAGTTTCGCACTGCGGGGCGGGAGGGCCTCGCTGTGACTCGTGAAATAAGAGCCTGAAGTCTGACGTGTGCTTGCTCTTGGGTGTGAGTGTGAACACCGCTTCCCTTCCTGACTGTCCCCGTTGTCAGCAGCTGACGATGCCACTGCCCGGCTCCCAGCTGCCCCTGCCGCGCTACGGCTCCGGACAGCAGCCCCTGCTCCTGCCCCAGTCCATCCAGCTGCCGCAGGGCCAGAGCCTCTCCGTGGGGGCCCCTCGCAGGATTCTCCCGCCCGGGTCCCAGCCTTCGGTCCTCAACACCAGCAGAGAGGTGAGCGGCTCCATCCTGCTGGCATCCTGGAGGGTGTCACCAGCCCTCAGTTAGCCAGACGCCACTGTGTGGCAGGAAATGCCAGGGGCCTCCTGCCTTCTCATGGCCAGGAGCCTGGTTAGTGTACAAGCTGGCCGTGTAGGAAGCTCAGGTGTGCGTTGCCACGCAGGAAGGAGGTGTGTCAGTCCATGCCTGGTCCCTATGTGGGTACAGGAGCACCCGAGGAGCCAGCTCAGGGCCAGGTCTTGGAGGCCCAGGGAGAGAGTGTCTGGGGCGGGGCCCAGGCCCCACGCTCCTCACTAGCCCCGTGGTTCTGCTGAGGCCGCCTCGTCAGGGCAGAGATGGCAAGGGAGCGCCCGCGGTGGTGCTCAGCCCCTTCAAAAGGAACAAGCCTCCAGCCTCGATTCCTTTAAGAGCTGCCTCTACCCAGAAGCTCTGGGTCTCCCTGGGCCCCATCGGCTGTGCACAGGGCGGTTCCGCAAGGGCCAGGCTGTCCCCAAGGCCACCAACCCGCAGCTTTTGCTTCCCGGTCTCTAGTCCTCGCAGATGGAGATGAAGGGCTTCCACTTTGCCGACAGTAAACAGAATGTTCCTTCCGGAGGCTCCGTGCAGTCACCACAGACCTACAGGTAAAGGAGCCGCAGGTGCTGCGGGGCTGGGGTTCCCAAGAAGCTAAGGCCCGGGAGGGGGCGCAGGGCACGGAGGCCGGTCCCCGTGTACGCCCACGTGTCACCATGACGCTTCAGTCATCGCTGAGCTCAGGGACTGGACTGGCTGTTGGTAACCCTCAGCCCGTGCTCTGCACTGGAGGGCTTGCCTGGAGGGCGGGGAAGGACAGCCGATGTCAGTGTCGGGCTGGCCCTCACTCGCACAGCCCTCTCGCCGGCTCTCAGGACAGCAGTCCGTGGCCGCGCAGGCGCAGCCCAGGCGGAGGCGCCCCCTCCCCTGGACATGGAGCTGCTGGGCCCCGCCTTTTTGCTTCCTCCCCACCCGTCTCTGCCTCCAGCACCAGCCCCAGGGCCCTGAGCTGGGTCAGAGCTGGCCTGGATGAATTATCTGGTTCAATTACTCGTGGTGAGAAGCTCTGGCTCTGCCAACGTCCTCACCCCAGGGGTCCGTGTAGCTGGGAGGGCAGCGTGACCGGCTTCGGGCCCAGGGTTAGTGCAGTGGACTCTGATGTGTGGGAGACTCTCCTGGAAGCCGCCCTGGTGGTAGATGAGTCAGACAGACGTGCAGCTGGCAGTGCCCGGGAGAGGTCAGTTGAGGCCCCTGCGCCCACCTGGTCCTCTGGGGGAGGGGGCCTGCAGTCAGATCTGGCCAGGCACTGTGCCCGCCGCTCCTGGAGCCACTTCCTTCCATCCTTCCAACAGCATTTCCAGGGGGAGGGGTTTTTGTGAATTTTCCCCATTTCAACTTTTCTTATTTTCACTCTCGTGGCTTCACTTGTTTTTATTAGTTCGCTTTATTATCTGATCATATTTTTCACATGGGCCAAAACAACAACCGTTAGAAACTGTGTGGGCAGCAGCACAGAGCCAGGTGCAGAGGGAGGTGGGAGGGAGGGAGGGAGGAAAGAAGGGAGGGGACTTGGAGTGTGCAGGTACTGCTGTCTCCCTGCAGCGCCCAGCTGCCACCCTTCCTGGACACACCCAGGAGACGGACCCTCCCTCACCAGAGCCGTGTGTGCCCAGTGTGGGAGTGACCGTCACTGCCCTCCGTGGAGCTGCTTAGAAAACAGAATCCTGAGCTAAGGGCCTTTGTTGGTATGTTCTTATAGAGAAGCATTTCCCACTTTTTCTGGAAACGACTTCTGAAGGTGTCCTGCCACCCGGGCTCCGCTCCGGTCCTTGGCGGGTGCTGTGTGCAAGGAGCCTGCTCCTGGGCACAGCCCGCGGTCCAGAGTCCTGGTGAGCTCTGCACACAGCGCTTCGCGTACTTTCACCATGAAATCATTTTTTCATTTAGCATCAATCACCCTTTCTGGGAACTGGTGGTCTGGGCAACGGGACACATGTAGAAAGGTGTCTACAGTATGGTTCCTTTTGGTATCTCCATCCCACCAACCTCCACCCCCACCCAAAGAAAGGGAAGACTAGAAAAATACTGGGCATGCCCTAACCGGTTTGGCTCAATGAACAGAACGTCGGACTGCGGACTGAAAGGTCCCGGGTTCGATTCCGGTCAAGGGCATGTACCTTGGTTGCGGGCACATTCCCAGTAGGAGGTGTGCAGGAGGCAGCTGATCAATGTTTCTCATCAATGTTTCTAACTCTGTAAAACTCCCTTCCTCTCTGTAAAAAATCAATAAAATACATTGTTAAAAAAAGAGAAAAAAATACTGGGCATAATTCTTAGGTTAAAGACCTTTTATCTGGCCACAGAGTCACGTTGGTCCAGACCCTCCAAGCCCTGAGAGACTTGCTCCTCCTGCCCGTCCATCTGCCTGGTCAGTTCTGTCCACAGGGGCCACCTCAGTCTCTGCCCCCGGGTGCATCTCCCCGCGCTGCGCCGGAGGATCCAGGGGGACTGACCCGCTCTCCTCTGAGCTTGGCTCCCGGGTGTCTTCCTCTGCCGGGAGGTCTGTGAGCCCGAGCCAGGGCCGCGCGCCGGGCTTGACTCCCTCCGCTGGTGACGTGTGTTCTCACCCCCTGCCTTTGGTTTTTTCAGGCCTAGCTCTGCTAGCCCCAGTGGGAAGCCCTCTGGATCAGCAGTTAACATGGGCTCTGTGCAGGGACACTACGCTCACCAGGTAGAAGATGGCTTTCCAGACCTCCAGCCCCGACGCTTAGGCCCGTCTCCAAGCGCCAAAAGAGAAGGGACTGTCCGCCCCGCTTGCATGCTCCTCTTATAGAGAGGAGTGCCCTAGCGCTTAGAGCATGGCGCCAGGGGTCGAGTCCTTCTGGCGGGCGAAGGCATTGCTCCTCCTGACGGGCGTCTGGATCCTTCCTTGTCCTGCAGAGAAGGGAGGATGCGGAGTCCCCGGAGGTGACGCCGGCAGGTGGACTGGCCTCCTAGCGATTCGGGCTGTGAAGGTGCTGGGACTGGGCTAGGTCTGGGTCAGCGCTAGCCGCCAGGCGTGTGCGTGAGCGTGCACACGTAGCCCTAGTGAGTGCCGTCCGTCTGTCCTGGCTGGGAGGGACCGCGATGGCGTGGCACTTCCTGGCCGAGGGGCACTGTGCTCTCTGCTGCTCGAGTATGACAGGCTCCGGGGCTCGGACATGTCAGCGCAGGCTTCTCAGTAAGGCAGCTCCTGGCTGGTGGAGGCGGAGGACTGGCCACTCACTTCACTTCTCCCCGCGTGGCTCCCCGGGCGGGGGCCGCTCCTGGAGGTGCTTGGATTGAGCGGACGCTCACGGTGTGGGGCAGATGGAGGCCGGTCACTCTGGCGCACTGCCCGGTGCTGACCTGAGAGTAGGGAGGCCCTGGTGTGAACCTGGAGGTCAGACTCGGTCCTGGGGATGGGCTCTCGAAGGTCTGGGAGACCACGCCTGCCTGCGGCCCCACCCTCTGCAGACAGGCGGGTCTCTGGGGGCTTTGTCCCGGGGGCACGGGGTGGGGCACTGATTGGAGGAGGTTCTTCAGTGCGGCCCTGCGTCTTCCTGCCTCCGATCACCGCACTCAGCGCCTGCAGGAGGGGACAGCAGCGCCACCGTGTCCTTCCTAGGAGAGCTGCTTCTAGTCTGTCCTCCACTGAAGGATGGACCCTTAGGGTAGCTCTTCTCCGGGGCTCAGGAGCAGGAAGCGGGGGGGGGCGGTCTGTGTAGCCTCGGTGGCTGCCGTGTGAGTGTAACTGCTTTGTCCCGTTCATCTGTCCAAAGGCAAAATCACGAGTGGATGAGAAGCCCTGCCTGGGAGCCATGACCCTGCAGGAGGCCCCCTTGGCCGCCTCCCAGATGAAGCGCACGGGAGCCATCAAGCCTCGGGCAGTGAAAGTGGAGGAGAGCAAGGCCTGAGGTGCTGGCCTGGCCGCGCTGCCGTGGGCAGAGCCCCCCCTCCATCCAACCGCCTGGCCGTCCAACCGCCTGGCCGGCTGGCAGACCCTCTCTGCTCCTGACAACTCCGACGTCTAACCAGCTTGCACCGTGGATATGTGGCGTTGACCTGCTTGCTTTCATCCAAAACAGTAAACAACCCTTCCCGTCTCCTTCCCGCCCGCCGGCCGCGGCCATGAGGATCCAGCCGCGCGCAGTGAGGGCGGCCGGGGCAGCCCCTCGGGCAGCTCCTCTGCGGGCTCAGTGCTCCCCCTCCCGCCCCGCACGGTGGCGTGGCAGCAGGTCCTTCCTTTGAAGCTTCTTGTTTTAAAAAGCAGCTGAAGCAGCCAAGGTTTTACAGAGAAAGGAAACAAGACACAAGCAATGTCTCTGTAGCTGAGCTTTCATATGGTCTTCGCCAGCCCGCCCTGATCCCTTGTCCAGTGGTGGCGCCCCCTCCTGTTCAGTGTGAGATGTCACTGCAAGACTCCGCTGCCTCCATTGGTTAGCCTCTGAGGCCACATAGGGCCTCCGGCTGCGCCCCAGGAGGCCCCGGGCAGCCCAGTGAGCTGGGTTTTACGTGAGGGTTTCTGTCCTGGAGCCTAAAGCCAGTGGACGTGCTGGCCGCTGGCCCTGAGGTGAAGCCCGGAGACACAGTCACTGGTGTGTTCCAGGTTGGCCTGTCGTGCGAGCAGGCAGCACCACAGCTCCCCACCCCCACCCACCCAACTCCCATGTCTGCTTTAGGGCCCCGGCACCCAGGGCTGAAGCCGCCTCTCCTGCGCCTTCTTCCCGGCCTCTCCCCCCGACACCGCTGGGCGGGGCCGGCAGGTCTCCCTGCTGCTCCTTGCCTAGCAGACAGCGCAGGTGGGCGACAAGGCACCTGAGCTGAGCAGTGAGGTCAGCCTTTCCAGCGTGGGCAGGTCCAAGGGAGGCTATTTGCAGGGCTGACCGTGGTTCTGAGAGCCTGGGCAGCCACCCAAGTCTGCAGAGCTGCCTCCGGCCAAAGGCTCACAGGAGCCATTTTATGCTGAGCTGAAATCACCCCAGACCCTGTCATCCGAGGGGGAACTTGTGGCTTTTGCACACTGAGCAGAACCTACACAGAGGGGGCAGCCATGGTCCCAGGGAGCCTGGCTCAGCAGAGCGGAAGGTGGGCAGGTGCCACCCTGTGACCTGCAGGTGTGTGCTGGCTGCTCGGGCTGCGTCTCGGCTCTGTTCCGCGTGGGGAAAGGGGGCTCGGGCTGCTGGAATGGCTCGTGCTGTGATGGCTGCTTTAAGGCTGGGACAGCCGCCTGGCAGAGCCCCCATCTCGCGCCAGGAGGGCCACTTCCTCGGACGATGCTTTACTGCTCACGTGGTAGCTTTGCGCACCTGTCTCCATCCTCAGACCTCACTCTCCTGGCTTCTCCACTCATCTCCTGAACCTTCCCTCTGGTCCTGTCCTCCCTCCTGCCCTGTGCTCATCTGCTCTCGCCCCCCAAGTGAGCTGCTGCCTGCCCCCCTCCCCGCTGCCTCAGTGCCCGGTTGCCTCCAGCACCCGGCTGCCCTGCAGGAGCCACACGCTCACTGCTGCCTGAACATCGGGAAGCCTGCCCACCTGAGTCTGGGTCCACTGCTTGTCTAAAGCAGAAAGAGTTTGCTCGCTGTGAGATTCCACAGAACAGTCCGGATGCTGTTACGAACTCAAGGTGTGCCCTGGTGATCTGACAGAGTGACAGTGCTGTGTTTGAGGAAAAATAAAAACAAGGGTCACCTGCTCTACAGCCCTCTTCTCTGCCCTGTATTTTCTACGCCCCCTCCCCCAATACAACAAAACACTAGAATTTATTTATATGTATTGTCGTAGTCTAGGTGAAGGAAGGAACTGTCCCACTGCTCTATTTATAGATTCGTCTGACTCCCCCGCGCAGGAAGGCCAGGAGTTGCATGTGACCTTCAGTGCTTTCTCCACCGCGCGTGCCCAGTACGGGCGCTTCCCACCGAGACAGTTCCAGCCGGACTCGGGCGGGGGAGGCCCGGGCCTGCCGCACCCATCCCTTTCTTGGTCTGATTAAATGCAGTCTGTACTGCAGAGATGTTTTAAGGTGCAATCTCTTCTTTCACGTGGTTTTAGAGCAAAGCTCCAGGAAGTAGGACTTTGGGTCTTTTTTGGTTTCAAACCTCCCTCTTCAGAGCGCATATCCACAGAGGCCTCGGCCAGGGTGTTTGGGGCCTTTGGTGGGAACAGGTGAAAACCCAAACTTACCTTTTCTGCTGCTGAGATGGGGGTGGTGTCCACACCCTCATGCACCTTGTCCCGCTGGCCACCCTTCTGATGCTGGCAGCTCTGCCCTGGCTGTGGATGGTGCAGCCCACACTCAGCACCAGGAGCCCTGATGTAGCGTCTGTCCAGCGTCAACTGCCCAACGGAGTGAAATCCCAGCATCCTGGGTTGTGTGTCTGAGAGGCAGCGTCCGCCCACCGAAGATTTCTCTGCCAGCTGTTTGGTCTGGTTTCTGTACTGTTACCCACCCCACCCCCAACCCCCGTTTTGTCCACACTATTGTTTGCAAACTTGGAATTTATGCACTTCCAGCTCCGGTTCCTTAAGGGGAAAAACAGGATGACGGACACGTTTCAGAAAAATCAGTTTGCCCACTTTCAAAGCTGGGTCATTCCAGCCACTTCTCAGAACACTGAGCATCTCCTTACACACCGGTGCCCGCGCTCCAGCGAGGCCCTTGCCCTCCTGCCTCCGGGACCTGCCTCCGGGATGGAGGGTGAGATTTGTGACTGATGTCCAGAGCCAAGGAGGAGGACGTGCATGTGCGAAGTCGTGAGGCAAACGGTACAGCTCCTCCCCGCTGGCCGCTCCCCTCCAAGTAGCTGTGCGCTGCCTGTGCGCTGCCTCTCCCCTGGACTTGGCCCCCCACCTGCACAGCAAGCCTGGGTAGGACGGTCGTTGGGAAGTGGCCTTGGACAGCCCAGATACTCGAGTGTTTGTGCTTTCTTGTGCTCTGTGATGAGGGGGACGTGCAGACTTCAGAAATCCAGCCCCTGTGGTTCACAGGCATGAGACCACCCAGGACAGGAACGCTCAACGTTGGGGTCAGTTTGTCCCCCACCAAGCTCTCCACTCGGACCATCCGACCTGCCGTTCAGTCGTCCCCCTTCCCCCCTCCCCCATTGGGTGGCCTCCAGGATGGTGGCAGTGTCCCAGGCCCTGTCCTCGGCATGTTACAAAGCCTCGCAGGGGACACTGGGCTGCAAGCTTCGGACCTCTCGCCTCGCATAGTGAAAAGGGTTTGGGGTTTTATTGAGAGGGTTTTTGTCCCCCCCCCCCCTTTTTTTGGCCTTTCCTCTCTCTGTCTTCTCATATAGACCAGATATTTGAAAGGGCAGACGATGGCTAAAGGCGTGGTGTGCAGCTGTTCATACATTATTTGGGGGAAGCTTTTGCCTGATGGGAAATGGAATCCTGGGCTCACCAGGCCGTGGTGGCACTCACCCCTTGCCCTTTCCCTCCAGTCCAGTACCTATTGTTTCTCCTTTCAAATATGTGATTGTACTAACTCTTTCCATATGAAAGAACTCTCCTTATTTAAATAAAAAAAAAGTAAAAAAAAAAGTAACACCCTGAGGCTGGACATGCTTTCTCTGCTGTGTCCCTGGGTTTTCTGTGGTTTTCCTTTGAGGGTGCATGTTAATGAGGGACTTGACTGGCATTCCTTAAAGCAACATGGGGAGAGAAGAGACGGCAACCTGCGGGTGAGGTGCACTGTCCAAGCGGGTCAGCAGTAGCAGTCCGCATCTGGACGATGGTGGCGGGGTGTGCATGGCGCCTGCCTGCGTCTGCTCTGCTGCTGGGCCTGCCTTCCCTTTGCTGGAAGGAGAGCGCTGCGCTGCACCTCGTGCAGCTGGGTCAGGCGGCAGTTCTCGGGTCTGCCATCTCCCAGGTGTGACCTCCGACGACCTTGTTTGTCACTGTTTCCTTAGCTAGAACGTGGGCTCCACAGGACCTACCTTAGGGGGTGCTGTGGGTTCAAAGAATGTAGGCAATTACAGTCTGCTGCGGGTAAGTTTAACGTGTCCGCGAGGAAACCCTACTCCGGGCAGGTGTCGGAGCCTGAGGGCGGGGTGGCAGCGTGGGGTTCAGTCTTAGAAGCAGCGACAACGCAGAATGGCTGCAGCCGTGTGTCCGGGTGAACGTGCACAGGAAGAGGGACATGAGGACACGGCGGTCCGCGCCGCCGAGCGAAAGGACTTCGGGAGAATCCTGTGAAGCACAAACATGTGCTGCGGAAGGTGGCCCCCCGCGCAGCCCCGGCCCCTGCAGCCCCCGCCGCGCCCGCCCAGTGCGCACGCGCAACCCCCCAGACCTCGCCCAGTGCGCACGCGCGGCGCTGCCCGCCGGCCCTGCGAGCGCCACGAATGGAGCTTCCAACCGGGCGGTGGGCGGTGCTGAGCGCCGAGCGGCCCCGCCCCGCCCCGCCCCGCGCGTGCGCCTTGGGAGCCGCTCACGGTCCCGCCCCGGCGGGTCCCAGGCGCGGCGGCCGGAGGGGAGGTGAGTCGGTGTGCGGCCCCGGGACCAGAGCCCAGTCAGGGAGCGGGAGCTGGGCCCGGGGGCGGTGCCGTCCGAACAGGGGGCTGGGGCGCCCGGGAAAGAAGGGGACCCCGCGGAGGGGAAGCTTGAGGTGAGTGGTGGCCGGGACTACGCCGCCTGCGGGAGAGACGGGGCGCCCGGGGCTGACGTACCTTCGAGGAGTGGAGGTCCGGGAGGGCGGAGCCCCGGTGAGAACGGGCGCCCGGGCTGGTGCCGCGCGCGGGGGGGGAGAGGAGGGGAGGGGAGAAGGTGCGTGGGGCCGAGGAGGCTCCGCGGTTCCTAGGGGGCGGTCACCGGCCCCAGTGCCCAGTGAGGAGGGCGGGGAAGCCGCCACGTTCATTCACAGCGTGTTTCCCCCCCCCCCCCCCCCCCCCAATGCTCGGCAGGTGTTTTGTGAATGAGTCTTCAGTCTTGAGGTTCCTGCACTCCCCCGGGGGGACTCTGGTGCCTCCACAGGCGGTGCTCCCTGGCGCACCCGAGGTCCTGTCAGCCTCCGGGCCGGCCTGGGTGTCACGCGTTTTCTCCTCAGGTCTCTTCCAGGGACTCCTCCCGGTCCTCGTGTCCACAAGATGTTGGGGTTTTTGCAGCGCCCCATCGTGGTGACCGCGGATGTCAACCTGAACGTCGTGGCTCTGACCGCCGCGGGGCTGCTGAGCCGGTTGTGGCGCCTCGCCTACCCCCGCGCCGTGGTGTAAGCCCAGCTGTGTGGTCCGGGTCAGCAAGTGTCTCTTCCGCAGCGAGCGGGACTGGGGACGCGGGGCTCCTTGGGGCTGGGGTTGGGGAAGTTAGAGGCGAGGCTGGCGTTTCCCCAGGACACCCGCAGAGCGCACTCGCCCGGGGCTGCCCGTTGGTCTGGGGCAGGCACAGGAGCCTCGGGTAACCGGTTGAGACCTGGAGGTTGGCGGTGGGCAGGCGAAAGGCCGGGAATATGGAAGGGAGTCCTCACTGACCTTAGAGGTGCTCTCTGTGACAATGGAAAACAGTCCCTCTTATTGTTGAAGGGCTATTTGTTGTCTAATACCTGTTTTCTTCTTGGTTTAACTTTCCATTATAGAAAGCATGAAACATATACAAATGTGGGGGAAATAGTATGATGACCCCCTCACCCCTGTATTCATCACCCAGCTTCAACAGTTATCAACTCACTGGTGGGTGGGGGCCGGTGGGCCCGCCCCCATCGGCCAATCGGGCAGACTGGCCAGCGGCCCCGCCCCCTGGTTGAGCTCCAGGTGGAGGGTACAATATGCACATTAGCCTTTTATTATATAGAATAGCCACCCCCTCCCTGCAGTGGATTTTTGGAAGCAAGTCATATACGTATTTTATTCATAAGTAATTCAGTGGACTGGTGTCTCTTAAAGATCCAGGTTCTTAATAAAACCCAAGACCACAGTAGCATCATCACACCTCAGAAGAATGGACGGCAATCCCTTGTGTCTTCACCTGAGAGCGTTGTGTCACAGTTGGTTCCTACGTGGAGCTGGTGGGCACAGGGTCAGCCTCGGGTCCGAGGGGACTTTCGGGGGCTGGTTAACGGCACACCCCTAAATCCAAAGTGAGGGAGAGGAACAGAACCGGTGTCTCGGGGGAAGCTGTTGTACACGTGCCTTCCTGCCTGGAGCCCCGTTGTGGCTGGGGCGGAGACCTGGCCTTGCCGATCGCTCCTGAGCCGTGTGGAAAAGGTGTAGGTTTATTCTGGTCCTTGCTGCAGCTCAGGCTGACAGCGGAGTACAGTGGCTTTGTTTTTCAGGTTCGATGAAGTATATTATGGGCAGTACCTCTCTTTCTACATGAAGCGGGTCTTCTTTTTGGATGGCAGTGGACCGCCCTTTGGCCACATGCTGCTGGCCTTGGGAGGTAGGAGTCCTTCCAGAGTTATAGGAGAGTCCGGCCAGCATGGCTCAGTGGTTGAGCACCGACCTGTGAACCAGGAGGTCACAGTTCGATTCCCAGTCAGGGCACATGCCCGGGTTGCGGGCTTAATCCCCAGTCGGGGGTGTGCAGGAGGCAGCTGATCAGTGAGTCATCACTGGTGTTCTATCTCTTGCTCCTCCCTTCCTTTCTGAAATCTATATATATATATATATATATATATATATATGTTTGTTTGTTTTTTAAAGTTACATGTGAACTTTCTTGAGGGCAGAAGACCTGTCTTATTATTTGTTTACTATTGTTTGCTATTGGCTGCCACTGTTTGGCAGTCCCGAAATACTGCTGAACGGATCGTTACTGATCCATCCTGTTACAGGTTATTTGGGAGGATTTGACGGCAACTTCCTGTGGAACAGGATTGGAGCAGGTACGTGCTCATTTTCACTGCCCTTGCTAATTTGACAAATTAGAATGGGGAGCTAGTGGCCCTCATAGGAATGAACAACTGTGGTTTATTAATGGGAGTCCAGGGTGTGATCAGTTGTTTGGGTACACGTGACAGACTTCTGAAAAATCTAGTAAATATCTTAGTGTTTAGTTACAATGATTTATTTTTCTTTGGGATGTATAAGTCGTGTGTGTTGCCACAATGCCTTAGGACTGTGGTCGGCAAACTCATTAGTCAACAGAGCCAAATATCAACAGTACAACGATTGAAATTTCTTTTGAGAGCCACATTTTTTAAACTTAAACTTCACTTAATGCCACTTCTTCAGAATAGACTCGCTCAGGCCATGGTATTTGTGGAAGAGCCACACTCAAGGGGCCAAAGAGCCACATGTGGCTCACGAGCTGCAGTTTGCCAACCACAGCCTTAGGAGTTAGGTGGGGTAAATGTATAATAGGTAAAGCACGAACTAATTTCAGATCCTTAGTCTCATTCCTGTGTGACGTTGACTGTATCGAGCACATCTCAAAGGCTGCTCACACGTCAGTTCCCATGAGTCCCCAGTGTTGTGAGCGTTCGCGCTGGAGTCTGAGTGTGAAACCCCGTTTGCAAACACTGTGGCCCCGAAACCCCGGCGAGGTCCCGCAGGCTTCGGTACACTCAGCTCCGCTTGGCTGCCTTCCAGAATATAGCAGCAACGTGCCCGTGTGGTCCCTGCGCCTGCTGCCGGCCCTCGCGGGCGCTCTGTCGGTGCCAATGGCCTACCAGATCCTGTGGGAGCTCCGCTTTTCTCACTGTGCCGCCATGGGAGCCGCCCTGCTGATGCTCATCGGTAAGACTGGGCCTCGCCGGCTTTGGCTGGTGCCGGAGGAGCCACGGGGGCCTTGGCTATGCTTCAGTGTGGCCCAGGAGCTCGGAGCTTAGAGGACCTGCCCCCCTCAGCAGCTTCTGCTCAGAGGACGGAAGGAGGCTCAGGCTCCACATTTGACTCTGGGGTCGCCCTGCTCTCAGGCTGGGGCTGTGGAGGTGGTGGCAGACTCCACGTTGTGGAGGTGGGGCCGTATGAACTAGGGCTGTCCAGAGAGGTGCCCCGGTAACGGTGGACACCTCCACCTGCACCACCTTTCACTCCCTGGTGGCCTGCCTCGTCCCACCAGCTCCAGGCCCCACCCAAGGCGGTGGCAGAGGTTAGTGGGTAGTCCTCACCACGGCCTTTCAGCCAGGTCTCCAAACAAAGGAAATGAACGCACGTGTAAAGTCAGACCTTCCAGTAGAAAAATGGAGGCCCTTTGCCCACATCAGGCTGTAGCACGCCCGGTGCCCATAGAGCTGGTGTTTCTTCTGCAAACGAGAAAGAAGGCTCAGAGAAGCTCGGTGACATGGCCTCAGGGGGTGTGGCCCCCCAAGAGCTGTGGAACTCCCTGATGCTGAGCGTCTGCTGTCCCGCCCTGAGCTGCTGGGAGGTTTGCTTTGTGGGGGTCTCACCTCCATTCTGTGGCCTCCTTCCAATGCCCCCCCTCCCTGCAGAGAACGCGCTGGTCACGCAGGCCAGGCTCATGCTCTTGGAGTCACTGCTCATCTTCTTCAATCTGCTGGCCGTGCTGTCCTACCTGAAGTTCTCCAACGCCCAGCACAGGTGCGCCGGGGCCGCTGCTCACGAGCGGGAAAGAAGAGGCTGGGCGTCTGTCCGCCCGGAGGGGCTGAGCCTGTTCATTCCGGGCGCCCTGGCTGTCTGGCTGCAGCCCCCGGTCCGGCCCTCCGTCCGTGGCTTCAGAAATGCCTCCTCGTTTTTCTGTAACTTAAGCTAACCGAGAAACGTTCCGGCCAAAAAGAGAGCTCGCGGGGCCGATGATGGGGAGAAGGGGGTCCGTTTTCCGTGTCTCTGAAGCTCGGTCCAGTAGCCACCCTAGGGGTCTGGGAGACCCGTTCGCAGCTCTGCCTCCGCCCGCCCACAGGCCCTTCTCCCCTGGCTGGTGGCTGTGGCTGACGCTGACCGGAGTGGCCTGCTCCTGTGCCGTCGGGTGAGTAGGCTGGGTCTGAGGCAGCGCCTGCACTCTCCTCGCTCCGTCTCATTGTAACGTGCCCCCGTCGGTCTCCTCAGCATCAAGTACATGGGCGTGTTCACTTACCTGCTGGTGCTCGCAGTGGCCGCCGTCCACACCTGGCAGCTGGTTGGAGACCGGGCTCTGTCACACGTAGGGGGCCTGCCGCGGGGCGCGGGGCGGGCGGGTGTTGGTGGACAGGGTCAGGAGGGCACAGGCGTTGGAGCCTGTGTGCGAGTGGTGCCCTGTGTGCCCAGGTCTGTGTGCTGGGCCATGTGGTGGCCCGCGCGGTGGCGCTGCTGGTCATCCCGGCCGCGACGTACCTGCTGTTCTTCTACGTCCACCTGACGCTGCTCTGCCGCTCGGGGCCCCATGACCAGATCATGTCCAGCGCGTTCCAGGCCAGCCTGGAGGTGAGAGGCCGTGGGCTCAGGTTCTGACACAGACACTGTCAGTGAGCATCGAGGACAGCCAGGGCGAGAAGGGAGGCCTGCGCCTCGGCCTTCGCACGGGCTGAGTGTCCCGAGGGTGCAGACAGGAGTGGTGGGGTAGGTCTCCTCGGGGCGACCGCAGTGTGGCCCCGAGACCCTCTGAGGCCCCACAGGCTCCGGCGGGCGCATAGGCCTCAGAGGACAGACCAGCTCGGCCTCGTGCACATGCACTCTGCAGGAACAGTGAATGTGCCAGTGGAGGGGCTTAGGGTGTGGCCTGGAGTCACACTGACCTGTTGGGAAATGCCGGGAAGCTGCTTCCTTACCTGTAAGCGGACACCAACCTGTCTCCAAGGCGGGGCCGAACTCAGGGAGTGTGTGGACACTTAGCGAGCGCCGCCCGAGGTGGCACGCAGTCCGTGGTTCTGACCAGTGTAACACCACAGCCGTGTCTTCCGTAGTTAGAACTGCCAGCACCCCGAGTGTGCTCCCAGGTGGGTGAGGGCTGTCGGGGGGACCGGTCTTACTTGCCCCTTTCGGCCTCTGTAGGGGGGGCTGGCTCGGATCACACAGGGCCAGCCCCTGGAGGTGGCCTTCGGCTCGCAGGTCACCCTGAAGAGCGCCTCGGGCAAGCCCGTGCCCTGCTGGCTCCACTCGCACCCAAGCACCTACCCGCTGAGGTGAGGAAGGCGCCCTGGACTGGTCGTTGCAAGATGTTTGTTGTATTTCTTCAGCTTCCACCTTATGTGAGGAGGGTCGGGGAGGCAGGGATTGAGCTCTCGGGTCTGTCAGAGTCTGGGTGCTTCTGCGTGTAATCCTGTGAGAGGGCTCGCTGGGCAGAGGGCCCGGCATGCCGCGTGGCAGCCTCGTGACCCACAGTTCGCGTTGTGCCCACCGTTCGTGCTGTGTAGGGTCCCGTGTTGCGGCCCCTCCTAGATTTAAGCTCTGTTTTATCCTTATTCCCCCAGGCTGGGTAGTTGGGAGTCCTGGGGAGAGGCCGATGGGCCCTCCCCGCTGCCAGCCCGCTGCAGACCCCGTCTCTGTTGACCCTCCCGTGCAGCTACGAGGATGGCCGGGGCAGCTCCCACCAGCAGCAGGTGACCTGTTACCCCTTCAAGGACGTCAACAACTGGTGGATCGTCAAGGACCCCGGGAGGTACGTACAGGTCCCGGCCTCCAGCCTGACCGCACGGTGGCCAGCAGGGCCCCATCATTTGCTCCGCTCTTCCTGCCCGCCCTCACCCACTCACTGCTCCCCCTCCTGCCCGCCCTCACCCACTCACTGCTCCCCCTCCTCCTGCCCGCCCTCACCCACTCACCTGCTCCCCCTCCTCCTGCCCTCCTCACCCACTCATCTGCCCCCCTCCTGCCCGCCCTCATCCACTCACCTGCTCCCCTCCTCCTGCCCTCCTCACCCACTCATCTGCCCCCCTCCTGCCCGCCCTCATCCACTCACCTGCTCCCCTCCTCCTGCCCGCCCTCACCCACTCACTGCTCCCCCTCCTCCTGCCCATCCTCACCCACTCACTGCTCCCCACCTCCTGCCCTCCTCACCCACTCACTGCTCCCCCTCCTCCTGCCCATCCTCACCCACTCACTGCTCCCCACCTCCTGCCCTCCTCACCCACTCACCTGCTCCCCCTCCTCCTGCCCGCCCTCACCCACTCACCTGCCCCTCCCCTCCTGCCCGCCCTCACCCACTCACTGCTCCCTCTCCTCCTGCCCTCCTCACCCACTCACCTGCTCCCCTTCCTCCTGCCCGCCCTCACCCACTCACCTGCCCCCCTTCCTCCTGCCCGCCCTCACCCATTCATCTGCCCCCCTCCTGCCCGCCCTCACCCACTCACCTGCTCCCCCTCCTCCTGCCCTCCTCACCCACTCATCTGCCCCCCTCCTGCCCGCCTTCACCCACTCACCTGCCCCCCCTCCTTCTGTCCGCCCTCACCCACTCACCTGCCCCCCCTCCTGCCCACCCTCACCCACTCACCTGCCCCCCCTCCTGCCAGCCCTCACCCACTCTCCTACCCACCCTCACCCACTCACCTGCCCCCCCCTCCTGCCCGCCCTCACCCACTCACCTGCCCCCCCTCCTGCCCGCCCTCACCCACTCACCTGCTCCCCTCCTCCTGCCCGCCCTCACCCACTCACCTGCCCCTCCTCCTCCTGCCCGCCCTCACCCACTCACCTGCCCCCCTTCCTCCTGCCCGCCCTCACCCACTCACCTGCCCTTCCCCTCCTGCCCACCCTCATCTACTCACCTGCTCCCCCTCCTCCTGCCCATCCTCACCCACGCACCTGCCCCTGCTCCTCCTGCCCTCACCCACTCACTGCCCTGCATGGCTAGAGCAGGGCGGCCTCCTGTGTGGGCTTTGCCCGCAGCCTGTAACAGTCCTGCCCAGCTGGCTCCTCCAGACTTGAGCCTTGGCAGCCAGTTCCTCCGGAGGCACCTTGACCACCTGCAGGGCTGGAAGCTAGGAAAGGGCTGTAGGTTCAGAAACGAGCTCAGGAACATGGCTGTTTGACGAACTCACCGTGTACCAGGGACAAGCTGGCTGGGTGGCTGCACATCCCGCATTGTCCCGCCGGGAGCACCAGAGCCCTCCTGTCTTGCAGGCACCAGCTGGAGGTGAGCAGCCCACCGAGGCCCGTGCGGCACGGGGACGTGGTGCAGCTGGTGCACGGCATGACCAGCCGCCGCCTCAACACGTGAGTCCAGCCGTCTGCCTCCTCCTGCCAGGTGCCCGCTGTGCTCCCGTGCCCCCTGCGGAGGGGACCCCAGGGACAGCACAGTTAGCAGAGGGAGGGAGGTGGCTTTAGGGGAACCAGGTGAGGGGAGAGCAGCCAGGCTCACGCGCTCAGGGTGCATGTCATCGTGGTGTGCCCAATGTGTCAGTGAGCCCAGCAGGACTGGAACTGGAGTTCAGTGGGGTCAGGAGGGTTGGGACACGTTGGCTCTCAGCCCTGATCTAACTCAACTTCTGAGCAGCCCCTGTATTTTGGTGCCGGGCCGCCCCTCGCCACACCACCACCCAGCGTCTCCAGGCACCTCGCTGTACTTTCCCGTCAACGTGATCACTGCAGCTGCGGGATCACGGTCCCTTAGGCTGAGCTGGTTCTGTTTCTGAAAAGCAGCTTTTCCCCTTTAAGAAACTGAGCTGAGGCATTCCCGTGAGCACTGTTTGGTGTTGCAGGCATGACGTGGCAGCCCCCCTGAACCCCCACGCACAGGAGGTGTCCTGCTACATCGACTACAACATCTCCATGCCCGCCCAGAGCCTCTGGAGGCTGGTGAGTCCGCTGCAGCACACGCACACTCTAACAGGACGTGGGAAACCGCCATCCAGCCTGGTTCATTGTCAGGGTCACGGGGAGTGACAGCCCTCAGGCCGTGGGCGTCTTCACAGGGAGGACACTGGGTCTGGCGCTGGTGTCAGAGCATCGTTGACAGGCAGTTGTAAATGCTCGCTGCCGGCCTCTGTGCCCCACGTGGTTCTGCCAGGAGGAGGTGCCTCCGACTCGGTCACTTAGTCAGCTTCAAGACCTGGTCGCTGAACCCGGAGTCGAGGCTCCAGCACCTCAGCCAACCAAGAGCCTCGGTTGGCCCTGGCCTGACAGATGCCTGCCCTCGGGGAGTCTGCAGCTGCTCCCTCCCGGGGCATGTGGGAGAGAGGCCGCCTTCCTCCGAGCGACCAGGGCAACGTGGCCCTCTATACGACGAGTCTCGCTCTGCAGAGCTGCGGGTGGTGTCCAAGGAAAGATGGCGGGGAACGTCCTGGTGTCCCGGACGTTGGCTGTCCGAGTGCAAGCGCGTGAGCTGAGTAATGGCACCAGGGCCACCTCCACGAGGCTCCTGTGGCGGCAGCTCCCACTCGGCCCGCATGCTCAGTGGTGTGAGCTGCACGTCCGGGCGATGGGTGTGGCTGGTGGCCCTCAGCAAGGCGGGGGCTGTGGGGCTGGTTCCATTCTGTGCCCAGCAGCCCCTCTCCTCCCCGCTCGCCTGTTTCAACGGCCTCTCCCCTGGCCTTCTGCCTCATGGGAGTTGTTTGTGCCTGGTCCTGACATCGGGAGCTGCCCCAAGGGTCCCACACCCTCCCGCTGCTGGCTTGTTGCTGAGGTCTCCTCCCTCAGTCCCCGCTGGTGGCCCCATCGGCCCCACACGGAGGAGGGGAGGCAGGCTGACCACAGTGCGGCCCCTACGCCACCTCACGGCGCCCTCGAGAGCCTGCAATGCCGAGTGCTCCTCAGGTGTTAGCTGTCTCCCACTCGACGTCAGGAGTCCCGGGGACAGCGTCAGGGCCTGTCTCTAACCTCCATCGCTCCACCTTGGCGTTTGGGCCGATCTCTGAGCCCTGTGGTGGGCAGGCATCCAGAGCGCAGGGCAGGACTGTCTTTGGTCTCTGCCTGAGGCTGAGCTGCTGCTGCCAGAGGCACTGTGCCCCTGGGATCAGCCCGCTGCCCCCCGGATCGCCCCCTGGTCCCCGGATCAGCCATTAGTTGAGGGTGTGGGACTGGCCTCGCCTTCCCGTGAAGGGAGCCTGAGGGAACGTAACGGATCTGCTCTCCCAGGACATCGTGAACCGCGAGTCGGACGCTGAGATCTGGAAGACCATCCTGTCGGAGGTGCGCCTCGTGCACGTGAACACGTCCGCCGTCCTGAAGGTGAGTGCGCGCCGCCCCAGCCTGCACCTGGGCCCACAAATCCGCGGCCCCGGCCGAGCCTGCCCTCCCCGGACAGTGGTGCCCAGTGGGTGCCATTTCCGAAGGTGGGCCTTTCCGAGGCCTCAAACTAAGCCTTGGCCTGAGGACCTCATGGAGCCTCCAGCTGGGCCTGGCTCACCCTCACCCTCTTGTCCACCTTCCAGCTGAGCGGGGCCCACCTCCCCGACTGGGGCTTCCGGCAGCTCGAGGTGGTGGGGGAGAAGCTGTCTCGGGGCTCCCATGAGAGCACCGTGTGGACCGTGGAGGAGCACCGCTACGGCCGGAGTGAGTGCCGACCCCGGGGCAGGGAGCGGCCCAGTCCCCATGCTGCCGCACACAACACCCCCCACCCGCTGAGGCTGCAAACACGGGCGTCACCCGGCGGTCCACAGGCAGTGTGAGCCCAGCCTTCCTGGTCCAAAGACCCTCATTTGTGGGTGGTTTCTTGGGGGAGCAGAAGGGGATGCCGCCTGTCGCCATGGGGTTTGAAAGGCAGGGAAGCCGCTGGCACCAAGCCCTCCCTGTGCCCAGCTCCCTGCCCTTAGTGGCTCCTGTTCTTTCGGGCCGGTGTGTCCCCAGGCCAGGAGCAGAAGGAGAGGGAGCTGGAGCTGCACTCACCGACCCATGCGGACATCAGCAGGAACCTGAGCTTCATGGCCAGATTCTCAGAGCTGCAGGTGGGGAGCGGGAGGCAGGAGCGGGGCTGTGGAGTCCTCCCTCCCCCAGTGAGTTACCTAGGACCTGACGCGGTGGGAAAGGAGCGTGTCCCTCCCTCCCGCCACCCAGCCCCCCAGCATGCCATGATGCCAGCCCCAGTCAGTACAACGGAGACCAGAAACACGGGCCCCTGGTCTGGATGTGCCCTTAGATAAGATGGCTGGAGCCCCTGGGGTGGTGCGTTCTAGTGAACTGGAGGCGGCCCCCATGCGGTGCCGGCTGCCTGACGGGCCTCGGGCTGTTGCAGTGGAGAATGCTGACCGTGCGGAGTGATGACTCGGAGCATAAGTACAGCTCCACGCCGCTGGACTGGGTCACCCTGGACACCAGCATCGCCTACTGGCTGCACCCCAGGACCAGCGTGAGTGAGCCCCTGCGGCCTTACCCCCTGGTCCCGCACGGTCCGCTGCTGCTGGGCTGGCCTCGCAGAGCCAAGGGCGAGGGCGCGGCTGGGTGGGAGGAGGGCCTTCTGCTCTGGGCGCGCCCGCCTTCCTGCTGTCCGTGCGGCCCCTGCGCTGACGGGCAGAGCTGCCTCAGGCCCCTGTTGTGGCTGCTCAGCCCTCACTCCTGGGGTGACATGAGCTACCGATGCTCGCGGCCGAACAGCCCACAGAAGTACCTTGGCTCTGCGTTGCGCGGTGGGAGGCCCTCTGGGAGCAGTCCCGCTTCTCCTGGTTGTAGGGAAACTCGCCGTGTACTAGAAAGTCCTAGAAAGGGCCCGTCAGGAACAGGCCTGTGCCCTCGGTCGGGGGCTTCCTGTGGAGGCCGCTGATGGCATCTCCGTCCTCAGGCTCAGATCCACCTGCTGGGGAACGTGGTGATCTGGGCTTCCGCCGGCCTCGCCACTGCGCTGTACGCCCTGCTCTTCTGCTGGTACCTGCTCCGCCGCCGGAGGCGTGTCTGTGAGCTCCCCGAGGGTGCGTTCGCTCCCATTTCTCCTCCTCCTAGGCTGACCCAAGCTCAGCTCACCGGGAAGCTCTGCCTTTAGGTGGCATCTTTGTTTCTGCATCCAGGGACGTGAATTATTGTGGTCTTCGGGGCTTCTCCAGGGGGTGCAGGCACTGGGCGGGGGGTACAGGCACCGGGCAGGGGCGTACAGGCACCGGGCAGGGGGGTGCAGGCACCGGGCAGGGGGTGCGGGCACTGGGCAGAGGGGTACGGGCACCGGGCAGGCACTTGGCAGGGGGTGCAGGCACCTGGCAGGAGGGTACAGGAACCGGGCAGGGGGGTGCGGGCACCGGGCAGGGGGGTGCAGGCACTGGGCAGTGGTGTCTGGTGAGCCCAGGGCGGAGCCACCATGGGTACCCAGTGAAGGGTCTGGTGTTGGCTCTTAACAGAAACTCACTGAACACCATCTCCAAACAGAAAGAGAATGAGCCCCAGGGCAGGCAGGGCCGAAGGCACCTCCCACTGCAGGCTCCGGGCTCCGGGAACTGGTTCCTCCTCCCCACTGGATGGGGCTCCTCAGCTCCCGAAAGAGTGGTGCCCACAGATAAGCCTGAGACACGACCGTCACTAGCAGCAGAGGCGGGGCCTCCCCCAAGGGCTGGTATTTCTCAGAGGAGGGACAGTGTGGACCAGCCTGTTCTTCCTGCAGCAATGGGGCGGGGGAGGCAGGGGAGGAGCGGAGAGCCGAGCCTGCAGGTGACTTAGGGACAGGGAGCCCGGTCGGCTCAGCACTGACCTGCACCCCCTCCCCAGATTCCTGGCTGCGCTGGGTGCTGGCCGGGGCCCTGTGTGCCGGCGGCTGGGCGGCGAACTACCTCCCGTTCTTCCTGATGGAGAAGACTCTCTTCCTGTACCACTACCTGCCCGCACTCACCTTCCAGATCCTGCTGCTGCCCGTGGTCCTGCAGCACATCAGCGAGCACCTGTGCAGGTCTGGGCCTTGGAGCGCCCTGAGGGCAGGGGCTCCTGTGCGGCCATCACAATGAGGGGGGGCTGAGGCCTGGGTCGGAGGACGGGCCTGCGCTGTCTGGGGGATGCACAGCTTTGGGGTGGGAGACAGGAAGTAGGCCTGTGGTTGAGAAGACCAGGCGGAAGGCGAGCAACGGGAACCTGTGGGGGGTTGTCTGCGGATTGCAGGGCGCAGAGGAAGTAGACCAGGAGCTGTGTCGCCTGAGCCGCCCGGGCAGGGAGCCTGGAGGCCTCGGAGGCCGTGGTACAAAGGGGTTGGTGTTCGGGTGGAGCAGAGGTTGGAGACCTGAGAGACAGGCCAGTGAGGGTCACGCTGGGCGCCAGCAGGCTGGGAGGGGTGACGGGCGTGGTGGGGGAAGAGGCCAGGTCGGGGACCGCCAGGTTACAGGCTATGTGCCAGCAGCCCTTGGGGCAGAGCCAGCCCCTCACGTCTGCGCTCTGCTCTGGCGCCCACAGGTCCCAGCTCCACAGGAGCCTGTTCGGTGCCCTGGTGGTGGCGTGGTACTCCGCTGCCTGCTACGTGTTCAATGTGCTGCGCCCCCTGACCTACGGGGACACATCACTGTCACCCAGCGACCTCCAGGCCCTTCACTGGAAAGAGAGCTGGGACATCCTGATCCGCAAACACTAGCAGACCCGGCACGAGACATCCGGTCGGGACCGGGACTCGCTCAGGGAGCTGGCCAGCCTGGCAGGCGCTCCTCTGGTTTCCTTCCCCTGAAGCACTTCGCTGTACTCGGGCGATAAAGAACACGCTGTGCCCACGAAACCCAGAGCCTACACGGACACGTGTGTGGAGTGGCTTGTGTGGGACTCGGCGATGGAGGAGAGATGGCAGGGAGTGCGAGTGATGCGTTAGGGTCAGACCAGACGGGCCAGCTTGGTCCTCCCTCCCAAGCTAGAGCCCTGAGGCCGGTCGGGGCCACAGTCCCCGAGTGAAGATGGTAACCGTGCCAACCCTCTTGCTGACTGCAAACCGCGAGGCTGATGAGGAGCAGACAGTCAAGGTGTGTTATCTGTTCCTTGTCCTGAACTCGCTTTTTTGTGAATTAAAAAGGGACCACTGCCCTTGCCAGCTTGGTTCAGTGGACAGAGTGCCAGCTTTCGGACTGAAAGTCCCAGGTTCAAGTCTGACCAAGGGCATATGCCCGGGTTGTGGGCTCAATCCCCAGTAGGGGGCGTGCAGGAGGCTGCCAATCAATGATTCTCATCATTGATGTTTATCCTCCTTCTCCGAAGTCAATAAAGAAATAGATTTTTAAAAAATAATAAAAAGGGACCACTGGTGTTCATATTGGTTATTTATTGATTCTCTCCCCAAAGGTCACGACATGTGTGACAAAACTGTCGCAGTCACCAGCAGCTGGCCACGGCTTGGCCCATGTCAGGAGTTGTGTGACCAGCTACTACTCCATAGAAAGAACCCAGAATGCCTCGCAGGTTAGCAGTGATGGGGCAGGACCCTTTAACACGTGGCCACCACACGGGGAGGGAGGTGGGCTGGCTTTGGGCCATGGCACTCACTCCCGCCTCAGGGTCCAGCACACTCCTTGGGGCAGCACCCAGGCTCAGGGTCCCTGGTGGACACTCCCCAGTAGGGGCTGGGCGAGTAGACATCCCTGCTTCCTGCTGGTGCTGGTTAAAACATACCTGCACCCCAGGCTCCCTCCTGCCCTGCCCTGGAGCCCAGGCTAGGAGAAAGGAGGCACCCCGGTCCTCACATCAGCCAGTGCGTCCCAGGCTGGACCAACACCCACTGTGGGTCATGAAACTGGGTTACTAGCTCACACTACACGGTGTTAGGAGACACAACGTGGGACGTACAACATAAAAAGGGGAAGTACTGTCACTTTCCATCGCACACGTGTGAGAACTGATCATACCAGAAGGACTCTGTGAGACTACGGTCATACACTGAACACGGTGTCCCGGTGTCCCTCCTCCTCCCACAGCGCGGCCCCGCCTCCCCGAGCGAGCATCACAGGCTGCCACTCGCCCTGCGGCATCGCTCAGTGACCTGGCCTCCCACCCTCTGCACCACGAGGGTTGGGGGGACCACTTGTCCAGGGTCCCGGCACTGAGGACACGGACTCTCACATGGGCCGTCCCAGAGGCGGAAGGAAGCCGCAGGTGTTTGGGGGCAGGGGGCACCTCCGGGGCCTGCGGGAGGTGCGTGTCCTCCTCAGTGTGGCCTGCTGCTGGACTCCAGGTGCGACCGCTTGCCGGGGGCCAGCACCCCAGGGTGGTCTCCGGGCTCAGGAAGCGTCCTCTTGCAGCTGCGCCCGTTGGCCCCTCCGCGGTGCCACTTGCAGATGTCCCCGTTCAGGATGTCCTGGATGTGCTGCACAATCAGGTTGATGGCGACTGCACAGAGACAGACAAGAGTGTATCAGCCGGATGCGCCCTCTGCCCCCTCGATGTCTGTCTGGCACCGGGTCTCAGAGGACAGAAAGCACACGTCCAGGCCTGGCACCGACTTGTTGGCTGGGTCAGCGTGCATTTCTGCTGACCTGCAGCCTGGTTAAGACTCCCTGCTAACAGTGATGCCGCCACCAGCTCTCTCTGTGCTAGCAGTGCTCCTCCCACCAGCTCTCTGTGCTAGCTAGCAGTCCTCCCACCAGCTTTATGGAGGTGTAACTGACCACGGGCTGGGACAGTGCCTGCCTGAGGGCTCTGGGTGCAGACGGGTCAGGCAGCCATCAGGCCTGGTTCTTACCCATATTGTCAACCCCTCGGGGGATGATCACATCCGCGTATTTCTTCGTCTGCAACACACAAAGGAGGCTCTTTAAGGACCTGCCCATCCCCCACAAGGTGACAGCCAGTAGCCCAGGCACAGCTAGATGCAGTGGCAGAGGAGCCAGCCCTGGGATGCCCGGTACTGGGTCCCAGGCGGGAGGGGCAGGAGGCAGGCATGGGCAGTTATCAGGAGGTGTGAGGATGGAGCTCCTGGAAGTGCAGAGGAGGGGCAGCAGCCAGGAGAACCGGTATCTCCTGCCTCCCTGAAATGCTGCTCTGCTAGGACAGGTCTCTGCTAACAACTGAACCGCTAGCCAGGCGGAGGTGGCATCCTCCACGTGCTCCCCCTGCAGGAACCTGGAGGAGTGGCAGGCGCAGGGTGCAGGGCACACAGAGCGGCCCCGGTGCAGCTGCCTCTCGCCAGCCCTGTGCGAGGCAGGGCGGGGCTGCAGGGGACACACCTGAGTCAGGCAAAGCATAGGGAGGGAGGAGGCAACGGTGTGGCCCCAGGAATGGATTTATGAACCGTCTGGTGTCCGTGTGTGAATTTGGGCCAAGGAGACATGTTACAAGAGACGCACCACAGAGGCAGGAGGGACAGCCCGGGCAGCTGTGTCTGCAGGAGGGCTGCGCGGCTCCCCAGCTGCATGGACAGGAGGTGGAGGCCAGCAAAGGAGTAAGCAGGAGAGCACATGCCGTCAGGTGAGGAGAAGCCCCCTGGGAGCACGGACAGCAGGCCCGAGGCCGGAGCAGAGGGAGCTGTGTGGCCACGGGGAGTGGCTTTTCTCAACAGAGGGAGCAGCAAGGGCAGAGGCGGCCCGGAGAGCTGAGAACTCGCTGGGCAGCTGGGCACCAGCGAACTTCTCCACTTATAGATCAGACCCGTGCACCCCACCCGCTCCCACAGAACCAGGCAGCGTGTCTCTGGAGGGAGGAGGCGGTACCGGCAGGCAGAACTCCTCGAAGGCTGGCTTCACGAAGGTGGTGTACTGGGTCAGAATCTGCTCCAGGTCCCTCCCGCGGTTCACGTCCCGGAGAACTGCGGCAACAGGAGCCCAGGGGCCGCGTCAGACTGGAAACGCCCGCCCAGCCCTGGCCCGGGACGGGGGCCGAGGGCGCCTCACCTCTCCGCGACAGCCTGACGTCGGAGTCCGTGTCCACGAAGAGGCGCAGGTGGAACATGTCCCGGATCTCCTGGCTGTAGAAGACCAGGATGCCCTCAAACAGCACCACGTCCGCCGGGTACACCACCGTGGTCTCCGGTAACCTGCGGGCGAGAGCAGGGGGCAGGCCTGCTGGGACGGTCTCCTGGCACGAACTCCAGGAAGCAGGTCCCGGTGGGAGAGGGGTGGCCACAGAAACCCATGTACGTTAGGCAGCCCTCACTGCCTCCCGGAACCGCCGGCTCACCTGGAGTGGGTCACAAAGTCATAGGTTGGGACCTCGACAGTCTTGCCCTCCACAATGTGCTTCAGAGTCTTGTGCATCAAGTCATTGTCAAAAGCATCTGCAGGGATGGGACAAAACAGTCCAAGCGTCCTGTGCTGGGACGGGGGGATGGGAGGCTTTCTTGGCCACAGCTGATGCAGGTGGTACCGAGACCTCAGGGACACTGGGGCCGGCAGTGGCCTCTACAGCCTACATCTGCAGAGCAGTCCTCACCCACAGGGTGGCCCCAGGCAGTGCCACTGCCCAGGCTGCTGTCCCGGGAAGAGTCAGCTGCAGAGCGACCATCTCCGGGTCGGGGCAGGCTGGCCTCCTCTGGCCATGACCCTCCCCAACCCTCCAGATTGCCACCTGTTCCCCTATCGTAGCCGTCCCCCCCAACCAGGAAACAGTTTCAGGGCTCTGCTTCCCCTGGGCTCTCAGGAACGTTGCCCCAGGCAGCGGGAGGGAAAGACCTCCGCGGACAATGGTGTGTGCAAAGGCCCTCCCGCTGGCTGGCTCCAACCAGGGCCCGGGGCCCAGCACCCATCCCACCTCCGGGTGGGGGTGTCTAGGCAATTGCATGGACTCATCCAGCGCTCCCAACGCTGGACGCCGCCCCGGCCCCGCCCCCTTAGGGCGGCAGGTGTACCTGGGTGGTCGAAGTTGTACTGGCCCTTCAGGGCCTTGGCCTTCTGCTCCGCCGTCAGCACCTTGTAGAACCGGTCTTGGCTCAGGATGACCACCTTCCGCTGCCGGTGGTCCACTTCGTTCTGGCCCAGCAGCTCCATGATCTTCTCACACACCGTGGACTGGGGCGCAGACACAGGCCCTGAGCCCGGCCGCCAGGGCTTCCGCCCTGAGCCCACCGAGCCGGCCTGGACACGGGCCGCCCGCCCGCGTGGGCCCATCCCGCCCGGCGCCCCGCAGCCCGGGGCTCGGGTCCCCTCCCCGGACAGATCAGGCTGGGGTCGCGGGGACGCGCAGGCCGCCCGCCCCTTACCTTGCCGCTGGCGGTGCCGCCGCTCACCCCGATGAGGAAGGGCCGCTGGTGAGGCCGGTCCGCCTCGGGCGTGGTGCCCCCGCAGTCGTCGCCTCCAGGCGAAGCCATCTACAGCCCCGCCGGTCGGCATCGGGGTCCTCGCTGCGGTCTCCTCCCTACAACCAGCCGCCTCGACCGCCCCCTCGCTAAGGTCGGAGACGCCCCCTCGGAGTTCCACTTCCGGGGAGCGCAGCGCGAGCCGGCGCGCGGGGCATGACGGGAGTTGTAGTCTGAGGCGGCGGTAGTGCTCGCAGGCTATAGCCGCCCGGCCCTGCTGTGCCTGGACCTCCGCGGCTCTGCGTGCCCATGTTTGCTACAAAGGCCCATGGAGGGCGAGTGTCATGGGATGGCCCATGGGGAGAGTGTGCAAGGGGCCTGGGCCTCCTGAGCCTGTGGGCCTGGACAGAGGGAAGCTGATGAAGGGGCAGCCCAGCTGGGGCAGCATGCGAAAGCCACCCCCTAACTGAGAGGAACATACGGGCACTGGAAACAGGAGGACCGTTCACCCACTCACAGTGAGCCTGGCCAGGTCAGGGTTAGGCTTTAGCCAGCGAGCCGCTGAAGCCAAACTGCCCATAAAGGCCAGGACCAAATGGCGCCTTAGGGGTGGGAGTCAAAGCCACAGGCCCCCAGGCAGGGTCCTGGAACTCGTGCTCTGCATACAGCTGGCGCCTAAAAGCGACTGCCCTTCTGTGAGACTGGAGCCCACCAGCACCTTGGCTCTGGGTAGGAAGAGAGTCGTCCCTCAGGTGGTGGCACCCTGGGTCGGACACGTGCAGAAACCCCAAGCGGAGAAGCTAACAAAGAATGGTGCCCGCCTGGGGATTTCCCAAAGGACAATCTGTCTCACCCAGGGCCCTGCGGACCCCCCCCCCCCCCCCTTTACCTTCATCTCCTGCTGACATGACCTCACCAAGATGGCAGAGGCCCTGGGACAGCTGCCCCCAGAGCGGCCATTAGGCCCGCAAAGGGACAAAACACCGGTTTGGAAAGCGTTCGAAGTGCTGGGGTTCTTAGGGTCCCTGGGCCTGGCTGCCGGCTTTCTCCCTCCTTCGTTCTGCACCGCCCCCTGGTGGTCAGCGCGCGTCATGGCGAGCGATGGAACTCCCAGGCTCCCGGTGGAACCCCTGAGGGACACTGCTTATCAGCCTGTCTACACACAGAAGCTTGTCTAGCAGTGAAGACTGGCCCCAGAGAGCAGCACACCGTCCTGAGCTGGATTCTGCCGGGCAAAGAGCTCTGTGAGAAGAGGCGTTCTCGCCCTGCCGGTTTGGCTCAGTGGCTGGAGTGTCGGCCTGCGGACTGAAGGGTCCCAGGTTCTATTCCGGCCAAGGGCACATGCCTGTGTTGCGGGCTTGATCTCCAGGAGGGGGCGTGCAGGAGGCCCTTGGTCAATGATTCTTATCACTGATGTTTCTTTCTCCCTCTCCCTTCCTCTCTGAAATATATATATATTTTTTTTTTTTTTTTTTAAAAAGTATTGCAGAAATGCAAACTTTTTTTTTTTTATTTTTTTTTTTTTTTATATTTTATTGATTTGTACAGAGAGGAAGGGAGAGATAGAGAGTTAGAAACATCGATGAGAGAGAGTCATCGATCAGCTGCCTCTTGCACACCCCCTACCGGGGATATGCCCGCAACCAAGGTACATGCCCTTGACCGGAATCGAACCCGGGACCTTTCAGTCCCCAAGCCGACGCTCTATCCATTGAGCCAAACCGGTCCCGGCTGAAATATATATTTTTAAAAAAAGAAAAGAAAAAGAGACAGCACGCGCCTGGGAGCACCCTCAGGCTGGGTTTTCTTTTTTAGTTTATTTTTAATTTTTTTTTTATTAGGCGGGGTGTCCTGAGTATGATTCCCGAAGGCTGCAAAGGCAAGGAGCCTGCACAGGTGTGTGTCCCTGTGGCGCTGCCCGTGGCCGCCTGGGAAGGCTGAGGGGAAGGCGGGCGGGGGGGGGGGGGGGGGGGTTAACGGGGAGAGCAGGGGGGGAGGCAGGGGGGAAAGCTGGGGGAAAGGCGGGGGGGGGGGAGGCGGGGTGGAGGCAGGGGGAAGGCGGGAGTGGGGAAGGCGGAGGGCGGGAAGGCGGGGGGCGGGGGAGGCTGGGGGAGAGACTGGGGGGAAGGCTCGGGGTCCCCGCTGTGTGGTCAATGCGCAGACCTGCCCGTTTTCCGTCCTCTGAGGGGGCCTTCGTGCACATAAACGTTCTGCTCAAACCGCCTCAAACACCCCCGAGGCCAGCTCCCTGCTCCAGTGGTGACTGTCCCCCATTCCCTCTGCGGCCTCGGGGAGCGGGGAGCGGGAGGGGGTTAGAGAAGCGGGCGGAGAGGAGAGCTGTGCTCGGCCGGGGCACAGGGAGCTCCGTGCAGAGGCCCCGGGGCACGGGGAGCCCGGCCCGGGCCGCAGGGCGGGGCCGCGGGAAGGAGTAACTCCCGCTCCCGCCGCCGCGCCAGGTGCCGGCAATGGGAGTGTTTGCTGCCGACGGCCCGGGGCCGGGGCGCTGCCTTTGGAACCCGACCGACTGCGCGGCCGGGGGCTCGCGTCCCTCCTTCCCCGCGGCCCCCGGGCCTTTCCGTGTCACCCCCGCCCGCCGCCCCCCGAGAGCCGCCCCCGCCCCCCGAGAGCCGCCCCCGCCCCCCGAGAGCTGCCCCCCGAGAGCTGCCCCCCGCCCCCCGTCCCCCGCCCCCCGAGAGCCGCCCCCGCCCCCCCAAGAGCCGCCCCCGCCCCCCGAGAGCCGCCCCCCGCCCCCCGAGAGCCGCCCCCGCCCCCCGAGAGCCGCCCCCCGCCCTCCGTCCCCCGAGGGCCGCCCCCCGAGAGCCGCCCCCGCCCCCCGAGAGCCGCCCCCCGAGAGCCGCCCCCGCCCCCCGAGGGCCGCCCCCGAGAGCCGCCCGAGCCCCGGGCCCCCCCGCCGGCGGGGGGCGGGAGCCACCTGTTGGCACCGCCGCCCGCGGTCAATTATTAACCGGGCGCCGCGCACCGGAAACCCGAGCCGGGAAAGCGGAGCCGGAGAGGGAGCCGGTCCGACGGCGCCGGAGGCGCCGGGGGCCGGGAGCTGTGCCGCCCGCTCCCCGCCGCCGCCATGGACGCAGGTGAGGACGCGGCCCTGTGCGCGCCCCCCGCCCCGCCCGGGCTCCGGGGTCCGCGCGCGGGTGGCGGGCGGGGCTCTCTCCGCGGGCCCCTCCGGCTCCGCCCGGGGACCCGTCAGAATGGGGCGGGAGGCCCGCGGAGAGCTGGGGCGGTTGGGCCGGGCCCCTCCAGCTCCGGTCACACCGGGGGTCGGAAGGGGGGCCTCCGGTGGTCCTGGGGCCCCCCAGTCCCACCCCCCGGGCGGGCACAGGGGCTGAGAGCGGCCACTGGGGGGCGTTTCCACTCCCCACCCGCCCCCTCTGGCCGGGCTGCGCCCTGAGCGGGCAGGGCCCCTGGCGGGGGTCGTGGGGGGGCGCCCCCTGGCGGCGGGACCCCCGGGAGGGCGGGCGGCGGGCCCTCAAAGGCTCGTTCAGGGAACTGCGACGGGCCCGCCGGAACCGGGCCGGGAGGCGGAACCGGGACTCCCCTCCATCCCGCCGCGCCTGCCCCGGGTCCGGCTGGGGGCTGGGCGGGGGGCGGTGCAGAGCGCGGCCTGGCCTCGGGGCATCCTGGAGGGGCCGATGCCCTGGAGGGGCGTGCGCGCGTGGGGGGGGCTGGCCACTCGCACGGAATGGCTCTGACCGCCCCCCTCCCGCCCCTCCCGCCGGAATGTCCGAGGCTCGAGTGTCCAGAACCCGAGAGCCCGGCGCTGGCAGCCCCGCCGGCGCTTATTTACTCGGAGGCTATCTGCGCGCCATCGGCCAGGCATTTGCCCCCGGGGCCGGGGAGCTGCGGGTTTTGTTCCGATAACTGGGGCAGGGCCGGCCGGTCCCCCTGGGACCGGTGTCTGAGGCTCGGGTTCCCTGCCATTAGGAGCCTTTTTTCTCGCATCTGCGAAATGGGGACAGAAAAACAACCGCCCCAGGCTCCCCAGGCCTGCAGAGCCTCCGTTCGCCCTGTGTCCGCTGGCACCATTCTGTGATGGTTGTTTTTATTCGTTTTCACTCTCACCAGCATCCTCACGTCACACAGGAGGACAGGAGGCCTGGATGGCAGGTCACACAGCCCATCCATGTGGTGGCTCAGCTCCCTGGGCGACCGCAGGCGCTCAGTCCCACACACCGGGCTTGTCCACATGCCGGCTGGCTGTGCGCAGGGCATGCTCAGAGGGGGCTGGCCTGGCTCGCAGGGGCCTGGGCATGGCCACTGGCTGGGAGCTCGTCACCGTCACCGTCAGCCAGGGGCACCCAAAGGCCCGCTGGCTCAGCCAGCAAACCAGGGCCCCAGCATGGTGGTGGTGCCTTATTTTATTTTGTTTTAAATATATATTTTTATTGATTTCAGAGAGGAAGGGAGTGGGAGAGAGAGAAACATTGCACGCCCCCCACTGGGTATCAAGCCCGGAACCTGGGCATGTGCCCTTGACAGCAATCGAACCTGGGACCCTTCAGTCTGCAGGCCGACACTATCCACTGAGCAAAACTAGCCAAGGCTTATTTTCATTTTTAAATATATTTTTATTGATTTCAGGAAGGAAGGAAGAGGGACAGAAACATCAATGATGAGAGAGAATCACTGATTGGCTGCCTCCTGCACGGCCCCTATGGGGATCGAGCTCATAACCTGGGCATGTGCCCTTGACTGGGAATCAAACCATGACCTTCTGGTTCACAGGTGGACACTCAGCCACTGAGCCTCGCTGGGCTGGTGCCTTATTTGAAACTCCAGCCTTTGTCTGGGAGGGTGAGGCTGGGAGCTCCTGGCCATGCTGAGTGTCTGACCAGGTCTACTGGGCGGGGCGGGGCTGGTTCCCAGGGGCAGGGATATTCAGGCCACCCCCACCCTCCAGGAGACCAGCAATCCTGTCCCCCACACACACACACACACCGGGGTCCTCCTGGAAGAGCCCAGCGCTCTGGGTCAAACTTAGCCACAAACCTTCCTTAAGTGTGGACCTCCTCCCCAATAGCTTTGTCTATACACACACACACACACACACTCACACACACACCAGTCCTTATAGCTTTCATTATACACACACACTCACACACACCAGTCCTTATAGCTTTCATTACACACACACACTCACACACACCAGTCCTTATAGCTTTCATTATACACACACACACTCACACACACCAGTCCTTATAGCTTTCATTATACACACACACACCTCTGTCACACATACACACACACTCACACACACACAGTCCTTATAGCTTTCATTACACACACACACACTCACACACACCAGTCCTTATAGCTTTCATTACACACACACACACACACACACACCAGTCCTTATAGCTTTCATTACACACACACACTCACACACACCAGTCCTTATAGCTTTCATTACACACACACACACTCACACACACCAGTCCTTATAGCTTTCATTACACACACACACACACACACACACACACACCCATCGTCTCTAAGTGCGTCTGCTCCAACGTGCTGGTTACAGCCAATGTTTCCCGCCCCTTTCTGTCTGGATGGTGCAGCCACTGAAGTAAATGCTGAAGCCCAGGCTCTGGCGCCTCCTGAGCAGCTTCCCCAGCTCCCGCCAAGGCTCTTATGGGCTCAGTCCCCTGCGAGCCCCGCTCCAGCCTGGGTCTCAGGGCCTCTCCGGGGCGGCCCTGGGCCAGGTTTCCTCTTCCTCCATCCGCTGGGCAGCAGGGCCTGGGCTGGAGGCTGCCTGGCCCAGGGCGCAGGGCAGGGTAGGGCCGGGGTGGGGTAGGGGCAGGGGCAGGGCAGGGCCGGGGTGGGGCAGGGGCAGGAGCAGAGCAGGGCCAGGGTGGGGTAGGGGCAGGGCAGGGCAGGGCTGGGGTAGGGCAGGGGCAGGGGCAGGGACAGGGCAGGGCAGGGCCGGGGTGGGGCAGGGGCAGGGACAGGGTAGGGCAGGGGTGGGGCAGGGGCAGGAGCATGGCAGGGCCGGGGTGGGGCAGGACAGGGCAGGGTAGGGTCAGGGTGGGGCAGGGGCAGGGCAAGGCCGGGGTGGGGCAGGGGCAGGAGCAGGGCAGGGGTGGGGCAGGGGCAGGAACAGGGCAGGAACAGGGCAGGGCAGGGCCGGGGTGGAGCAGGGGCATGGGCAGGGCAGGGCCTGCGTGCCCACAGCTGGCGCCCAGAGGCACTGCGCCCTTTGAGCCCCGCCTGTGCGGTCTGAGCTCGGGGGGGGGGGAAAGGCGGGGAGAGGCCAGCACCGGCTTTCTGCTCGGAGGGGCTAGGGTGGGGCTCGGGGCAGGGACCCACCGGGCCAGTGGCCTCTGGAGGCTCTGAGACCTGCCTTTCTTCCCAGGAGCGGACACAAAAGGGGGTGCTGGCCCCGAGGGCTCCGAGGACCCCCCGAGAGCCGAGCTCCCGCAGCTCCCACGCCGCCCGCAGCTCCTGGAGGACGGGGGGCCCAGTGAGGAGGCCACCGCGGACGAGGGCAGCGCCCCGGCCCCGGCCGTGCCCCCAGCCGTGCCCCCAGCCGACTCCCCGGCCGCAGCCGCTGCCGCCGCGGTGCCCCCCGCCCCCGCCCCCGCCCCCGCCCCGGCCCCGGCCCCTGGTGAGGGCGATGCCAGGCAGGGGCCCAAGGCGGCCGGCGGCATCCCCAACATCGGCTTCGTGGGCGAGCCCCCGCCCTACGCGCCGCCCGACCCCAAGGCCGTGCACCTGCTGTACCCGCCCTTCCCGCCGGGCCCCGTCCTCTTCCAGCCCGGGCCCGACCCCCCCGGCCCTGTACCCGCCGCCCGCCACGCCGCTCTACCCCGCGCCTGCCGCCCCGCAGCTGTTCGCGCCCTTCCCCGTGGTGAGTGCCACCCAGCCCGGCACCCTAGGGATGCCGCTCGGTGTCCCCCTAACCCCCCCTCACCCCTTACCCCCTCACCCTTTCCCCCCATGCAGTCCTTACCCCCGGCCACCCCGTACCCCCCCACATCTCGCCCGTACCAAACCCAACAGCACCCCTTGACGCCCCCCATCCCCTATCACCCCCTTACCCCCCCCACCCCTCATACCCCCACCCTCACCCCTTACCCCCCCCACCATCACCCCTAACCCCCCTCAACCACACCCTTACCCCCAACACCCACCCCACCCTTACCCCCCTCAGCCCCTTACCCCCACTCTCCCTTAACCACTCATCCCCCTTAACCCCTCCCTCACCCCTTACCCCCCCCACCCCTTACCCGCACACCGTACCCCCCTCACCCCTCACCCCTCACCCTCCCTCACCCCTTACCACCCCCCATCACACCCTTACCCACCCACCCTTACCCCCCTCACCCCTTACCCCCTCAACCCCTTACCCCCCCTCACCCCTTACACCGCCCAACTCATCCCCCCCCACCCCGTACCCCCCCCACCACTCCCTTACCCTCCCCACTCAACCCCTTACCCCCCACTCCCACCTCTTACACCCACACACCCTTACCCCCCCAACCCTTACCTCCCCCCCCACCTCACCCCTGACCCCCCACCACTCACCCCTTAAACCCCCACTCACCCCTTTACCCCCCACCCACCCCCCCACCCCCACCCTCTTACACTCACACCCACACCCCTTACCCCCCCACCCCGTAACCCCTCACTCACACCTTACCCACCCCCGCACCCATTATACCCCCCACTCTTCCCTTACCCCCCTCACCCCTTACCCCTCCCACCTCTTACCCCCCCCACCCGTACCCCCTCACGCCCTTACCCCCCCTCCCTCTTACCCCCCCCACCCATTACCCCCCCTCACCCCCCTCACTCACCCCCTTAACCCCCCACTCTACCCGTTACCCCCCTCACCCCCTTACCCCTCCCACTACCCCTTACCACCCCCCCACCCCTTTACCCCCCCCACCTCTGACCTAACCCCCCCACCCCTTACCACCCCCCTCACCCCTTACCCCCCACTCTCCCCTTAACCCCCACTCACCCCTTACCCCCACCCCTCCCCCTTTACCCCCCTCACCCCTTACCCCCCTCACCCCTTACCCCCCTCCCCCTTACCCCCCCCTCACCCCTTACCCCCCCCACCCCTTACCCCCCCCACCCCTTACCCCCCTCACCCCTTACCCCCCACTCTCCCCTTAACCCCCACTCACCCCTTACCCCCTCACCCCCCTTAGACCCCCCACTCACCCCTTACCCCCTCACCCCACCCCCTCACCCTTACCCCCCCCACCCACCCCTCACCCCTCCCCCCACCCCTTACCCCCCCCCTCACCCCTTACCCCCCCACCCACCCCTCCTCACCCCTTACCCCCCTCCCCCCTTACCCCCCCCCCCCCTTACCCCCCTCACCCCTTACCCCTCCCACCTCTTACCCCTCCACCCCTTACCCCCCCACCCCTTACCCCTCACTCACCCCTTACCCCCCTCACCCCTTACCTCCCTCACCCCTTACCCCTCCCACCTCTTACCCCCCTCACCCCTTACCCCTCACTCACCCCTTACCCCCTTCACCCCTTACCCCCCTCACCCCCCACTCACCCCTTACCCCCGACTCACCCCTTACCCCCCTCTCACCCCTTAACCCCCCTCACCCCTTACCCCTCCCACTCACCCCTTATCGCCCTTTCTGACCGCTCACCTCTAACCCCCCTCCTCACCCCTATTCGTTCAGTCTTCCCTCCCCCACCCCGGGGGTGGCTCACAGACATTAGAAGTCGGGTACAGCTGGGCCTGGTGCCCGGAGGGGAACAGGAAAGGGAGCCCAGGAGATGCCCAGAAGTGGGGGCACTGCGGGTTCTGAGAGGTGAGGCGAGTTCAGGCGGAAACGGAAGGCGCTCGGCAGAGGGTGCCGCTCAGGCGGGGGGAGCCGGCCTGCGGGCCTGGGAATGGGGGCCAGCTCAGTAGGGGATCCATTGAGGGCCCGGGGCCTCTGGAAGGGGATGATCTATCGGAGCTTTAGAATAAACACCTGCTGCCTTAGGACAGCAGAGCAGCCCCCTCCCGCCCCCCCCCCCACCCGGGACTGGGGACAGTGGTGGCTGGACCCTGGGCTGGACGGGCACCTGGGAGCGTCGCTGCCCTGGTGACCTGCCGCCTCACCGTGGGGCTCGGGGTGGGGGGGCCCTCCCTCGGGTCGGGCGCTCCCTCAGCCGTGGCCTCTGCTCGCAGTACAACGGCCCCCTGGCCGGCGTGCCCGCGCCTGCCACTGTGGAGCACAGGCCGATGCCCAAGGACTACATGATGGAGTCGGTGCTGGTGACCCTCTTCTGCTGCCTGCTCACCGGGCTCCTCGCCATCGTCTACTCCCACGAGGTAGGGGCAGCCCGTGCACCTCCCAGCATGCACCGGGCCGGGGCGGTATGGGGGCCCCTCGCCCAGGAGCCGGGAACTGGGAATCGGTGCCGTGTCTCGGGCCCCTGACCCTGCCGGTGGACACCTCCTGCCCCTCGGCTCCGCCCACACTCCGGTCTGGGCTCCCACAGCTTAGGATGCTGAGTGGCTGCCAAGGCCCAGAAGCTGCCATCCCTGGGGTTGGGGGCTTGTGTGCACCTTACCCCCACTCATCCCTCTTACCACCCGGCTGCCCGGTCTCTCACCCACTGCCCACCCACTTAGAACCCACCCTGCCCCACCATCTCTCCATCTCACACCCCTCCCCCCCACCCCCAGCCCAACCACAGCCCTGAGCAGTCAGGCTCTGGGACTGCCGTGCCAATGGAGGGTGTTCTCACAGACAGAGCAGGCAAGCCTCTGGGGTCTCCGCCTGAGGCTGAGCTGGCCCCGCCCCCCCTCAGCCCGGACTGTGGGCAGAAGGCAGTGCTCAGGACAGCTCACAGGTGTCTGAATTCTGGCCCCACCGCCAGCTGTGTGACCCTGGGACAGTCACTTCACTTCTCCGTACCCGTTCCCTCATCTGCCAAGTGGGGGCAACCAACATGTGGGTTGTGGTGACGATTGTGGAGACCAGGGCGAGGTGTGGGTGTGCCGGGCCCATGAGGGGCCGAGAGCTGGCGCCACCACCTGATTGCTCCCGGGCAGGCCCCAAGCTCCTCGGGGTGCGTCTCCCCGTCTCCCTGGGGCCTGGCCCGATGGGAGGGAGGGGGGGCTCACCCTCGCTCTGTCTGCTTGCAGACCCGCTCGGCCCTGAGCCGCGGAGACCTGGCCCAGGCGGAGGAGGCCTCCCGCAAGGCCCGCTCCCTCGTGCTGTTCAGCCTGCTCTTCGGGGTCTTCGTGTCCACCAGCTGGGTCATCTACGTGCTGGTGGCCCTCTACCTCCCGTGAGGGGGCTGCGCCGGGGCGGCAGGAGGCCGGACCTGCGATCCCCGCTGGGGCCAGAGGGGACCAGGGGGGGTGGGGGGGGGGGGAGGAGTGGGAGGGATTGGCGCGCTCAGCACACCTGTGGCTGCCTCAGCTCTGAGGGGCCTGGGGGCCCCGGAAGCCCCATTTCCTTGGTGCCTCCTCCTGAGGTCTTCCTGGGACTGACCGGCCCGAGGCCCCTGCCTTCACCTTACCCCCAGGAGACCATCGAGGGACCAGAGTCTGTGGGCTCAGCACCGCGGGGGTGGGGCGGGGCACTGCACACGGGGCCTCCTGCCCCAGCCTTGTCCGTTGGTCAGGTCTGTGGGTTCGGGTCCCCATGGAGCTGGTGGGCGTGGCTTCAGCCCCCAGTAGCTCCTGGCTGGTAGGTCAGGCCCTGTCCCATCCTAGGACAGACAGGCTCTCATGCTGGCCCCGTGGCACCCAGAATCCAAGGCCACGCATCTGTTTCCTCATCTGCAAAGGGGGGGCAACAGCTGGACCCCCCACACCTCCCTCTTGGACTCACCAGCAGGGGCACTGTGACCAACAGTAACTTCCTTGGCTGGTCAGTCCGCAGCCCCAAAGACAGTCCTGACCTTTAGGGCTTCTCGCTGCTCAAGGAGACTGGGCTCTCCTCCTCCGTAAGGGGCCGTGGCACAGCCTGCCCTGGACCAGTGGGTGCCAGCAGTGCCGGTTCCCATAGGGCCTTCCCCAGCCTGAGGGGAGGGCAGGGCAGGGTGAGCGGCAGGGCAGCCAGGCGCCTCCCACTCTGCAGCTGGGAGGCCGTTCACTGAAGGGCACTCCCTGGGAGGGTCCAGAGCTTTCACCAGATTCTCAAGGCGCCGGTGACTCAGGCACGGAGAGGAGGGAGGCCCGCTGAGCCGGAGACCGGCAGCTCGTGTTAAACCGCCTGCTCCCTGCGCCTCTGGGTGCTGCCTGCACCGGGCGGAGGAGACGCCCGCACAGCCCTGGAGATGCCGGGAGCTGGACCAGGACGTCGGTGATGCAGACAGCTGTCACTCGCATGCAGGTACCTCCTGGGCTCTCCCGTGAGGCCCAGAGGAGAAGGAACTGTGGAGGACGTGTGGGACCCACAGTGGCAGCCACTCCCACTGACCTAGGTGACCTCCGAGGAGAGAATCCTGCCTCCCTGCTCTGTGGGGTCGAAGCCCGGGCGTCTTCAGAGGGCAGCTCAGAGTCAGCTAGACATAGCACATTAAATGGGAACTACTAACACCATTAGAAACGGTTATACAGCGCCATCCATGGCAGCCCCTAGCGTCTCTGCTGTTCCACATTGTGTTAAGGTTCTAGCTAACGTAAGAACAGCTACCGTATTTTTCGGACCATAAGACGCACCGGACCATAAGACGCACCAGTTTTTAGAGAAGGGAAATGAAGAAAAAAAGATTCTGAAACAAATAGTGTCCTAAAATATTTTATGTGCATTAAAACCCAACATCACAGTCATAAACACATGTAATCAACCCTGTAAAGTAAACAGCAGCATTTAGAACCATTTAGAGCCGGGCAAGCACACAGAGACCACACAGAGCCGGGCAAGTAAAAAAACTTTTTTTACAGTATATGTGTAGGCTATATTTGGACCATAAGACACAGGGACTTTCCCCCCCCCACTTCTGGGGGGAAAAAAGTGCGTCTTATGGTCCGAAAAATACGGTAAGTGAAGTTTGTGATATGAAACCTGCAGTCTCTGTCAAAAGAGAAAAAATGATTTTCTAGCTGTAATATCCAAGAATCAATGAAAAAATTAGAATACCTCAGTAAAATAGTTGGATATAAAATAAATGTGATAGTCATTAGCAATAATCAGTTAAAATGGGAAAAAAATTAAAAATTCCACTCATAGTAGTGATAAAACAATAAAATCTAGAAATAAGTTTGACAAGATGATCTGGGCCCAAGTAAAGAAATGACTTTTAATTATACATGTAACTTTATATCTACAGCAGGTCCCCAAATGCATATACACATTAACGGCTGATAGCTCAAATTTGAAAATGAAACTTATTCTAATAAACACTACTCAGAGTGTGTATTTACATTTTGGGGGACACCCTGTATATATAAAATTGAACAAAATACTTGGATAGAAAGATGTAGTATAAGAATATGTAGCATTTTTAGAGATTTAATGAAATCCCAACAAGAAAACCGATTTCTTGTTTTAAAACTATCACACACGTTTTTAAAAACAAAAGGGAGATGTGTAAAAACGGACAATTTTTTAGAGAATTGAATGAGGGGACTGTCTTCCCTGGACACCAAAGCTTATCACAGAGCTACAACCCCCGACAGCACGGCCAATAGGACACGGGAGACGTCCCCAGTGTGTGTGGGAGTTACCACCCCATCAAAATGGCCTCTTAATGGAGCGGGTCGAGGAGGGCTCAGAATAAGCAGAGTATGGGATAACGCGCACTCCAGCTGGGTTACAGAGCTAGGGGGAGGGGAGAGAAGATCCTCACAGAGCCCAGGAGGGTCCGTGTAGCTCAGGATGCTGGGGAGGCCCCGGGAATCTGGAAAGCCAGAGAGGGAGGGACCGAGTGATCCGAGTCCCACAGAGCCAGAGAAGCATCGCTCGGGGCCAGAGTGGGCCGGGTCCTCGCTAGGTTGGGAAAATGTTCCTGGTGGGAAGCAGACTGTGGGGTCTGTCCGTGACGTCGTGCCATATACTTACGTGCACACACGTGCGAAGGACAGTGAAAGGAAGCTGCAGACTGCTGGCAGAGGCTGCCCCGGGACTAGGAGCGGTTGCTCTACGCAGGGCTGACCTTGATGATGGGATCCACACGTGGCGTTGGTAAAGGTACCTGAGGAGAACGCACTGCTTGTGGATTCGGTAGGCCGTTTTTGGGCTCGACGGCGTGGTGAAGGACAGTCCTCCAGAGGCTCAGTGAAGGGAGGGAGAGGCTGGGGCACTGTGTGCAGGAGAGAGAACGGCTGGCGCAGGGTGAGAATGTCTGTGGGGAGCTGGTGTGGCACAGTGGTTCGTGCTGAGTGACGAGGAAGGCTTCCCGGAAGCCGTGGCAGTACCACCTTAGCCCAGGGCGAGGCTGCCCTCTGGGGGAGGCTGTGGGCAGCGCAGTGGCTCTGACTGGCGTTTCTCTGATGACTGGCGACACTGAGCCTGTCACCAGCTCTCTGGATTCTCTGTCTGACGTGCCTGCTCAAGCTGGCGCCGTTTTTGAAGTCTGGCCATGGAGGTGGTTCTGAGTGTCCTTCCTTCACTGCTCACTGCCTTCGGGGCGGCGAGGAAGTGCGGAGATGTGTGAGCTCTGCGGCAGCTCAGCTGGCACAGCTCCCTCTTCGTTCACACCAAGTCCAGGGTGGGCGGTGGGGTCTGGGTTCTCCACTCGGGACTCTGCGTGCCAGCCCCTGGAGCCCGCCGCGGCCGGGAAAGAGGCACACCCACACTCTGCATGTTGTTCTTCAGACTCCCAGTGCCAGTGAGCAGTACGGTATTTGTCTGACTTACCTCACCAGCACACCCTCTAGTCTGTCCATGCTGTGCAAATGGTCAGACTGCCTCCTGCTGGGGCTGAGTGGTGGCATTCCGTTGTAGACATGTGCCAGGGCTTTCTTCGGATATTTACCCAGACAGGGATCGATGGGTGAAAGGCAGTTCCATTCTTAACTTAACGAGGGGACATCCATCCCCCTTCTGCAGAACCGCCAGCAGCGGCCCGCAGGCCTGGACCTGGGACAAGGACTGGCGGGCCTTAGTGAGGGCGCGTGGGGGCCCAAGCACGTCGCCAACATACGAACGTCGCTCCGTCCTTGCGTTGCGGATGCACCCAGTGGTCAGGGAGGACTGGTTTTCCAGTGCCGGGCGGGGGTTGCTAAGGTTACGCTGGCGCCTCTGCGCCAGCACTCGCCTGTGATTTTCTCACGCTGTCCTTGTCTGGATTGGATGCCAAGATTGTCTTCTACTCACGCAAGGAGGCGAGCAGTGTTTCCCTTGCTGTTCTCGGGGCTTGAGGGAGACTGGCGCCCGCTGTTACCTGTTATGCCTGTGAGGACCTGCTATCCATGTGGATTTCACCCCAGATCATCGTGTAAGGCCAAGTACCCCTTCTTGGCAGCACTTACCGTGGTTTGGTGTTCCCTCGTGTGACAGTAAAGAGGATGCAATGGGTAAAGCTGTTTGCAAAGTGCATGGTGCCCACCTCATGCTGGGCGAGTAGTACCAGGGGCAACAGCTCAGCGGACACAGGCGGCGACTGGCTGAGCTTGCGAGGTCGAAGCTGGGAGGGCCCTACAGCTGAGCAGCTGGGACAGAGAAGGCCCCGCGTACCCACGGCCACTGGCTGACAGCCCATTAGCCGGGAGCCGCGTCCCTCCACGTTCCGAGCACGCAGACTCAAGGCCCAGGCCCGACCTCGCCGGGTTCCAGAGCGATGTGCCCGGGGACAGCTGGGGTGGCCTGAGGGGGGGGGGCTGCTTCTCACCCCCTGGGGACACCAATGGCACCGCGCCCGAAGCCAGGCCTTGTGCACGGACAGAGCCCTCGGGGGCGGACGGAGCGCAGGCCTCTGACGGGCTAGTGTGGGGGACTCACCCCAACAGCAGGCAGTGGGAGGAGCGCAGAAAGGAAGAACCATCACTGACACGCGGGGGCACACGGGCAGATGGCTGCGTCTGTTTATTTCCTCATATAAAAGTACACATTGAAATGTCTGCGGGGAGACCCCCATCCGCCGTTAGTGGGGAAGATATATTACAACGTAACACTGGGGGGAGGTGCTGCTCAGGTTCGGCTCGGACACGGCGCCCGCCTGCCCTCTCCTGGCTCTACCCACTGCAGGGAACCCGACCGTCCTGCTCGTGTCTGTCTGTCCTGAAGATCAAGTCCCATCCGCTGTCCCCAAGACACACAGCTCACGGCAGGCTGCGGTGCTGGCACGGAGTTTGGTAACTCCCGGAGCCAAGAGGAACGTGTGGGCAGCCCGCGGCCAGTGAGCTCACACTCACTGCACCTGCTGTCCGCACTCTGGGGCCTGCCCCTCTGCGCAGACCACCGAGGGCGGGGGCAGGGCCACTCCTGAACCGAGGGAGTGGAGCCCGACCCCCTCCCACCAGCTCAGACACGCCTCGTCCGAGAGAGGCTGTTTCTGAGGCCGAGTCTTGGCCTGTGGTGCTCCCAAGTTCCCACGCTAGGAGCCCCGAGGGCAGCACAGCAGCAGAGCGGGCAGCTGGGGAAGACAGACGAGGACTGAGGAACGAGCACAGCCTAGAAACCACCCCACACTGCACTGTAGTGAACAGTGACTCACACACACTCTTAAATAGTAAAGTGACATGTTCTGGCCGCGGCCGGCAGGACCACCGCCAGAGGGACCGTAACCGACATCTCAGCCTCCCCCTCACACAGGACAGACGGAAGCCAGGCAGCCGTGCTCCTGATAACAGCTCATCCAACCACGAAGGACTCAAAGTGACACGGCTTCTCTATACACACAATCTAGATCACCAACGGGTGTTGCTCTCTCCTGCTCTTTGTTCGGGGCTAAGCACTTAGTCCTGGAGTTTGCGTGACCAGGTGCCGACCCCAGGACAGGCAAGCGTCCACCCGCGCAGCAGGGCGCAGAGGCAGGCCCATCGGAGCCCAGGGCGCGTGGGGGCTCCGGCTGGCACCTGAGAGCGGCCTGCAGACCTGGCCTCGATTGTCACCTCAGCAGCGAGTGTGGTTTGCACGGGAGGACAGAGAGCACTGTTCTCAGACGCTTTCCTGGTGGGAGGGCGAGCCTGCCCTGGGGTGTGGCTGGGCAGCCCAGACCCTGGCCTCCCAGGGACACCGTCCCTCCCAGGGGCGAGCCAACAGCAGGGGGGACACCAGTGAGGAGTCCTGACACCCACAGGATGGAGCACGGAAGGAGGGGAGCCCATGGGCCGGAGGGGCAGGAGATGGAGTTTAAGGCACACAGCAAGCGACAGGCGGGGGCCAGAGGCCTCCCCTGGACAGAAACGCCCCTGTACTCCCCTCTCTCTGAATTAACTCACCCAAGAGCTACGAACCCAGCTCAGGTAAAATGCATTTCTTGGATGGTAAAGTCCTCTCCTGCTCCAGCCTCCTCTTCCCAGCTCCCCCAGTGCCAGGTGATGGGGTGGGAGGGATAAGGGCAGAGAGAGGGCAGCCACTGCCCCTTACTGCATGGCCAGCAGCCCAGGTGCCTGCAGGCTGAGGGCGGTGCTAGGGGCCAGTACCTCCTGAGCTCGGCTGCTGAGGCCACCTGTCGTACCTAGAGGGCCAGGCGGGCAGTGCCCCATCCGCCATCTTAAAAAGCAGGGCTGGAGAGGAGGAGCCCAGCTAAGCCTGCTCTGCTCTCTGCCCACCGAGCTAACTGTCCCTTCTCTCACGGCCCCCGGGTGGGTCCTGAGCCTCCACTCATTCCTCATTTCAGCAGACCCGGACCCTGAAGTCAGGAGGGCAGACTCGCGGCTCCCAGGTGGGAGGGGATCAGGCGGGACGGGAGGGGGAAGACGGACGTGAAAGCAGAAACCAAATGAGAACACCACCAGTTCACAATCGGCAACGAGACCTGCCTGCTGGCTCCGTGCCGGCCGTGGCTCCGCTTGTGGGAGGAAGGAGGCAGGGAGCTGCCCGCACTCGGGGCTCCTGCCCGGCCGGCCCCCGGCTGGGGCCGGAACCGCGCTGCTGCCACACACAGGTCCAAAGTCCCCTCGGGTCTCGGAGCCGCACTCTGAGCCTCTGTGAGCGTCCGCCTTGCGCACGCAGCTGCCCTTAGGTCTTCTCCTCCCGGTCTGTTTTCCTCCTGGTTATGTTCCTGGGCTTGATTTTCAGGGAGAGTTCCCAGAGGGCCTCCTCGGCCAGGTGGTCACTGAAGTCATTGAAGAAGTTGATGATGTCGTCGTTCCTCCGGATGTCATAGTGCCTGTGGGGAGGAAGGCAGCCAGTGAGCGCCCACGACCGTTCCAGGCAGCCCCCCACGCCCAGCCAATCGCTGAGGCAGGCGCCCTCGGCCGACGGCCTCTGGGGGATACGAGCTCTCCCACACTAGACCCTAAAGCTGGGCCCCGCTTCCCGCAAGGTCTCCCCAAACAGCATCCCTGCCTCGGGCTGCCCTCTCAGGTGCTGCAGGGAGACCTGTTCCTCAGGCCCACTCGTGCCGAGGCCCACCCTGGGGGCCGCTGATGGTGGGCCCACCCACTGGCATCTGGTGGGCCACAGTGTGCCAGCAAGACCAGCCACCAGCTTCCTGTCTGGGAAAAGGGGACGGGCTGGCTGCCATCCTGTGCTGAGCCCCGCGGGCCCTTTCTCTGGCCTCCTGACAGCCTAGTCCTCGCCATCTCCCGTCTCTGCTCAGGCCCCGGGGCTGGGGGCGCACTCACGCCTGCTGGAAGCAGCGCATGCCGTCCAGGATGTTGAACTGCTGCCACCGTTTGGAAAAGTTCACTTTGCCGTCAATGTAGTCCGGGTTCCCCAGGTGCACGAAGGTGAGGTCCTGCAGGATGAGCCCCCTGGAGGACGAGAGCCCGTGACCCTCAGGTGACTCGGGTGGCTGCCGCCCAGGCAGGCTGGCTGAGCCACAGGACAAGCCAGCGCTGATGCTGCCCCGGCCCCGGGGCGGTGCCTGAAAAACTATGAAGCCACCAGCGCTCTGAGAGGCGTGTTTTCCCCAGCGGAAGTCCCGGCTCCCAGACCCTGGGTCCCGGGAAAGCCAGCTCAGGTCCCGGAGGAGCCTCGGAGGCCTGCCCGCTGCAGAGGCCTCGGTGGCCGTCCGGCCTGGGAGGCCCGTCGGGGACCTGAATGCTGCAGCAGAAGCCGCAGAGCGTGGGCTTGCTCACGTAAAGCTCATAAACGAACAGGACCCCACGCTGGGAGTGGGCGGAGACAGAGCCCTCGTTAGCAGGTGCCTCTAACGCAGGACGCGAAGCCATGTGACCAGTGATGGCAGTCCCTCCACCTGGGAGGCCCTGCCCGAGGGCCCAGGGACCTGCTACCGAGCGCCCGCGGGAAAGGGAGTAGTGTAGTGAGGCCGGGAGGCTGGAAGGGGAGTCGGCTGTCCGATCTTCGTCTCTGAGAGACATCCCATCAGACGCCCAGTCGTGGGCAGTGCCGCCTGACTCTCCCACCCCTTTCAGAGACTGTGCCCACTAGCCTACTAAGCTCTGATAAGACCTGCAACAGAAGCCTGTCTAGCTTTCATTTTCCGCCACTTCCTGCATTTACTGACCACAGGATCCCTTCCCAGGAAGCACCTATGGACTCCCTCTGCCAGGGCCACATGGGGGGCACACTCTCTGAGCTGCTTCATGCCCAGTGCTCTCAGGGTTGCTGGGGTGACCGGGGCTGAGTTTGAGGCCTGCTGGAACATGGCACAGTGTACTGCGGGAGAAGGATGCTGCCACCGGTCTGCGCTGCCTGCAGGCCAGGGAGAGGGAACAGGGCAGGGGGACGGAACCTTTTCACTGGACCCCACGGTTCTGCTTAAAAGTAACAGGCTCTCCGTGCTGCACAACTCAGAGATAAGACAGTATAAATGTCCTGGTGGGAACCCTTAGCGCGGGTTCCTCAGGGCGCCCAATACAGCATCCCAGAGCAACCGAGGGGCAAGCCGGGCAGGGGTCTACTCACAGGTACGGGATGCACGGCGGCTCCACCTCCGAGAGGGCGGCCCGGTAGGCGCGGAAGGAGGACGAACTGTCAATCAGTGTGCAGTACTCGGCCAGGCCCTGTGCAGGACGGGGAGTGTGTGAGCACTGGTGTGTGGGCCCCGCCCCTCCTCGCAGACCAAGTTGTCACCCACCCTCTGCCAGTGCTCGAGGGCACCCACACACAGCAACCCAGAACCGGGCTCCGCTCTTCAGGGGCCACTCCCTGGAGCACCCTGCAGAGGTGCTGTGCCTGCTCGGCCCCCATCTCCTCCCCGTCAGCACCCACGTGTGCACAGGACCTGGACCTCGGGCTCCCGCTGGGCTGTGCCCGACTGCAGCCCTAGTGAGCCTCTGACGCCCACCCTGCACCGCCATCCAGCTCCGAGCCTTCCTTCGTCCTCACTGCTCTCCAGGCCCAGTCCGCCGGCTGCCAGGTGACCTCACTTCACGCTCCGGCACGCAGCCTGGGCTCTTCCCTGCGAGACTCAGCCGATCCTGCCTTTCTGCCTGGTGGGCGCCTCTCACTGATGGTCACCTTCTCCAAGAAGCCCCCCTGCCTCCTGAGGACTTCATGCTTTCCTGGGGCAAGTGGTGCGGACGTCCCACTTCTCCAAACAATACTGTTTCTAACTGTCCTCTGTCACCTCCAGGCAGCCCTGGGCGGCCCAGCCAGAGCCCAGCCCTGGGGCTTGTCCTCCATATGGATAAAGGTCCAGTCCCTTGCCAGGCCCCCAAGGCCACAGTGATCGGGGCCAGTCCTCACAGCGACATGGCCACTGGCCACACTGATCCTGTCCTGCTGCCTGAGGCGCCAGCACAGTCTGCTCTCCACTGGCCCTGATGGGCATTCCTCTCCCTTCCCAGGAGGCTGCTCCTCAGGGTCTGACCTCACAACACTTCCCCGGGGGCCCCCTGACCCTGAAAACCCAACAGCATGTCTGTCTGTCCACAATGCCCACTGCAGCCGCCCAGAGCAGGCCTTCGAGAAGCGCAGGCCGAGGGCAGGAAGGAGCGGGCGCACTGGGACCAAGGCCCGGCCTGAGGCGCAGGCCGCAGGGCGATGTGATGTGACACCCGGCGCCAGCCACGCCCCTCAGGGCCCAAGGACTGCAGGTCAGAGACTAGGGCAGGCGGGGTGGGCTGCCCCTGCCACACAGAGGGCACTGGCAGCAGGCACCCAGCCCAGGTCTCCATTCCTGTCCTGAGCTCACCTCCGAGGTCTGCTTCTGCCACTCGAGCCTACGGATGGGCGCCGAGTCCAGCGCCGAGAGGATGGCCAGGTAGGAGTTGAAGTTGTTGAGCTTTCGTAAGTGCTGCGGAGAGAGGCGGGCCGTGAGGGCGGGGCGGGGGCAGGGGGGAGAAGAGGGGGGAGGGCGGGCGGGGCAGGGCTAAGGGGCAGGCTCGCTACCTTCATGATCTTGATGAACTTGAGGAGCAGCCGTTCTCTGTCCTGGGCCTTTTCCTGCAGCATGATGATGGAGCGGACCCTGCAGGGACCGGGAGGGAGAGCTGAGGGGACTGCACTCCCTCAGGCCCCTGTGGTCCTGGTGCAGATGGCCCTGCCGGACGCTCCATGGCTGGCAGCGAGTGCCCTGGGCTTGGCAGCACCGACTGTAGCCCGTCTCGGCTCTCAGCTCAGAATCCACGGGCAGGCCACAGGCCACAAAGATCTGGTGGCTGGTGCCCTCTGACCGTGTGCCTCTGAGGATGCCAGCAGAGCTCTCCTGGGAAGCTGAGCCAGCCCCGCTGGATGGACTCGCAGCCTCAGGACCAGCTCAGCGGGGCACTGCTCAGAACCCAGCACCAAGGCAAGGCGAGGACAAAGGACTCACGGGACCCGGACGCCGTGGTCCCCCACAGCCCCGCCAGTCCTGGGAGGAAGGGTCCCCTCTGCTGCCCCTTCTGCCCATGGGAGGCACCTGCACTGACCCACCGTGAGGACTGTGGTCTGTGGGGCCCACTCCCCCCTCCTAGGCAGACCCCAGGGGCGTGCTGGGAGCCCTCTGTGCCCAGCACAGGGCTGGGTCTGAGGCCAGGCTCAGGGCCATCCATGTGTGCCTACAGACGACCGTGCCCAGTGTTGGGGAGGAAGGAGGGAAAGGTAGGGGTAACCTAATTTCTCGCCAGCAAGCAGCCCGTGGAGCACTGTAACAATCTTAGCGCCCCTCGGTGGCAGCGAGGACCGCACGGCTGCCGCGCCCTGACCACCTCTTTGGTGCTGAGGCTGTGGGTGCTTTTGAGTCCTGTTCCGTGTTACATCATTAACACAACCTGGGCTCCGCTTTGCTGTACGGAAAAGGGCCACACAGTACCAATGGCCACCGCTCCTGCAGGCTCGCCTCCGGGCAGTCAGTGTGAGGAGCCCTGAGGCTGCCCGCCTGGCAGCGGGACAGTGCGGGGGGCACATGTCACCCACGTATGCAGACGCTGCCCTCGCTCCAGGCCCCTTCCCTGCGCGCGGGGTCCGCAACCAGCCTCTGCTCTAGGTGCCTCCTCTGCCGCCCGCTCGGTCAGCGCCCGCAAGGCGGAGGCGCTGAGGACGCACCTGCCCGGCGGCTCCGGGCCTTACCAGTAGGACATGTTGTTGAAGTGCTCCGTGAACTGGGTCAGGTTGGGGCTCTTCTCCTCATTCTGCTCTTTTGCCCAAAGCAAAACCTCAGGAATCTGAAAAGGAAGAAGCTGGATGGGGCTGGACCTCTGGCTGGCTGAGGACGGCAATTTCTCTCCTTTAGGGACAAGCCAGCCGCCTCGAGCCCTGCCCCACACGTACCTCTATTTTATAGAAGAGCTCGGCATCCAGCAGGGTCAGCTGTTCAGCGATTTCATGGCTGTGGAAGTCGTGCAGGGTCCCCGGCCTGGAAGACAGACGCCCGAGGTGAATGGACAGGGACAGCTGGAGCTGAGCGGGCTCGGAGCGAGGGCTGGAGGGAGTGACGGCTTGGACCCCGGTGCTGGCCCTGTCTCCTGCCACTGCTGGCGGGTCCTCCAGGGCCCCTGTGAGCCCACGTACAGCTCAGCTGCCAGAGAACGCAGGGCACAGGGGGACAGAGGTGGTGCCATAGGAACGCAGGCGAAGACGGTCACTAACAAACATCTCTGGCTGGGGTAGAGGGCAGGCCACAGACTAGAACCACATGTAGGGTCTGGGGCATGTTCAGGATGGCACAGCAGGGCTGGGGGGGAATTAACAGCTCCCCCTGAGTGCTGGGAAGGAATTAATTCAGAGCTGACCACAGCCCAAGGCACGCCCACCTGTCTCCTGCCCTGGTGAGCGGCCACTCGCCCTGGTGCCCCAGATCCTGGTTAAAGGTGTCTCGCCATGCAATACAACCCGGGCAGAGGCCCAGCACCCAGGGAACCCGCCAAGCTGTCCCTGAGCCACCTCACCAGGGCCTGGCAGAACTGGGGTGTGAGGCTGGGGCTGGGAGGTGCACTGAGGAAACGGGGTGCAGAGGTGGCTGCTGGGTACAGCTCTCACCAGAGGGGCAGGGGCAGGATGGGCCTGGGCAGACGGTGGGCGGCTCACCTGGCTGCTACGCCCCTGGCGGCCAGGGGCTGGTCGGAGTTGGCACACCGCAGCAGCTTCTTCTGGTCCACCTTGTCCAGGATGTTCTTGCGGAGCACGCGGGCCAGGCTGAGCTCCCCGCTGCACACCAAGCGGAAGACCAGCTCCATCAGCAGCTTCAGGATCTCCTCCGTCAGCTCCACCAGGCTGTGGGCCAGGCCACCAGGTGAGGCAGGGCCGCGGGAGGGAGTGGGGGGGGGGGCGGCGCTGCTGCCGCAGGTGGGGGATGGCCCAGGGGTAGCAAGCGACCACCGTCCTCTCAGCAAATGCTTGCTGGCCCCGGACAGGCCTGGCGGCCATGCCGGGCCTGGGCTGAGACGGACCCCAGGGAAGCTCCTGGCTCTGCGGGGAGGACTCCCTAACGGCCCTGGCCCCTCAGACTAGCTGCCACAGGCAGGAGGCTCAGGCCGGGCTGTGTGCTAGCAGAAGGGAAGCACCTTGAAGGCGGGGCCTGGCACTTCCTTCCCAGCCTGGGAGGCTGGCGTGATGGGTGCTGCCAATAAACGGCACTGCAGCCCGAACGCGAGGAGGGCAGAGCCTGGCCCTGCCAGTACCGGGGCAGGGCCAGGGCTGGCCTGCGGGGACGGCCGCTCAGAGCAGGCTGGGAGCCCGTCCAGAACCGCGGTCACGTAGCCGGGGAGGAGCAGGCGGGATGCGGGGAGGGGAAGCCGCCCGAGGCCCGCGATCCGAGGGCAGCGCACTCACCACAGCTCGTCCACCACCCGCACCAGCACGAAGAACGTGTTCTTGCTGACGCGCTTCTTGAACTTGTCGGCGAAGGGAGAGAACTTCTCGTATGTGGAGCGTGCGTTAAAGAAACAGCGTTCTCACACCGAGGGCCGCCCTGGCCAGCCACCATGTGCCAGGGAGTGAGGGGTGGGGGGCAGACCTCAGACTGTCCTTAGCCACGCCCTCTCCTGCCTGCAGAGCCGTCTCCACAGGCCCAGCCGGCCCGGCCCGCCTGGCTGTCAGGTTCAACCGCAGTTACTTTCTGAAGCGCCAGGGGCTGCCTTGCTGAGCCTCACGTAGAGGACAGAGGTCAGGGACGCCGAAGCCCCGGGCGGGGGAGGTGCAGAGCCCAGAGGTGTTTCCTGCCGCCAGTCCCGGAGCCTGAGATCACCTGCCCCCTCCAGCGGCCCCTCCAGCACCCCACCGGCCCGAGGCTGCGCTTTCTGCCGTGAGGGCCACGTTTCTGTGTCCCCTGCAGGCCCTTCCCCGCTCTGCCTGCCGCTGCCCGGTGACCCGGATGTCGGAGGACGTGCGAATGCCTGTCAGCAGCCTGCCCAGCACCAGCGAGTGCTCAGCAATGGGAGTCACGAGTATTGGCCACTTCAGGCCTGTGAGCAACTGAACGTGTGAGGCTGAAGAGAGCCTGTGTCTGTGGACAGGACGGTCCACTGCAGGGCCGAGGGGCCAGGACCCAGGGCAAGGGCAAGGGGAGAGTGGAAGCCCGGCTGTGGGAGACAGGAGGCCAGCAGGGGAAGCCTGAGGGCACACAGGATGGAAGGGAGAGCTGGAACCCCAGACTTCCTACCCCAAATGACAGCGCTGTCCAGCAGATGGCAGTCACAGGCTGCGACTGGAGGGCATGTCCAAAAGGCAGTGGACCCTGGGCTGGCCCACTCTGGGGCAGGATGGGCCCTGGGCCAGGACTGCAAGCAGTGGTCCTGGGAAAGGGTTCGAGGGGAGATGTGGAGGGGGAGCAGTTGTCCACAGTCACGTCTGCCACCAGGTGTTGTGGCCATGCCTACCCAAGGCTTTTCACTTGAGTCCGATTCCCTCATCCCACACATTTGCAACCATCACCCCAACGCCCTGGGGCTCAGCTCAGAAGCTGCAGGTGCCAACTTGCTGGGTCTCTGCAGGGGCCCCCAGGTTCCTGCCCTCAGGGCATCAATCCTAATGGTCTGAGTCACCGCGGCCTCTGTCCCAGGCACTGCGCACCGCCCGCAGCCCTTTGGCAGGGGGAGGAGGCTCACAGAGGAAGCCCTGCCTGAGGCCCCAAGGCTGGACACGGCCCGCGCCCCCTCCAGCCCGGGCCTGCAGTGAGGGTGGGGAAGGATATCGGTATTGCAGCTTCTTGATGAGCTCCTCGGGAGTGATGAAGGTCCTGTAGGTGGTCAGGAAGGCCTCACAGTACAGCACCAGATCTGGAGGGAAGGATGTGTGGTTACGAGGTGGCTGCAACATGCCCCGCCCGGTAGACGCAGAGTTTACACCCCACCACTCAAAGGGCCTTAGTCACAGGCGCGGAGAGCCACTCAGTCTCAGCGGCAGCTCTGGAGCCAAGTCAGAGGTAACGCCTTCAGCAGGCTGGGCCCAGGACAAACCCTGGGAACTTCCACACGAGAGCGCCAAGGACAGGTTGAAGGGGCAGAGCTTGGCACGCTGCTGGGATACACAGTGGCATGCTCGGGTGCCAGGCAAGGCCACCGGAGGAGCCGCCTCCTGATTCCCTCAGGGCTGGCGGAGAGGGCGGAGGCCAGGCCGATGGTCGGCTACGGCAGTTTGTGCCCAGAGCCAGGGAGCGGACCCGGACAGAGGCCATCGCAGAGGCACTGCATACCTTTCCTGTCCGTCTCGGTCGCGTGGACCAGCAGGATGTCCCCGGATCCTCCCCGGACGTCGGGCCCATCGTCACCCTGCAAGGACGACAGCGCAGCCGGGAGAAGCCGGTTTCAGAGCCACGGGCAGGGATGGCACAACGACGCTGTGCCAGAGACCGCAGGCCCCTCTCCCTCAGCTCTCCTCAGCCGGGACCGGTGTGGCCATGCTGCGGAGGCCAGGCACGCCCCTCCCCGCCCCACTGGGAAGATAAGCACCCAGTGGAACTCGTCTGGGAGGCGGATGGCCCTGAGGTGCCCAGACATCGCCGGCCTGGGGCACGCTGCTCTGAGACACACCTGGGTCAGGGGGACCCGGCACCATTCGACCTGTCCCTGCTCACCAACCCATGGGTCAGGGAGGCGAGGAGGGCAGTTCTCACTCTGGGGACAGCGAACCCCGGGGGGGCAGACAGGACTGTCCCAGCCTCTCCCAGGATAACTGGGGCAGCGAGCTGCCCTAATTCTGCATCTGCTCCCCGGGGTGGAGTGGGGGGGTGGGGGGTGTACTTGTCATGTCACGGGTCCTTCTGGGGAGCCCTTCATAGGAGAGAGTACAGTGTCATCAAGACATTTATGCCACACCTTGTCCTGTTACTCATCCATCTGCCGGGACCTGGCGCACCCCTGGTAGCCGGGGCCCCGCTGAGCCAGGATGGAAGAGGTGCGGGGAGCCATGGCCCGCGGCCACCTGGAGGGCCAACACCTCACGTGGGCCTACTGTTTGGTACACCTCAAGGTTACAGTCTCCTCAAAACCCCTCAGCCTCATCACTGGCCAGACTCTGCACCAAGGCCTGCGAGGTACCCACCTCTTGCTTGAGCGTCAGCCTCGCCATGATCTCACTGTGGTCGATGAGGGACAGTTCGTCCACTTCCTCCTCTGACTGAGCCGACTCGGGACCATCTGGTGACTTCAGGGCCCTGAGGGACAAGTGGTTTGTGCTGCAAATGCCACAGGCCCTGGAGGTGAAGCCGTGCAGCCCTGGCCATGCCCTGACCAGGGCTACAGGGAGCAGCCAAACCTGCTGCCCGCCGCCCTCAGGAGCCAGGCGACGTGGGACATTTCTGCTGTCTCTGGATGATCCAGCTGCAAACAGAAGGGCTCAGCAAGGGGATGGAGAAGGCTCCACTGGTCTATTTCCCTCTGTGCTGGTCTCAGTTACTCTGTTAAGGCCCACCGCGTGCGGTCAGTGCTTACGGAGAGGAACAGCAAATGGCCAGCGAGAGTTCAAGTGACCTTAGTGCCATTGCCCACGTCATTGCCGAGGGCCATTGCTGAGCGGAAGCGTGAAAGCGAAGACCCGCTCTTGTCCTGGGGCGCAGGGTCTAGCAGAAGACACACGCCTGGCCAGCGTGGCTCAGTAGAGCATTGACCTATGAACCAGGAAGTCATGGTCTGATTCCTGGTCAGGACACATGCCCGAGTTTTGGGCTCAATCCTCATCAGTAGGGGCTCTGCAGGAAGCAGACAATCAATGATTCTCTCCCATCATTGATGTTTCCACCACTCTCTCTCCCTTCCTCTCTGAAATCAATAAAGAATAAAAGGAAGGCCCCAGCCTAGTCTCAAAGGTAGGGAAAGCTCCTGAGGATGGGGCAGACAAGCCGAGACTGAAGAGCCGAGCAGGAGTGGCCCAGCAAAGGGGGAGAGACCCCCCTACCAGGGGAGCAGGTGCGTGGCTGGGAGACATTGGGGGACATGCGCAATGGATCTATAGATGCCTGACTTTCCCCGAGTTTTCTCCCATATTACCAATTTCTACTTAGGATTCTCAAGATGGATACTGTGGGCATTGGCTGCCCTTGTGGTCACAGGCCACATTTAAACCTCAAGTGCCTAAGACAGAAGCCTGTGCCAATACGGATGGGCCAGAGCAAAACTGCGTGGTCTTGGGAGGAACCTGTGTCACGCCTCTCTGTCAAGACCATCTGTGGGGTGGCTTTTATGGAAAGAGGACTTCCCAGCAATGCTCCTAACCAGTAAGTGTGCCCGCCTCTGCTTCCTTCCCAAGGCCATCGGGACTCTGAGAATGCACCTTCAGGCCCCACGAGCTAATGGGACCCACGAGTGGCTGTCACGTGGCACAGGCACACGTTGCCACTAGGTGTTAAGACAGAAAGCCCACCAGCTTACTCAACACCCGGGGACCCTAGCTGGCAGGTGAGTCAGACTGTATGTGGACACGGAACAGTGTCTGAGAGCAGGCTGGGCCCCCAGAGGATGCTTCCTAATAGTTTCCTTTGGTCTCTTGCTATTTTTGCCACCTCTTCAACCATTTATGCCGGGCCTGATAATGACATTGGGTATGGCCTAGCTTTACAGGAATAAACTGTGTTTCATGCATGTACTTGTGACTGTAAGCCTCCTTTTGCCCACCCTGTGCATGGAACACTCCACAGAGGTGCCACCATGAGGCTGCGGGTGCAGGCCCTGCTCAGTACACCCTGTAAGAGCATCCTAGAGAGATCTACCGTCTCAGAACTGGTCAGGCCTGCCTCACGCTAACCCTGCAATGCTATGAGGTGAAAGGGACATACAACCAAAGGCAACGATGACTCCTGACTGATCTTGGTTCCAAAAAAATAAGTCGAACAAGACACTTAGGGAGAATCGGGGTCCTGTAAGGTAGTGTGCTGATATGAGGAAGTGTATTATTTTCTTAGGTGTGACGTGATACTGTCATCAGGTAGGCATTTAAAGTTTTCAGGAGGCATGTGGAGTATTTAGGAGCTGAGAGTCGCTCTGTAACTTACTGTCGAATGGTTTAAAAATACATAATATGCATTGTATTTATAAACAGCAAAAACTTGGGGGATGTTTTTAATTCCCTCACTGCACCTGAACTTGGACCAGATCGAGGATGTTGCCAAGGGCCTTAAAGCCCGCCACAGCAGGCAGTAAGGCGGGTAACGGTGTGCAGGTGACCAGCAAGTAGTGGCCGCCTGCAGGACAGAATGCAGGCCTTCAGGGCGGGTTGCTTGTGGTTTTTCCTGTTTCCCTGCGTTTTCCGTACTTTCATGCTGTCTACCCTGAGCACGCAGAACTGAGAGTCACACAAAATGAAGGAAGCTTTGCTGCCCACCGCAGCACCGTGGCTAAGGACTCAGTTGGGTTTGGGTCGCTGCAGCCCCCTGCCAGTGGCCTCCGGGCCCCGTGATCACTTCCTACCTTTCTCCGTCTCCGCTTTCCTTCCCAGGCGCACTGCCGACCGAGGAGGGATCTCTGGGGTGCCCATCCCTCACAGCTGGCGATTCCTGAAAAGAGAAGTCGGCACTGGGTTTGACAGGTGCCCATGGGGGCTGATCTGCTTCCCAGCATTCCTGCCCACAGGTGGCTTTGGAGTGCAGGTTCCTGGGGGCCCAAGATGTGAGCTGGCCACCCAGGACCCGGCTCATTACACAGACATCACAGCCTCTCCAGAGCATCTTGCCTCTGGCACAGCGCAGGTGCCACTGCTTACAACACATGCCAGCTGCCAACCACGATGAAGCCCTCCCCACCACCTTGTGGAAGAGAGGATGGCCCAGCCGATCACTCAGCAAAGCTCAGCCAGGCACTGCCACACCGAGGTCCTGTCCCTCAGCTGGCGCCATCCTGCCCATCCTCACACACGGTGGATGGGACAAAGGAAGGGCCCTGCCTGAGACCTCGCAGCCAGAAGGCTCTGCCTCCCACACCCGAGTCGTAGCTCTGTGCCGTGGAGGGCAGCAAAGCTTCGCTGGCCTGGCTAAAGACCGCGCTCAGGATCGAGTGCTTGATGGACTCCAGGGCTGGCCCAAAGGGACTAGCTGCTCCCGTGTACGAGTGAGTGCAAGCCCGCCCCCAGCAGCCTCATTGCTTCCTGGGAACCCGCCTATTCCACTCAGTGACAACACGGCACTCACAACCCCGATCTGCCACCCAGGCCAGCACAGAACGGCAGCAGGAACCTGTGGGACATTGTCATGGAGGGCGCCCAGCGCAGTGGCCGGCATAGAACATGCACCAGATGGAGGGGCAGGCTCTGGAGGGCCAGCCCAGGACAACGCCAGGGGCGGGGGCGGGGCACCTGAGGCCACAGGTGTGGTGAGAACTCCAGGGGAGAAACAGCTAAGCTCCCACACACGGGGTCAATTCCCACTGCACTGAAACCCCTCAGTACGCCAGGGACTTGCTAACTCTGAGCAGGGCAGCCTGTGTGGACTTCTGGGACCCTGTGGGGATCCCCTTGGGGAGAGTTACTTTTGAGGCTTTTGAACTTGCTCATGTTTTGCTGCAGCAAAACCTAGAAGCTGACTCCCCGATGGAACTGCTGGGCCTGGCTCGCCTGGAGCGGGGACAGAGTAAAACGTGGCAGTGTTGGGTGGTCCTCGGAGGGAGGCGCCAAAGGCACAGCGGGGCTACCTTCCAGACTCGCTGCTGGGGCGCAGCTGGCCAGGGGTGAATGGGTGCTGGGCAGGTAGAGGGGTGATGGTGTGGAGGGCTCCGTGTGGCAGAGACCCTCCCCATGGTGCCCTCAACACTAGCAGATGGGACAGAAGGAAGTCCCCGGAGCACGCCGTACGTGGCCAGGCCATCTGCACGCTGCCCACAGAGTCCAGAAGAGCCACCGGCCCGGCTCCAGCAGTGCCACATGCACAGCAGCGGAAGCCACGGGAAGACCTACACAGCAGCCACGTCCTTTCCCACGGGGCCTGGCCTGCTAGTGACCGAGAGGCTCAGCCAGCCAGAAGCTGGGCCAGGGCAGCCCGAGGCTACTTACTCCTCGAGAGCGAGCCAGCTCCGTGCTGCTCGGGCCAGAGGAGCACAGACTGACGTATGCAGCCCCACCAGCCTCCGCACTAGCGTTTTCACTCTGGGGAGAAGGACGAGAGGAAAGCACATGTGACGGCCTCCAGCCGGCCTCGGGCCCGGGCAGCCTGCGGGAGCCCCGCTGGACGCTCCTTCCACGGGAGGGCAGAGCGCAAAGCTGCCTGGCCACCTCGTGTGGCGTTCCAGGGCTCACACGCCTCCTGCGGCATCCTGTCCAAAGAGGCCCACCTGCCCACTCCGCCGGGATAATGGAGGGAAAGAGGCAGCTGCGAAGATGCCCTGCCTGTTTGCTCGGCCCTACCTGCCTGCCCGGAGGAAGGTCGCAGCCCGTGGCTGGTGCAGGAGAGTAGGCCCCGCACTCAGCACCGCACACAACCAGAGGCACGTCCGTGACCTCTGCGCCTCCCTCTCGCCGCCAAACAACGCGAGCCATGTCCTCTGCCTTGTGCTCACCGTCACGGACGCCACTCAGGGCGCAGGCCCAGTGCGGGGCTCGGGCCCGCGGTCGGGACCTCTGGGAGCGGCTGCCCGCCTGGGACCCGCACTAGCCGGGCTGCCCACACTGACCGCTAACGGCGACACGGCTTTCTCACACACGCAGCCCCACGGGTGTGCGGTTCTCACCGAAGGCGTCTGGGGCGAGTCAGGGAGAGAGGCTGCGGGAGGAAGGCAGACAGTGCTCCCATGAAAGGTGCTCTCCTGAGAAGATGGAAGAGGAAGAGGCCCGTCCGCGGTGCTGGGAGGCAGGCTGGCCGCGGGGGGCCGCGCCAAGTCCGAGCTCTGAGACTGGTGGACAGGTGGGAAGTGCGGAGAGGAAGAGGAGGTAGGCGGGAGGAAAGGGTGTGCGGAAGCTTGGTTGTGAGGCACGAAATCCTGGGAGTAGGACCTAAACACAGATTTATACTAGAGAATCCAAGCGAGAACACACACAAACAAGGAGAAGGAGAGAAGAAAACAGACAAGAGAGAGAGAGATTAGATTACTCAGCGGAACTCTGACAGGCTGGTCACAGTAATTCTGAGGAGGCCCCAGACCAGGCCCAGCCTGCCCCGGGTCCTCTGGCCTAGACCCGCTCCCTCCCTTCCCACCCTCCACCCTCAGTGAGGCCTGGAGACTGGCCAGCGCTGTCCTCAGGTCTCCACGGCAGGACGCCCCAAGGACAGCAGGCCTGCTCTGTAAGGGCGGTCAGGACCTCTGCTGTCACACTCCCAACCTATGCCTTCTGTTCTTCAGGGACCTGGTGGCTAAGTTCCACACGCAGTCAGACACCGGGTCATACTGACTCATTTTGAACCTTTAGGATAAGTAAACCTCTTTAGATTTATCCCTTGAAAGCCAAACACTACCGCACCCCAGCCCAGCCCAGAGGCTCTCGCGCTGATGGCTGTGGAGCCTGAGTGGCCACAGCGCCCACAAGAAGTTCCGGAGAGCCCTGGCCGGGTAGTGCAGTGGGCTAGAGCACATGTGTCAAACACAAGGCCCGCGGGCCAAATCCGTCCCGCCAGGCCTTGCAATGTGGCCCGCACCGCGCTGTCATCACTGCACTCCGCTGCGTTTCCATCACAATGACAGTTTATGACTGTTCAGTAAACCATTCGGCCCGCAATTTAGGCTGGATTTTAGATTTTGGCCCCTTCTCTGATTGAGTTCGACACCCCTAGGCTAGAGGGTCATCCTGATACACCAAGGTTGTGGGTTTGATCCCTGATCAGGGCACAAATAAGAATCAACCATGAATGCATAAATAAGTGGGCCAACAAACTGACTGATCTCTCTAAAACCAAAGGAAAAAAAAAAAAAGAAAAAGAAAAAAGGCTTCAGAGAGAGGCTGGCCTTCTGCCACATGAGAACACAATGAAAAGTCTGGGGCCTGGGGGGGCTCCTCACCGACCATCCTGGCACCTCATCTTGGGCTTTTGGCTCCCAAACTGTGAGAAACACGTTCCTGTTGCTGATAAGCCACCCAGGCTGTGGTGTTTTGTTAACAAACAGCAGCCGGAACGGACCGAGACAAAAAGGCCAGCTCTTGCTGGAGTCCCACACTGTCCTCCCTGACCCCGCCCCGCAAGCTCACTGAGCGATGAGCACCGAGCAGGCCCTGCCACACGAACACGACAGTGTCCGTGTGATCACAATGCATCACGCTTCCTAACTGGTCACGTGGCCTATTATTACACAGGTCTCATGTGACAAGCTCAGGGGGCGGCTCCCACACCGCTGGGGCCTTCTCCGGGAGCAGGGACCGGCCAGTGGCTCTGAGGGCATTTTCAAGCCACACGGACCGGATGAGACAATGGCACTTGTGCCACAGGCTCGCGTGGATTTAGCAGTGACGGCCTGTGAGTGCCGAGCACAGCCTGGCTGTGACAAGCACCTGACCCACGCCACTGTCCTCCTCTGCCCTCCCAATGCCAACCTGCACGCAGCAGAGCTGAGGCATTTAGCAGGGCTCAGGCAGATGTCCTGGATGAAGGAACACTTGGGGATGCTTCTCATGGTATCACGGGAGTTGCCTGGATCGTTGCCTGACTCAGCAGCGCCTCCATTTCGGGTGGAGAGTAGCAGCCAAGCATCAGGCGCTGCCCAGGTGCAGGCCCACAGAGGAAGCTGGGGAAGGAGGTTCCAGCCGCACAGGGCGGGCCCTGAGGGGAGGGGGACAGCCACCAAGAAGGGAGGAAGTACGGCTTCTCCAGGCCTAAGCGCCCGCCCTCCTGCCCCGAGGCTCCTGAGCAGCTCTGGCATTCACGCTATGCGGTCCTGTTAGGACAGGAGCCAAGCTGGAGGAGTACCTTGTGGGGCGGGGAGATGCAAGGGGCTGCTCTCTCATTGCCAGAAAGCTCGGGCCTCTCGGGGCTCTGCAGGCATGAGGGCCACGCTGGGGCTCACCGTACCATTTCCAACAAGTCTGGCCCCTCCGGCCTCCCGGAGCACTTCCAGGCCCCGCACGATCCTATTTAGTCACGTGCTCAGGGAGAGAGGCGGAGCCGGCCGCTGGACAAAACCGCTTCAGCAGAGCCCCAGGTTTATTTTAGGGTCTGGCTGGTGCCCGGCCTTGCCGCCTCTCCGCAGCAGTTTTATTTATAGCCGTGAAGACTGGCGGGCTGAGGCTCTATAACAAAAGGTGGCTGCCTGTCTAGACCGGAGGTCTCTGCAGAGCCAGGAGCGCCAGAGCCAGTTCTTGGATGGGTGCCCGAGGTTCTGCATGAACCATCTCACCTACACTCCCTCGGGGGTGCTTCTGGTCCTGACGACTAAGAGGAAGCAGGAGGCAGCGGGAAGGCTCTCTCTCAGTGAGTGTCCTGAGAACACGACAGTCCACGACTGCCAGCCAATCTGTAGGACCTGCCTCCTAGCCACGCGAGTTCTCCTGGCTGAGTGATGACCAGCGTGCAAAGGCAGTGAGCCTGGGTGGACAGACTGCGGAGCCAGGAAGCAGAGGTCTGCCCTCAGGAGACCCCGGAGCCATACCCACTCTGGAGAACACACACACCTGGAGGGACCACCCAGTGCTCCGAGCGGGAGGTATGACCACCTTGAATGTTAGCATGTGGTCACTCACATCCTAAAAAGCCGTCACCAAAGCTGGCCGGGCACCAGTTTTCCCGGACACTTTCTTTCCATTCAATTCCTGGCATGAAAAACGACGAGGGATGCGCCCTGTGTTGTGCTGGCAAGAAAGCAGATCTTTGAATGGAAAACCCTGATCCCTCAACATGCCAACCCACTGAGTCCCTCTGAATAGAAGGAAGATGGGGCGTCTGAGAAGGCCAGGGGGTGCCAGCAGCCATGGGCCGGAGCCACAGACCAAAGGGCCTGGCTCGGAACGGCAGCTCCACAATGACTGAGTGCCAAGCTTTAGCGAACCTTCAACCCCACCAATTACAGGAAATGCGGCTGGACTTCCTGTCGTGAAGTGTTCGCGGAGATGGCTCATCGCTGCATGCTCCTGGCTCAGCAAGGCTTATGTGTCAGTGTTTGGAGGCTACTTAGCAAAACAGACAAGCTGCTGAAGCTGGCTTTGGGCTTCCATTCTTACCCGCCAGTTGTGAGCAACACACAGTGTGGTCTGGGCTTTCTCCCCGGGACAGCTCAGCACCGGCCGCTGGCTCTGAGCACGCCTCCTTCAGACAGGGACCCCGAGTGTCCACACAGTGGGACCCAAGTTATTTTCCTCGGAAGGAAGTCCCCTTGCGGCCGTAGCACAAGCCCTCCCTGGTCTCCGGGAGGAGACGCCTGCAGAGGCGCGTGGGCCTGGTTCTGAGATGGGACATGACTGCTCCCGTCTAGGTCCCCAGGAAGGACCCTTGGTGACACTGCTTGTCACTCCAGGGGGGTGGCTGCAAGGAGTGCTGGCTTTGTCTCCTCTCTCCTTCCTGGTGCTGATTAACTCCATGTCTGCAAAAGCCATCCCCTGGGTCTGCCCTAGGCCCCGGGGACTGTCCTAGGTGCCCCCGTGTTCATTTGTGACAACTTCACTTTCCATAAGGGAAGATGCTGAGGCCGAAGCACCTGCTGATACCCGCTGCCTGGTCAAGGAGGCCCCGGCCGGCCCCGCGGCCTTCATCTGACAGAGAAAGGCAGCATCAGAAGCATGGTGGGGTTAGAACGTATCTTCTCTATCTTTAAATAAACTTCTTGGAGTCTATTTTTTAAAACCACTGGAAAATTCTAATGTGGATTTTATGATAAAGGATGTAAGAGGACAAAACTCTTTTGCACGAAGAGTAGAGACCTAGTACTTTTCTTCTCATCTGACATAGTTTTGCAACCTGAATCACAAGATCTTCCTTGAAAACGTTACATCTTGGCCAGTGGTTTCACGGCTAATTGTATTTGTGCAAAAACCTCCAACACACTGGAGGGCGCTCTGCAGTCACTGAAGACTGACCTCAACAGCAGCACTCCTTACAGAGGGCTTACTGCCGTTCGAAAGGACTTGCATTCATTTCTAGAAATCTGACTGAACTCGCTCCCTGGGCTTGGATTTGAACGCAGGGGCCCTGACTTCCACTCACTCCGGAGCTCCGTTCAGAGCCGGAGGCACACGCACGCACGCGAAGGCCCCTTCTTCCCTTTGATTTGAGGCTGTTTGGTAGAGCGGGGACAGCGGGCACGGAAAGGCTCAGGACAGAAGCATCAGGAGGGCCCAGACGGGCTGCTCTGGCTCACTGAGCAGAGAGAAGATGGCCCTGGAGACAGGTTGGCTCTGGCTGAGCTGCCGCTGCCCGTTCCTCTCCCGGCTGCAAGTCTCTGGAGGCCCCTCCGAGTTCAGGAGATGCATGCGGAGAGGGAAGGAAGGTGTGGGCGTGCCCAGGAGGGAGAGCACCAAGGCGTTTTGATGGCAACCCATGCGTGGACTTTTCTCCTCACCTAGCCCTCTTAGGTCTCAATGTTGATTGCAAATCAGCACTGCATCAATGCCAACGTAACACTACTTCTCCTGGCGGAGATCTGGAGGCTAACCTTAGCTCTCACTTAAGGCTCTGAGCAAACGGCTCGGCTTCTCCATCCCAGCGTCCGCACCTCTGCAACGTGGGCAAGTGTTCCATCCCGAGTGGCAGGAAGGGCCTGACAGGTCGACACCAGAGAACATGCGAGTCGAGGCAAGTGTGTGTGGACAGAACCCTTAGGGCTCATGTCCCACATCACCTCTGAGGACCAGGGCGGCCCCTGGCCAAACTGTCATGGCGTCAGGAGCCACCGGCAGCACTCCTGTGGCCGAAGCTGGCCCGAGAGCACTGAGCCCCAAAGGGCCTGAGCATTAACGAAAGAGGCGGGAGTCTAACCACTTTGCCCCCGGGCTCAGGTGGTCCCTGAGGGTCTCGGAAACCCAGGAGGGGTGCTGGTCTGCATGCACCTCCTTCCCCAAGGCCATGTCGAGGCTTCCTGTGGGATGGAGCTCAGACTTCACATGTCAGAGGCACTGCTGGCCACACAAGCAGGGCATTTGGCAGGAAGGGTGCTAAGGCCCCGGGCGAATACCCCAAGGAGCCCAGCAGACAGGAAGTACTTGTAAAACTCTCAGGACAGCTGGCAGCCAAAGCCGCTGGGGTCAGCAGAGGGAAAATGAGGAAGAGGTATGTTTCTTGGGCACAGCCTGGGACCAGCGCATCTGATTCATGGGAACAGAGGCCGTCCTGTGACGAGTCAGCAGTGGCTTGTTCCGATGAGATGCTGGGAAGCAGGGTGATGGGCCCAGGGGAGACCTGCAGGCCTCCTTGGTCAGGGCTCATACTTGTGGGTGAAGCAAGTCCTCTGGGTTGGGTCAGCATCACGGAGCACCTGCCACTTGCCCTGAGCGATGTACTACGCTTGCAAGCATGTAACAAGTCCAGGCCCTGCCGAAACCGGTTTGGCTCAGTGGACAGAGCATCAGCCTGCGGACTGAAAGGTCCCGGGTTCCATTCCGGTCAAGGGCATACACCTTGGTTGAGGGTACATCCCCAGTGGGGGTGTGCAAGAGGCAGCTGATCGATGTTTCTCTCTCATCGATGTTTCTAACTCTCTATCCCTCTCCCTTCCTCTCTGTAAAAAATCAATAAAATATATTTTTAAAAAAGTCCAGGCCCTAACCTTGAGGAAAAGCAGCTGGGACTACAACCAAAAGGAAGCAGCCACCTCTCAATGTGGTAACAAACAGCTATAACACCTCTCTACCATTTGGCAGTGCGTCTTGTGCACGTGCTTTCCCTTTAACCCTACAAGGATGACAGCGCTGTCCTGCAGCCTCTGGACCCTGCCTGCTGCCCGGCCCATGCCAGGAGACGCCCTGTGCTCGCGGTCCCAGGAAGAGGGAACAGCAATGCGTTTCCAGCGCCCACCTCCCTCCATTTAAATCAGTCGATGCACGTTTACGGTCTACAAGTTCCCTTGGCAAAGTGGTTTCGATGGTTAGAATCTTCTGGTAGAAGTGGCAGTTCCCTGGGCCAAGGACAGTGTGAGCTGCCTTCAGATCTGACCATGCTGTGTTCCAATGGCACCCTTTGGAATGCCAGGCTGGACTGATAGCCAAGGGATGAAGAAATTCGGGAATAAAGGGCTGCTCTTAGAGAGGGCACATGAAGATTCCAAACATTCAGGCCGCTACCCACAGCTCTCGGTGGGGGGCGGGGCAGGTTGGCCTTTCTTCTAGGAAACCAACTCCTTCGTTAACTCATTCCCATGGGCTCCGCGGTGGAGCTGGGGCCAAGCATCTTTCTGATGCTGGTGCCTCAGCCTCCCTCAGACCCACACTTAGTTAAAGCACCCCTCTATTTCCTTCTCTGCTCCAGCAACAGTCCAGTGCATTGTCAGCCCTGTGACCCCGAACTGCTTAAAAGGGATATTGTAGATACTCTTAGGATAATTCACACTTACTTTCTGTTCATAGAGGGAAATACAGTCAAGAGCTGGGATTGTCTGAGGGCCAAGTTTTGCACGATCTGTGAAAGGAGCCTGCCAGAGCGCCTCTGCGGAAACAGAGGGCGTCTGTGCGCAGCCGGGCCGGGGGTGGGGTGGGGTGGGGGGTTCCCTCTCCATGACAAGTGCAGGGACGGGAGGGCTCTGCAAGCTAGGCCCAGCACCCAGAGGAAGAATGCGCCCAAGGTCCTCACAACAGGCACTGGATGGTGCCCAGCAAGGCAGCCTGGGAACCACCACCCTGGGCCCCGAGCTTGGCCAGGTCTCTGAGAGGCCTGGGCGGCCGCGTTTAGAGGGAGGGCGTCCCAGCAGGTTCAGGCATCAGCCCGCGCTCTAAGCACACAAGCAGCGGAAGCTCTTCTGAAACTCACTGTGTGCCTGGGGTTTCCTACGACTGCACTTAGTCCTCACGCAGGGAGGGGACTGAGGCTGGAGGATGAACAAAGAACGCAGGGACCAGCTGACTGCAGGGACCCGAACGTGGCTCCTTCCCTAAGTCTGTCCTGTCCCCCAGCCCCCGCCCCCCATTTCACAGACACAGATCAAAGGGGAACGGCGGCTGTTCGGACAGATGCAGATTCCAGTGAAAGACACACTATGCTTCCTAAGGCACTGGTGTCCCGAAGTTTCAGAAAGATTCTATTTTAAAAAATGGCTGCAAATATCCCCTCTACCAGCAACTGCCACCACGAGGCGCATCCACTTCCCTATTCCGGGAATCGGCTGGCCTTGTGGCTGAACCCAGAGAAGGCAGTGGAAGTGGCGGAGGGCCAGCTGAGCCAGGCCTTAAGATACCTTCCACACTTCCGTTTGTTCCCGGGAACCCTGCCAGCTGCCTGAACAAGCCTGGGCTGGCCTGACGAAGGCGGGCGGATGGTGTGGATGGCTGTCAGCCCAGCTGTCCCAGCTGAGGCTCCAGGGATGCGAGCAAGTCCAGCCAAAGTCAGCCCGGGCAGGTCAGCACCATCGCCCACCAACCTGTGTCCTAAGCTATGGGAAATGGTCACTGCTGTTTGAAGTCACTGCGTTTTGGGGGAGTTTGTTACACAGCAAAAGCTGACACAGCCCTCCAACTCCAACTTTCTCATGCCCTGGCAGAGCCTGCTCTCCTGGGCTTTGCTTCCTTTGTGAGGAATATTCCCGTTTAGCCACAGGACACATATCGGGCTGGCCAAGGGGAAGTCTGAACAAAAAGGCCGCAACGTCCCTGCAGGTGATGCCTGAGTGATACGGCTGTACATGCGGCCGCCACCATCCCAACACCTGCGCTCCCTCCCATTCACAGTCCTCCAGCACAGAGACCCATCCCCGGTACCCTACCCCATCCGTGCAGGGATCTGCAGAAGGCAAAGTCAGCGCTGAGCAGCGGCACACACATCGGAGGGCACAGGCTACACACGGAAGATGACATCCACCAGGTGCCGAGCAGAGAGCGGAGGGAGCACTCACCGAGGGCACGGGCAAGTTGCCATGCCGGCTGAGAAAGGAGTTAGAGACGGACACACTGATGCCCTGAGTGGCACTGCTGTCGTCGGGGGTGAAGGCCACTTTAGTTTGCTGGACACAGTAGGAGACAGAGGAGAAGGAAGAAGCAGCATAAGAGGCCTGCTGGATAGAGGGACGAGAGAGAAGATGGGAAGGAGGGAGAGAAGCAGAGAACAGTCAGGCATGTATGCACAAAGGCCACGGAGGCTGCCACCCAACTGCGCTCGGGCATTCTGGAGAGGGATGGCTTCTTGGCTCAGTTTGGAGATCAGAGACAGCTTCCAAGGCTCCTGGCCCCCTTTCACTTCCTTACGATAGATTGAAAGCTGGCTTTCACACAACTGTGTCCACTGGGAGTGGTGGCGAGGGGGCAGAGAGGCCTAGTGGTTTGAGTCCCACTTTGCCACTTACTCAGGGCCCCAGCCCTCCTCGGTGGTGTAGACCGTGGTCTTAGTCGCACTTCAGCGGAGTGCAGATCAAGAGCTAGGCTGCCTGGGTTTGACTCTGGGCCCTGCCATTTAAGTCAGACTGGGGGCATTACCTAACGCTCTCTGGCCTCAGGCTTTCGCTCTGGAAAGACAGGGATAACCCTGCAGGGCTGTGTCCATGTGAAGCACTTAGAACCGTGCCTTCCACAGCGTACGGTGCCAACAGGCCTGGATACTTAAAACTCCCATCTTTGTTGGTAAAGCGGGTAACACTTCCCGAGACTGCATTTGGGAGGGTGTGCCAAGCAGCCTGCAGAGGGCGCCACACAGCATGCCTGGGAGCTGTCCCCAACTCTTCTGGACAGCATGGCTGGGCAGGATGCTTGGGTTCTAGACCTGACCAGAGCCCGCTTGGCTAGTAAACTGGCAGCTAAGAGAAGAAGGTCAGAGGCACACCCATGTCTCTCCTGCCTGGCCCAGAGCCTGCCCGCACTGCCTGCCCGTGCAGAGCTGAGTCCGTGGCTGCGTGCAGCCTTACACAGGCGCCTTTAGAGGAGGAAAGTGCCAGGCCCGGCAGCGAGGCTCTGTTTACAGCCATCCTGTTCCAATGGGGAGAGAAAGTGGCTGTCTATTGGCCCATTATGTAAATCAGGCCGCAGATGGCCCTACACAGACCGGGCCCTGTGCTCAGAATCCCTCTCTCCTGGGAGTCTATGTTGGAGCCACAGAAGAGAGAAAAAAATGCAAGAGAGTCAGCAGAGAGAGCAAACACTCTGAGTAAAGCCAGTCCCAGCTGCACGGCTACTCAGAGAAGAGGGGATCCCCCACCCCCAGGTGGGGAGCAGCAGAGCAGGAGACAGGCTGCCCGGGAACTGCCGAGGGGAAGTGAGCCCCACGTGGGAGATGGTGGGTTCCACACCGGCCCAGGCCCTTGCTCCGAGGAGGAGGAGGAGAAAGAGGAGGAGGAGCTTCTGGTTCTTGGAGGCCTGTGGCCCTGGCAGCAGGGAGGGCACCTGGGAGGGGCCGCTTACCAGCTGCCGCTGCTTGGGCGGGAGGGCGGGGGGCGGCGCCAGGTCTGGCGGGTCGGTGCTGTCGTTGAAGCCGTACACCTCCATGAGCAGCTTGTTCTTCTGCTGGTACACGTGCTCGTTCTGCGGCGTCTGGTAGAACACGGACGGCTGCGGCTCCGAGTAGTCCTCGAGCAGCTGCATGTAGGCCAGCACTGCGGACAGAGATGGCACCCTGGCTCTGGCACCGGGGGCGAGCTACAGGGGGCGCCCTCCCCAGCAGCAGGCAGTGAGACTGCTCTGTGTGACCTGGGGGCACACGCGTGCAAATGCAGCGAATGGACTCCAGGAGGGAGCCCCAGCTGCGGGCTCTGGGCACAAAGACACGTCAGTCAGGCTCACTGAGTCACCAACGGGGTGTTCTGGTGGAGAAGGTGACAGCGGACAGGCCAGGTGGGGGGCAGGGATATACAGGATCTCTACTTTCTGCTCAGCGCCGCCGTGAGCATCGAACTCTCTAAAAAACAAAGCGTTTTCACCGAGCACCTGGGGCACTGGCCCCTGGGGCAGAGCCCTCGGGGTTTCCAGGCACTCGAGGGGCAGGGGCTGGGGAGCTCCGGGGCAGCACAGCTGGCCCCCTCAGCCCAGCTCCCGGGAACACCCGCAGGGAGTCTGCACCTCTGATCCGGGCGCTTCCCCGCCCTCCTCTGCGCCCAGCTACCTGCCGCTTTCCCAGCCGCTCACACAGCCGCCCCCGCCCCTCACTCCTTTCCTTCTCAGCGCTCCTCACAGGGTCAGGGCTACCCGGGGGCTTTATCATTCACCAGGTTTTACTGAACACCTACTACTGTCAGGCACTGCGGAGGCTGGCAAAACAAATCTTCTGCCATGGGCTCACCCCTCCAGAGACAGCACCCAGACCGTGGAGAACTAGCAGTGGGTGGCAAGGGGCTGCCTGTCTAGAATATGGATGAGCTCCGTGAGATGGCGAGGAGCCTGCCACACAGAGGGCACAGGCCAGGCCAGGGCCGGGGGGGCACGGGGGCCAGGAGGGGTGGGGCTGTGTGAGTGGGCGGGACCCACGGAGGGCCCGGGGGCTGCCGCTGCTGTCGTGTGCAGACCACCAGGCTGCTGAGGTTCTTCAGTGGCAGGTCCCCGTGGGGGTGAGGTGTGAGAGGTCTGGTTCATGGCGCATTTTCAAAGCAGATGCCACAGGATTGCTGCCTCTCACTCCAGCCAGAGCGGCCATATCACAGTGGCTGACACACAGTAGGTGCCTGCGGCATTTGTAGGATGAAGGAATGAATGGAACACGTGTCCCTCAGCACTGCCAGGCTGAGCCGCTGGGGTGGGACTTGTAATGCGCCCACTGGGCGTGCAAGAAACACAGCAACGCCACCCTTCTCCCCCCTTCCAGCTGAGAGGCTAGAGCCAATCCCTGGGGGGAGGAGTGGAGAGAGGGGTTCCGATTCAAATGCATGCACCCTCCCCCCAACAATCCTCTGGGAAACCCCAGCCCTTGCCACCACCACCATCCGACACCACGCTGCTACCCCTTGGTGAGCAGCCTGCACTCAGGGGCAGGCTCTCTCGCTGGCACAGGTGACAGCACGCGCAGAGACCCCCAAGCAGACAACAGCAGGTCGCACCGAGCAGGAGAGATGTCAGAGAACAAAGAGCTCAGCTGTCACGTCTGTGACCTCATCCTCGGAGGCACCGTCTCTGGAGGCAGGGGCGGAGCCCTGGGTCTCACTCGGGTACCGTGTACATGTGCTCCTGACTCTCGGTGTTCGTGATCTGAGCCCCACCTGCAGAGCCAGGCTGTTCTGAAGACTCCAGAGCATTCTGGGAGAAGCGGCAGTTTGGAACGGACGTGCGCAGAAGCGGTGGAGCGGAAGCCCTCTCTCCCATCCCCTTCCACCTCTGTGACCTGATCCTGCAGTTGACATTCCCACAAAGTCTGGGTCACGCAGCCTGAGCTCCTCCAGCGCCTTTCCCCCGCCCAGGCGGCTGGGAGCGCCGGTGTCAGGATATGCTCTGCACACGTGCGTGCCAGTGTCTGCAGGGAAGGCACTTGCCCGGGACGCGCTAATAAATCCACCCACGGAGCTGGCTGCACACACGCTAAGGGAGTTAGTGTCAGTGAGAGCTGGAAAGAAAAGGAACCGATGCCCTTGTGTGGCAGGCGAAGGGGTGGCAAAGAGTCACCACCCTGAGCGGGTGCCTCCCCTTGGGTCCCGGCACAAGTGCCACAAGCACCTGCCAGGCGGAGCCGAGACCCAGAGACCAGGGGAGTGGCAAGGGCGATTCTGTAGAGCTTAATTTTGTCTTTTCAAACGACGACGCAGGTGGGGGCTTAACTGGAGCCCCAAACCAGCCAGCAAACCTGATCCAGGCAGAGCTGAAGAAAGCGGCACAAAGGCAGCGAGATGGCCTTGCTCTCCTCTGCATCCTCTGGGGTCAAGGCAGATGGGAACTGCTCTCTAGCCACTGGGGGAGGGGTTCAAAGTCACCTTCCTTATTTAAAAGGACCAATAAGAACGCCTGAGCTCCGACAAGCACCGTGTGGCACTTGGCTATCAGAGGTGGGCAGGCACAGGCGCCTCCTCCCCCGAAAGACTGGCTGCCGCTGGTGCACAACCGACTCCTCTGGGGTCTGCGAAGGTGGTCTCGCCCACTTGTTCCCCAAGAGGACTGACTACCACCTGCCACAAGAGAAACCTGGATGAGACGCGCAGTGATGCCTACCACCTGCCAGCTCCTTCCAAAGGCAGCCTGGCATTAGGACTCCCGCTTCCCTGGGCGGGCAGGCTGGCACTCCAGCGGCACCGGGACCATGGGCAGACAGGAAGCTTGTCTGGCACAAGGGCCCTGTGGGGCTGCCCTCACCAAGAGGGGCTGGGCCCCCTGGGACATCACAGCACCTGAAGGACGAGGCTGCTGTGTGGCGCGGGACTGCGCGTGGCTGAGCTCCCTGCAGCGCAAACCTAAGCACGCTTACTCCCTCCTCCTTCACGATGTGACGAGGTGCAGCTGAGCTGCAGAGGCCCCTTGGGAAGTGAAGGACCAAGCTTTCGAGAGCCACAAGGCTGGGGTCCTTTCACAGGACACAGAACAGATGACCTGCTGCATAGGGTCTCCGCCTGAACGGGGTCTCGGAGGAGAGACCCCTGCAGGTCAGATGGGAGCAGGCACCGCGCTGGGAACAGGCCTGCTCTGCAGCCCAGATCTCGGGCCAGGATCAGGTGCTTTGAGCTCCGGGTTCTTCATCTACAAAACGGAAGCTCGTGCCACCCCTCCGGCCAGGTCGCAGCAAGAAGTGGTATGCAGGCGAGTGGAGCTTTAGCCCAGGCCCCGCAAGCTCTCGGCAGGTTTGAACAGGCACAAGCGCTAGAGACGTTGATGGATAAAATGAAGCCTAAGTTAATGGCAGACATTCTGGACAACTGCTTGTTCTGCGCAAACAGTGGCTACCTCTCCCTTCCCTTCCCTTCTCGCCACCCCCCAGCACGGCCACCTGCGCCTGTCCTGAGGCTGGCAGGGCGGTCCTGGCTCCTCGGCCAGGCAGCACCACTCATGCAGTTTGCACAGATGCAATCCTGGCCTGAGTTCTGGGTTCAAAGGATTCCAGAAAAGGAAAGGGTGTGGGTCCCAATCGGCATGCTGCTTAGGACAAGGGAAGGTGGGGGAGGGGAGGGCCAACAGTTCTGAAACTCTCTGCGGAGGGAGGAGGGAGGTGAAGGTCGTGTTCCTGGTATTGCCATTTGCAGCTTCCTCCCAAGTGCCCTGGTTCCTAATGAGCCCACGTACACGACAGATGGGAGTGACATCACTATGCTTACAGAGCCAGCTCTCCCCTCCAGCCGGGGGGAGGGGGGGAAGGGGGGAGGGGGAGGGGGCACACCACTCAGGCTATTACACGAGCTGGCGACACCCAGTGAGGAGCCGGGGAACGCGTGCCATCCTCAGAGGCCCCTCCTTCCCGTGGCCCAGGTGAATCCTGCTGCGGCTAACCTGGCCAGATGTCCTCTCGTGTGAGAGCCTGGGAACCTGGAATGCAGAAGCTGTCTGCGGGATGTGGCACCTGAGGCCAGGGAGCCCTGTGGGGCTGACGTGGCCACACGCACATCTCAAGGGTGACAGTAGGCTGCCAGGAAAAACAGCAGAGCTGTGCCGGCGAAGTGGGAAGGGATCAGGAGGCAGACGAGCACGTGGAGCAGTGGGGAGCTGGCAGAACAGACAATGTGCAGTGGAACACTACTTAGGAGTATGATGGCAAACACACAGTTGAAATGTTCAAAATATGACCAAAACTTTAGCTCCACCCCTGGGCCCCAATGACATCATTTATAATAATAAAAGTGTAATATGCTAATTAGACCAGATGACCTTTCAGACGAAGCGGGGTGGGGGGGAGGAGGCACAGGCAGCTGCTGCGGGGCCGAGCCCCTTGCATGAATTTTGTGCATCGAGCCTCTAGTATATTATAACAAATGGTCATTCAGGGACCCTGAGAGTGCCTCTGGGGCTACAGAAACTCTCCTGGAATTCACGTGCCTCCGGCTTTACCACCATCTTGCTGCAATGGTGCCCTGAATGCCACAACACTCGTTTCTCTTTCTCACCACGTATTCAGGCCAGGAGATCAACTGACTCCCATCTACCAGAGGCTAAATTCCTGGAGGCCAGGCCTGAGCTTTTACAGCAGCCGTAATGAGGTCAGCTTCCCAGGCTTGACAATCAATCACCAGCACTGGACTGACATGACCAGGAGTGCCCACGTACCTGTGTTCTCCCTCTCATGAACTGAGGAGCCCAGGCGTGGTTCTGGTCTGATTACATAAAACATACCGCCTATTCAGGTTACAAACGTGCCTCCCGGCAGCCCAGCAAGGCTTACTGTGTTTGTTCTTCTTCTCCGGCAGGGGTGGCGGCTTCTCCGGGTCACCCGCGGACTCGGGCGCAGTGAAGTCACTCACAAATTCCACGGAGGCCGAGGACCCTCCTTGCTGGAAGGGGAGAATAGCAGCAAAGGGCGTGAAGGAGGCGGGCTGCACCAGGGCGGGGTTCTGCAGGTCGTCCTCAGAGATGTTGTCGTATTGGGAGGGGTGCCGCTCGTAGGACACGCGGGAGCCCGAGCTGTCCGAGGTCTGGGAGGCCGCGCTCCTGCGCTTCTTCTCGGGGAGGGCCGGCGGCATGTCCGTCTGCGGCCCTGGGGCTGAGGGCCCGTCAGGCTGGGAGCAGCTGCCGAGAGGCAACTGGAAAGGATGGCCGAGAAACGGGGACCCAGACTCTCCCAAGGACTCCGGCAATGGGCTAAGGTTACAGGCCACTTGCTGAGGTATCTGGTCTGCGTTGGAGAGGTCTTGCTGAAGGAACTCGTAGTCAGGATCATAGTGATCTGCATTCACAACAGGAGAGACACGCCTGTCAGCCACCAGACCCCTGTTGTCGCCCAATCCTGCTCAGTACAGCGGGACAAAAAAACGTCTCCCATCTCATCTAGACAGACCCGTGCTTTTTAAAAAAATATTTTTTTAATTGATTTTCCACAGAGATAAAGGGAGAGGGATAGAGAGTCAGAAACATTGATGAGAGAGAAACATCAATCGGCTGCCTCTTGCACACCCCCTACTGGGGATGTGCCTGCAACCAATGTACATGCTCTTGGCCAGAATCGAACCTGGGATCCTTCAGTCTGCAGGCTGACACTCTATCCACTGAGCCAAACTGGTTAGGGCCCGTGCTTTCTTTCTTTCTTTTTTTTTTTTTTTAAATATATTTTATTGATTTTTTTACAGAGAAGAAGAGAGAGGGATAGAGAGTTAGAAACACTGATGAGAGAGAATCATCAATCAGCTGCCTCTTGCACCACCCCTACTGGGGATGTGCCCACAACCAAGGTACATGCCCTTGACCGGAATCGAACCCAGGACCTTTCAGTCCGCAGGTCAACGCTCTATCCACTGAGCCAAACCGGTCTCGGCCCATGCTTTCTTTCATATTCTCCATTCTTCTCACTGCTTGTAACAACAAAAACAGATGGGAATATGACTATTGTCCTTTATTTTTTCCTGTATTTTTTGAATCTGAGTTAAAAAGAAAATGCTCTGTGTCTGGATGGCTCTGTTGGTTGAGCAACTGTCCCATGAACTGAAAGGTCACCGGTTCGATTCCTGGTCAGGGCACATACCTAGGTTTTAGGTTTGATCCCTGGTTGGGGTGCATAGGAGAGGCAACTTGATTGATGTTTCTCTCTCTCTCACCCTAAAGTAAAAAAATATACCCTTGGGTGAAGATTTGAAAATGAAAAGAAAATGCATGGTCACTACAGAAAATGTGGCAAATGTAAAAATCCACCCCGAGTCCCGCAATCTACCTGTAATCTGCTTACAGTTTGATGTATTTCCTCAGAAGTCCCCTGCCCCCCAAATTCTTTTTTTTCTCTCTGAACTATGTAAGTGGTCTAGGATTATGTCTGCTGATAAATAGATCACAATTGACTTCTAACAGTTATATATCAGAACACCAAATCGCTTTATCATCATTTGCCCAATTTCCTAACCCTTTTTATGAAAAAGTCAGATATTTCCAGCAGTCACTGGTCCTAACTCTGCCGAGCTCTATGTCTCTGGACGGCAACCTTGCTGCCACTCTGATTATGTTCTGAAGGTGATCTCTCCAGAGTGAGATCTCATGGACATGAGCGGCCGAGCTCTCAGCCTCACACCGACGGCCTCTGAGACTCTCCCCGGCCCGCGCTGCAGGCGGGCAGCACCGAGGGCGTGGTGCTCAGCGCCTCCCCCTCAGAAGCTCCAGGGTCTCCCTTCACTTGCAGCTCGGAGCACAGATGGCTCTTAACTTTGGCAAAGGGAGTCAAACTGCACAGCGACAGATTAGCTATAGTAACAGCGACGCGGGAGCATCTCCCGGGGTTCGTATCTTTCACATCGTTACTTCATCTCAACTTTCAACCTCCTCCCCCCGAGACAGACTATGGCGCCCTCATGTGCAGGTAAGGAAACTGAGGCCCAGGCTTTGGAGGACGGGCATCAGCACATGACCCCGAAGAAGCTACCGGACTATGAGACGGGGGGTGACGACGCCTGCAGCTCACCTAGTGTTTCACAGCTTGTGTTCCGGGAGCACTGCCCGCTGTCCCTGTCCAGGGAGGACAGCTGCTCGTCCGACCTGCTGAGCTTGCCGATGCTGCTGCAGGGGGACAGGCGGGGCGACTCTCCCCCATAGGAGTGGCTGCCTCCTGACAGGCGCCTCTGGGCGTAACAGTCTCCATCAAAATCCTCGCATGCAAGAATAAAACAAGAGTCACTTCTGAGAAAGGGTGGCAGGGAGGGGGGAGGGAACGGGAATGTTTACTTGGAGAAGAATCTACCGCCACCGGGAAAACCAACCGGTGGGAAAGGCCAGCTCTGAGGTAAGCAGCGCACCCGTGACTGCCAGCAAGCAGCCTCCAGGAATGCGGAGTGTGTGGGGGAGGGCCTGGGGCCAGTCTCCCCACCCCCAGCCCCCACCCTCATCCCGCAGAGAAACTTCCAGCGTCTGGGAGAGCCTGTGACTAAGGCGGGCGGAGGAGACGATCCCAGCCCAGAGCCGCTGGCCTTCCTCGCTGGGCTGCATTACCTGCCTATTGATTCCAACAGGCAGGCTGGAGCCACTGGTGGCTCGGCTCATGGGGGCCACGACGGCCACGCGGGTTGGGGATGGCGCCGACTGCCTCTTCTTCGGTGGCAATGCTGGCGGAGGACTGGAGCAAATCAAAAACTCCCGTCAGCCCACAGCCCAAACAACACTCTTTAAACAGATAGAAGGCAGAACATTCTTCATTATTAAGACACTGCACACCTACTTTTCACACTTTCAACTCCCCGCCCCACTCCCCTTCTGCCAAAACAAACCTATCAGACCTGCCAAAAAGCTGCAGCCAGAAAAGCCCTTTCTGTTGCTTTTGTGAGAAATTGGACTAGTTTTCTTAACTTGGCTCAGGCTAAAAGGCGAGCCGTGAGAGCTCCAGAGAGTGGGTGAGGGCGGGCGCTGGGGCTGGACCCGGCTTCCAGGAGGCCTGTCTGAGGAAGGTCCAACTTCCAAGGCTTCTAAAAGCAAGGAACTAACTTCTTTCACCTCATTCTACCCTTCCATTCACCGAATTAAGTCATTGACAGAGGAGAGTGCTAGGAAAATAGAAAAATACCTGTTATCAACCACCCGAATGCCAGGTAAGGGGGGCTTGGGGGGCGCGACCTCTTCATCAGTAGCATCTGGGAGCAGCTCGGTGGACTGTGACAGGCTAGTCGTCTTGTTCAGAATCTCCATCTCCCTGTCTGTCAGGGGGAGCTCAGACTGGCTGAGAATGGCAGAGAACTCGGGTTATGGAGATCACAGAGACACAGGTCCAAAGAGGGTCAGGATGTGACCAGGCTGCCAGATGGCTTGGAGGTGGGCTTGCAAGGGTGGTTTGATCACCAACAAACAACAGAGACCTGGCCAGGTCCCCCTGACTGCATCTTAGATTTCTTGTCTGTTAAAGAAATCCTTCAACAAGATGATCTAAAGGCTTTTAAAAATGCTCCACAGTTGTTCTGTGTCTGTACTAGGGGCTTGTAGTAGATAAAGCCAAATGCTAAACCCAACCTTCTTCCCAAAGTTCTTTCCAATCAGGAAACGATGGTCAAGAAACGCAAAGTGTGGAAATGGGGGGATGAGGACAAATATGTGATACCTTAATCAATAAAGAAATTAAAAAAGAAAAAGAAAGAAATGCAAACTGTGGGTCACTGGGCCGCTCACATACTATCCTTAGAAAGAGTCCCGTTGACCATTAACCTTGAGACCAGGAAATACTTCCAGGCATATGTGAACTGTACACACTTTAAATAATACAGGCACTTACTGGAACTCACTGGAAAAGGAATGTGGGCCTCAAACAACCTGCCTGACGTGGATGGCCCCAGCTGGCTCCCGTCTGAGAGCAGAGCCACCGCGAGTATGGGGCTGGAGGGCAGTCAGCACTTACCCCTCGGGCTTGCAGGCTGGGGAGCTGGGTTTCCCTGGGCTTGTTGGAGACGGATGCCCCTGCTTCTCGATGGTCAGTCTGACCAGCTCCTACACACAGAGGAGAAAGCAGTGAGGCGTGAGGACGGGTCCCCACTGCTGAGTCTGCACAGTTTGCACAACCAGCCTCTACTCCCGAGGCTCACATCTTTGTGCCTAGATTCCCCGCACACCATCAATGCAAGCGTCCTCTGACTTAGGTTATCTGCATGACTTCCCAAAATGTCCCCTCCCCTCCAAAAATAGCTTCGAGCATGTCGAGAAGTTTCAAAGGCATCAAGGTACTTCCTCTTGGAAGGGGGAAATGACAAACCCCACTGTCTCACAATGACTGGGTTCATGGCACAGTGTAATTCCCCTGGTGGGACAGATTCCAGTCCGTGTGTGGAAGCACCACTCCTCAGTTCTCTAAAGCTGTTCTGTCCTGTGCAGGGCGCTGCCACCCATGCCACACCTCTGGCTTCGGGGGAAGTGGTTTTGCACAGTGAGCTGGGTATGGGTGTGGCAGCAGCAGGTATACTGAGGTGACTGGCTGGGATCTTTGTCAATGGACAGCTAATCAAGGGCATACCACCTAGCAAAGAAATAACTTTAAAGGATACTTTTTAAAACAGAAAAGAAGGAGAAGCAGGAGAAGGGCAGGGGGAGGGACAGATGGCATCAGGTTCTACTTGTTTTTCCATTGGAATGCTCTGACGATCGCCTATACCCCGATAAGAACCATTCGGAACATACAGATCATTCCACCAACCGCTCCAGTCACTCTGCCTGACTCCACTTCTAACTTTTACTTCTCAGGTCCCTTTTGCCTAGAAGTTGGTGTAAATGGCATCACACAGAAAGTACTCTTTTGTGTCCAAATTTCTCTTTCTGAACAGCTTATGGGTACCTAACTCACGTGCCATACAATTCAGCCTTTTAGAATGGACAGCTCAGTGGTTTTTAGCCTGTTCGTGGAGTTGTGCAACTGTCAACACAATCCATTTTAGGACTCTTCATCACCTCAGAGGGAGACTGTGCCCATGACTGTCATCATTTCCGCAGCCCTCCCAAGCCCCGCACCCAGTCCCCTCTGCCCTGCTCTGCCTTCTGCTCAGTATGTAATACATTTCTGTGGCCACGATGAGTCTGTTCCTTCTTATTCCTGAATTATATTCCAAGGGTCACACAACCCCACAATTTCTGCATCCACTTTCTGGGGGAGGGACAGCCCAGCATGAACGTCTGGGTTAGAAGGCACAGCCGGAGGCAGCAGTGGGCACTGTGGGTAATAGAGCAACACGTCCCTAACTCACTTGCAACGTCTCTCCAAACTCAAAAATGCCACTCACAAGAATCGCAACCCACGTGATAAGGCAGAGAGGAAACATCCTTCCTAGAGCCAGAGTTTTTCCAGAACTGAATTAGAAAAAAGAAGTATCAAAGAAGAAGTTCACAAATGTCTACAGCCATGGTCAGTCATCATTAGAGTCTCCAGCTTCGATGGCACTAAAATAGGGCCTGGCAATGGCGTCATGCTTCGGACAGCCTGTGTAGAGGACAGCCTGTCAGTGGGTACCACACACCCTGAATGGCTGCATTATTTTTATAGTAATTTAGCCAAGGAAAATGTCACGGATGTGTGTGAAAATTAAAGCAGAAACAATGGTCAGCACCGCATCATATGTAACAGATGCAATTAGACTGCTCCATCTTCCATAATTAAATGTTCAATACTAGGCACTGACTACGTAAGTAAGGATAGAACTGAACGACGGGCCGTTAGCTTGCCTTTAAAAACCATCTCACCACAAGAGCGTGTGACACGGAAAGACAGGAATACACCGTTTTTGTTTCTCCGCTTGTTCTAACTTTTCTGCAGTGAGCCTGTGTCACAGGCATTCCTGCCGGAATACTAACTGAAAACGTCAGTGTACACAGGCAGACCCATGGCCCCAGACCCGTGTCCCCCGCTCGGTGAAGTGATGCTTGTTCTCAGAGACACGCAGGACCTGAGATCTCTGCGAACCAGCACTGGACGAAGAAAGAATTACTATTTTCCTGTTATCACAACTTGAAGCTAAATGAAATCTCACAAATGCATAAGAAAGAGCTCCTTGGCTGGGATTACTGACGATGGAGAAGCAAGACTCTGTCATTAGGAGAGCAGGCAAGTGGAGGGAAGGCTGCGGCCAGGGCCTGGGGAGGAAGGGAAAGCAGCTTGTCCCCAGGCCACACCGAAGAGCAGTGTGGCAACAGGGGGAGCCAGAGGCCAGTCCACAATACGTGGACACCCCACATTCATGATTTATGAGCAGGGCAAGGGGAACAGAGAGAAGCCTGCGTACTTGTAGCTGCTGACGTAGGAAAAATTCCACACATTCTTCACTGAATCATGAGCAATTATAATTAGAATGTCATCTTTCTGGAGAAGCAGCTGGATGAACTCAACTAACGAACGCTGGAAAAAGCATCACGGGAGTGACAGGCAGACATGTGCGAGCACGCACCGCGTTCCAGACGACATGGCTGTGGAGGAGGCAGCGGCTTTGTGTTCCTCCTGTCGTTGGCCTGGGCAGGAGTGGAGTGAGGGGCAGCTTTCTTTTAAAACATGTTTTATTGATTTTTTACAGAGAGGAAGGGAGAGGGATGGAGAGCTGGAAACATCAATGAGAGAGAAACATTGATCAGCTGCTTTCTACACACCTCCCACTGGGGAAGTGCCTGCAACCAAGGTACATGCCCTTGACTGGAATCGAACCTGAGACCCTTCAGTCCACAGGCTGACGCTCTGTCCACTGAACCAAACCGGTCAGGGCCAGAATGATATTTTAACCACCTCAGTTCCTCAGACCAGAGGATGCCTGGACACACTCACTGCTCTGATATCTAGTAAATAGAGGGAAGAATGAAGCATTGATCCTGGCTTTCCTGAGAACTGTGACTCAGAATAACCACTCACTGACAAGGGGAAGTCTCTCTGTCACAGAAAGAGTGACAGAAAGGAGGAGGATGGCACCCCTTGGCAACCCCTAGTGAATTAATGGGCCCAGGCAATCACCACCAACAGCTATGAACATCAAAAAGAACAGGTGCCTCTTAATGCAAGCCCAAGGCATCACCTACGAAGCATTCTCCGATACAAAAACAACAACCAGGCTGATCCTCCATGTCCAGGTGGCAGCCCGGCTGGGTCCATCCCCCCCTCCCAACTCCTTCAATTCTGAGTCTCTACCTCCGTAATGAGTCCCGCTCATTACTGGGGAATAAACTTTACTTTAAAACTAAAAACAAACAAACAAACAAAAAACAAACCAACAACAACCAAACCCGAGTCCGCCTCGGATTCACAGGAAACTCAAGGGGCAGAGGCGCACAGTGGACAATACTGAGCCAATGGAATCAGTGAGGTACAGAATGTAGGGGGCTTTTAGGAGCAATAACGCTTGCTAAAAACACTAGTAAGTTGCAAGGAGAAAACTACAGAGGAGAAACTACAGACATCCTATACAATAAAAGGGTAATATGCAAATTGACCCCAAGGCCAGGAACGACCGGTCACTATGATGCACACTGACCACCAGGGGGCAGATGCTCAATGCAGGAGCTGCTCCCTGGTGGTCAGTGCGCTCCCTCAGGGGGAACTCCACTTGGCCACAGCCAGGCTGATGGCCGTGAGCTGTGAGTGCAGCGCTGGTGGCGGGAGCCTCTCCTGCCTCCTCAGCAGCGCTGAAGTAGTTTAACTGCAGATTAGGCCACAGCTGGACATCTCCCAAGGGCTCCCGGGCTTCCAGAGGGATGTCTGACTGCCAGCTTGGGCCTGCTCCTCGGGAAATCAGGCCTAAGCCAGCAGGTGGACATCCCCCAGGGGTCACAGACTGTGAGAAGGTACAGGCCAGGCTGAGGGACCCCCATCCTGCTCCCTCGTACACAAATTTTCATGCATCGGACCTCTAGTATATTATATGAATGAACTGTGGTGTGAATTTCCCTTGGATCCTAAATTGAAAAACTGTTTAAAAGCAGCCAACTACACCCCGAAGGCCAAATCCAGCCCCGGCCTTGCTTTTTTAGAAGGCCCTCAAGGTAAGAATGCTTTATTAAAGAAAATTAAAATATAAAGCAAAAAACATTCAATGGAGACTATACATATACGTTCTTTCAAAAACACTCCTGGCACATAAAGTAAATCTGGTGCACAAGCCCAATTTTGGGTAGTGACGGAACGGCAGGCATTCCAAAGCGCCCTCTCCGAGGTCCTCAGTATGAGGCTTTAAAAATAAATAATAATAATAATGCTGTGTGAATGGGGGGCCAGGGAACGTCTCAGGTCTGTGGAGGATGAGCCATTGGTACATCACATGCTACCAGGTCTTTACTGACTCTAACTACAAAAAGCTTCCCACCACACAGGCCAATTCCTGCTCCTGCTTCGGGCTTTCAGTCGGCCTGCCTCTCCGGGGTAAGTGTCTGAGCATCCTGAGAAAGGAAGCTCACCTCTACAGGCAGGCCACACCCAGGCCACTTCTTCTTTCCAATACCAGCCCTGGTTATAACGACAGGACGACAGTCATTGTTTGCTGTCCTCTCCCCCTGCAAACTGCAAGCTCTGTCAGGTCTGGGACTGTGAGTTTTGCTTGTCGCTATATTCCCAGCTCCATCACACTACCGGGCACACAGGGAGTTCTTAATAAATGTTTCTTGAATAAATGAAACAAAACTGAATTTATATAGCACCTCACCTATAAAATATCTGTTCTTTTCAAGCCAAGAGTTCTGTTTAGGCATCTACAATATCTCGCACCACATAATTAATAGTCAACAGCAGTTAAGGTCTGAGTGCTTAATATGTGACAATAATGCCCTAAGAGCTTTGCTTGCAGTAACTAAAGTAAACCCTCTTACCCACTGTGACCCATGGCATATCAGCAGACCTCGTTTACAGGTGAGTTAACCCGGTACAGAGAACTCGCGTCCACTGCTCACATTCACACACTAGTTAGTGGGGAACCTGGGCTCCAAATGTGGCCAGACCCCAGCTACACTCCTTCCCACAGTGTTCGACGGTCTCACAGAACAGCAGGCCTCCACCCCACTGCTCACAGCCAGGCCTCACCGCCAGGCCCTCCCCCTACATCCGAGGACGCATTTTTTCAACAATTCCATTCCCCGTGGCCTCTGCTCCCACCTTAATCAGAATCCAGAGTGCCCTAGGATGCTGTTTCTGACCTCCCTGGTTCTCAGTTTGAAAAAGCATATTAATAAATGTTTATTAATGACCTCAGTAGGTTCTCAGACCACATCATGGACTCCAAAAACAGAGTTTCATTTCCGATGCATCTCAATCCTGCTTTTCTACACGGGATCCCAGGAGTGTTTAGGACATGAAAGGGAAGCGACTGACATGCTGGGAGTCTCGCTAAAAGTCAATGCAAACCCATTTGCACTGCGTTCTGTCTGGCTGGGAGGCATGCACAGCCAGAGCTTTCACAGAAAGCCTCACTGAAGACTTAATCCAACGCTCGGTGAAGGCTGCTTGCTCTAGCAGCTTTTCCCACCATGGAGATGAGTAATCTAAAGGAGAATGAGCCATTGGTGCATCACATGCTACCAGACACAGCACACCGACACCAGGGACGCCGGGAGACATTCCTCTGATACACGAGGTTTAGGGACAAGTGCTTCTGTGATGAACACCCAACAAGGAGGCTGTTCCAGGTCCCCGACCAGGACCGCCTGGCACCGGCCATACCTTCACTCCGTCCAGCACAGCTTTGATGACCCCCTTCACCGTTGTCACCATCTCTTTATCGTCGGAGTTCACACCTTCTAGCATCACTTGGTCTGACCAGCGAATGAGGTTGGCGAGACTTTGGTACACTCGACTATAGCAGGACGAGAGGGCCGAGCTAGAAGGCAGAGAAGATTTTTTAAAAAGAGGAAGAATCTAAAGCCTGAGATCTCTATAAGAAAGCCATTAGGACAGAGTCTGGCTGTCAGGGTACAACCCACACCTCCCTTGACGAACAAACTTTTCCTCCCTGAACCCATCTCTTTCAGCCAAAGAAAACTTGGGGAGTGTTATCTTCTAGTCTGTTATATGTATTTTTCACTTTCCAAATATAATACATAAAGATTCCATTGCGATCAGTAATATGCCTTTTCAAACTTTACAGCCTCCATGAGATTCTGACACTGTCCCTCAGGGATGCCCCCCCCCCCCCCCCGCTGCTCATCACCAACAGGGCCAAAGCGCCACACTCGTCTTGTTGTCTTGTGTCCTGTTTGGAATCAGACTTAATTTCAGGTCAGGGGTGTTGCAAGGAGCACAGGCTTGTGGGATTTGAGCAGGCAGGGTCCTTTAAGAAAACAGCCTTTAAACACCAAGTCCAAACAGATCTATAACTGACCAGAATCCCCCTGCACTACCCGGGCTGCGACGCAGAGGCATGCACTAGTGAAGAGCATTTCAAGAAAGACAAATCTGCCCGGCCCACGGGGCTCGGTGGTTGAGCTTTGACCTATGAACCAGGAAGTCACCGTTCAATTCCGGTCAGGGCACATGTATGGGTTGCGGGCTCGGTCCCCGTGAGGGGCGTGCAGGAGGAGCCAATAGACGATTGCCTCTCCTCATTGATGTTTCTCTCTCTCTCTCCCCCTCTCCCTTCCTCTCTAAAATCAATAAAAACATATTAAAAAAAAAAAAAAAAAAGACAAATCTGAGGTGAGGAGACCTGTGGGGGACACCGTGAGGTCCCCCCACAGAAGCTCTGTATCGCTGGCTGCCTCAACGACTATACAGTGGAGGCCAAACTGAAGAATTTCTACATCTCCCACGTATTTTATATCAGACTGTTTGCTGTGCCTCCCAGAAAAGAAAACTGCACTTCCTGGCCCGGTTCTGGAGCAGCTCAGGACAGACCGTCTCGGGGCCCACCCACGCTGTGCTGGGAGGACTGAGACCCAGACGTGCCTCTGGGCAGGGACCAGGGAGGAGAGCCAGCGCAGGCAGCCACCGCCTCTCAAGAGCCCCTGCTGGCCCTCCACTTACCACACATTTAACGCGGCTTTGCTCCCCCTGCTCAACGGCAAACACGGGTCAGGCGGCTGGCTAACCTCCCAGAGGAAAGCGCACTCCACAGGAAAGCATCGCCCACAGAAGCCGCTGGGCCCAGATTCCCCCCACCCCGCCCCGCCCCTCTCCGGCTCCCAGGCCGGCGTGCCGTCTGCGAGATCCTAGCTTGCCTCGGTGAAGTGTCTCGCTAAGCCATGCTCTAATGGCTCTGCCTTTTGTGTCTCCTCTGAGCAGCTGAGGCTCTCCCAGGCTGGACGCTGACAGACTTAATGCCATAATGCACTACATTACCCTGGGGTGCCGGAGAGGCGGTCCAAATCCATGTGATTACTGCCAATGAGCTAATACAAAACGACCAGGCTGCCCGGCTGTCCTGTCCCTAGTGACGGCAGAGCTCTTCCCCCTGTGCGGTCTCCTGAGAACAGCGACCTCAGCCTTGGGAGAGCATGGAGCCACACCGAGGGGCAGGGAGCGGGTGCCTTCCCCCACCCCCCCAGAAGCCTTAGTGTGAAGCTCCCCAAACCAAGATGCCTCAAGGCCTCCACGGCTCAGGCACAGCCGAGGGCTTCAGAGCAACTCACCTTTGCTGGCTGTGAGGGTCGTTCTGCACCAGCGGGAGGATGGCCTCCAGCACCTTGCTGGCCGACCCGGGGAGCATCTCCAGCACCTTCTTGTCAATGGCCATTTTGTCCACAATGGTCTTAAAGTAGCGCAAGGCACTGACAACCTCCTTCTCCTTCTCTTCCGGCCAGCTCAGGTTCTGAAAGGAAATGTTAAGCATAAGGAAGGAGGAGAGAGATTAAAGGGAGCTATTTAATAAAAAGTAAAATAAAATTTCCTGTAAGCTATCTTGAGATTGATGCAAACAGAAAAAGGCTTCTTGCTGCAGCAGCCAAGCCCATTAGCGTTCTAAGCACTGCGATCAGGATACAGAGGCTAGACGTGAGGGAAGAAGAGGGGGCTGGGACCAAGAGGGCTGTGGAGAGACTCCTGAATCCCCTTCCCGGAAGAGACTGCTGGCCTGAGGTCTCCTCCGCCACCTGAGACAGCACCACTGACCTCATGAAGTGCAGCGAGGACTGACTGGCTGACGCTATAGGATCGCAGAGAACGGACAGCCTCGTCCCCGGGCACTTATCTACCCAGCAAATCTAATCGCGACACCCAGGCCTTTCAAGGTCCCGGGCTGTGTAAGGCTGGTTGGAAGCATTGTGCTCACACCACACCCATTCTCCCAGAACGCCTCACAGATTCCTACATTCACCCAGGGACGCAGCCCCTCTCAGAGAAGTGGCGGGGCTCTCCGAAGGACCTGGAGACCCGGGGTCAGAGGGGTGGAGCTCGTGGTGAAAATGTGAAAAAGCGGGAGCACACAGACATGACCCCATCGCTGCTGGAGAAAACAGGACGAGAAAACAGCCCTGCGCCTCCCCCTGGACTGCGGGGTGCGCGCACACCCGTGATTCCTTTCTCTGACCAGCCCCAACGTCAGTGACCCCGGGCCCAGCCGCCTGGCAGGGGAAGGAAAATCAAGGGTGACCTACAAAACAGACAAATTCCCAAACGGATCATCTACTCAAGTAGAACTGATGACACGTCAATGCAAATGAAGAGTGGCCTGTATGAGGAGACACATCTGTGGCCTCTGAGCTCCGGGGAAGACAGAAAGAAAAGCAACTGTGGGCAAGAGGGTTAATTTCTAGAAAAAGTTGATTTCAATAATCTGTAAACATGTAATTAAATAATATATACTAAAAAGTGATTATGACTGACTGCCTCTTTTCCTCTAAAATGATGGAGAATGTCATTTCAAATTAAAAAAATTCAATAGTGGAGGCACTTATTTAATGGGAATATCAACAGAAAAACATAAATGGGATCAAGAAGTAAATAGTGCCTTTAGTCAGACAGTTTTCAAAGGTCTGATTTCATGTCTCTCAGTGGGTCCTTCCCCAGGCATTCTGTGGACACGAAGACAGATTCTCCCTGGGGTGAGGGGAGCACCCCGAGTCCCATCACCTAGCCTCTTTCTCCATGCCCCTTTCACTACCAACATGCCAGCTTAGGTACTGCCTCTTCCAGAGGCCGGGCACTGGCTTCCCTACCTCAGGACCAGAGCTTCCTGCTTCACCGCCCCTATCAGGGCGGAGGAACCCGCGTGTGAGGAATCAAGGAGCCCGGGGACACCCAATGTGCTGGGATCATAGCCGGCCAGCCTCGCTGCCTGACCACAGCACGGCCATCTCAGAGCAGGCTGGGGAGGGGCCAGCCACAATGAAATGTGCGGAGGAGGCAGGAGACACTGCAAGAGGTTTGCTGGGGAGAGTGGGCTGACCTGCAGCCAGGAGCCATCCAAAAGGGGCGAGGCGCTCCAGCGCAAAAAGAACTTCCCCGTCCTTTGTAGGGAGATCAAATGAGCTCCAAAGAGCCAGCACCCTGGGCTCCTAATGAAGGAGTGACAACTTAGCAGACTCAGGGTTCCTCCATTAACTGCCTGGCAAACTCCACTCCCAGATGGAAGGCCTCTGAGCACTGCGTTCTCCTAGCCCTGCAGCTGTCAACTGGCTTCTGGCGAAAAGCAGTCAGTCCGGGAGTGCCAATGGGACTCTCGGTGACACTCCCTGCCAGCAGGACCCTGAGGCGTGGCTCTGCTGGAGCTGCCCTGCCCAGAGCCTCCGCAGTCCCTGCTATGGGGGATGGGCACCACCACTGCCCAACAAGCCTGGCACCTACAGGAGGGCAGCGGTGCTGTGGAGGGCCTAGATGCGAAGCCACCAGCAGGCTCCAGGCTCCTGACCCGCACAAGGGGAAGAATTCCTGCCCAGGGGATCAAACGAGGTTGGTGTGGGGACCAAATGAGAACACAGATGGAAGATATTTCATAACATTTAAGGGAAAAACAAATCTGATGGGGGAAAACTTGGGCCAGACTCCCAACTTTCTGTATATTAGGAATAATTAAAGCGCTCGCACATGGTTATGGTGAGAAGTAAACAAGACAGCACGTGAAATCACCCAGGACAGAGGTCGTCAGGCAGCTGCAGATGAGTCTGAGTGTATGTATCAACCCCGAGCTGCAACTTGCCATGTATTTAAACAGGAAAGCCATGCATATAAACTGCAATAACAAGGCAATGTATATGAAAATAGTCCCTAAGCACTGAGAGCTAATAAGTAATAAATAATTAATGTAGTAAATGACAGGCTTATTGGAAGATTTCTCTGGCGGCCTTCCAAGCTCACACACGGTGGCAGCTTCCCCAACACACCCAGTCCTGTCTTACACACACATTCGTACTGGCTCATGCAGGTGACCTGGGGCAGAGCACAGCAGTAACTCGGCCCTTCTTAAGGGCGGCCATCAAAAGCTGGGAAAGATCACAGTTCATCTCCCCGCTACCGAACAGGGTTTCCCGGCTGCGCTCCAGGGGCATCCTGAGGTGGGTGATCTTTGTCTGGGAGCGGGGGAGGGGGGGGGCTGTGCATTGTGGGATGTTTATCAGCATCCCGGGCCTCTTCCCACCAGATCCTGTAGCTCCTGCTTCGCTTTCCTAGTTGTGACAACCAAACACGTCTCCAAACATTGCCCAATGTTCCCTGGAGTTTACAGGAAGCCCCGCTAAGTAAAGGGCGCTTTAGCGTGCAATCTCCTCCCCCCTTCCTCCCCCTTCCCGCTCCCCCGTGACCTCTCTTGGAATAAGGAAGAAAGGAGAGGGAATTCCAAGAACTGAGGGACTGAAACAGTGTCTTATCGGAGCTCAGTGGGAGAACACAGTTGTGAGTAAATCGTTCTGCCCTGTGCTGCCTGGACCAGGGTTAGACCACACTAACACTCTGCCTGGACTTCAGAAGAAACTCTGAGGCTGGAAGAGGCTGCTAAACAGAGCATCAGAAGTAACTGCAGTGCAGACCAAATCTACTTCTTACTCTTCTTCAATCTGGAGTTTGGATCAATCTGGCAAACATTCAACATGTCAAGCTTTCTCTTCAGCCTCCTGCTGTTAACAGATGGGGCAGGAAAAAGGGTTCTTCAACAAAAGACTTAGATTTAAGTCCTTTATTTCTTCCTCTTTTAACTAGGATTTTAAGGTATTTTGCTGAACATCAAAACAAAAATAGGTGCACTAGCAAATTCAAGAATGACGTGTTTATATGGCAGGGCGGGGCTTTGCCAGTGGCGCTGCACTGGCGATGGCTGTGACCACAGCTCTATAAACGAGGCTCTATAAACGAGCCTTGTCCACAAGGCTCGTTTTTAGTTCGCATTGCTAAACTTAAATTGTTTTATGTTTAGTTATGTGTGGGTGAACATTTAGGTTTGGGATATATTAAAAAATAAACTCTGGCTTCCATAAACAGAAAATGTGGCCCCGCGAGTTTCGTGATGTCAGACAACCTTGTCCAAATCTCAGCTTCACCACCCTCCCTGTGCGCCTCCTGCCAAACGTGTAATATCGCTGCAGCCTCAGTTTCCTTTTCTGCAAAGTGAGTCTCCACCTCCCCGGGTTGTTATGAGGGTTAAGCGGGAGAACGAGTAGGAAGCATGGGGCTAAGGAAAGGCTGACAAATGTCTGGCCCAAAGCAGCCCTGGCTCTGAGCGCGCTTGGGTCTGTGGGTACCTCACCAGTCTGATGGCACATTCACCTAAGACACCCTTCCCTTCCTTCGAGATTCAGATCATCTTAGCGACCCAAGGAAGGAACAGCTGAGCTCGACACGTAGATCACTCACTTCCTCCAGAACCCGCCGGGCCCAAGCAGCACCCCCAAACCAACCCCAGAGAGGCTCCCCGAGCTATCGCCATGGAGGTCCGCACTCTCTCCAAAGACCAGGGGGCTTGGATAGACTTACTTTACCCAAGCTCCCTTGGACTGTTTTCTGAACAATGAGGCCCACAGTTGCCACCCAACTGAACACAGTGATACTGCAATAGTTGTTTTCCATCCCCAAGACCACGGGCCAGGATTCTGCAGTAGAAGGCAAGGCAAACCCAATGTTCTTAACATCGCACTGACCTTCTGCCTTTGAGACCTGGAAGCCACAGCACTGGTGGACATAAATTCTACTGCCTGCTGCTCCAGATCCAAGGGGAGAGGGTAGCCCTCTGGCAGAAATCTGTCTGTTGCCTCCTGGAAGAGAGGAAACCTGGATTCCTACAGAGCTTGAAATGGCCGTTTTAGGCTGAGGAAGGGGTTGTGAGATCAACAGCTACGTCAACACATCTGCTGTCTGCCCTGCAGAGATGACTAGTGCCTGAGGACACCTTTGATTTCAAGGATTTTACATGTCTCAGAGCATGGATGTTCTGGACATCACCAACGTCCCCAAGTGCGTGCCCACGCCTAGGACTCTCTAGGGCAGGGAGGCAGCACCTTGGATGTGAACATGATGTGCTGAGCTGTTTTCAGTGCCCAGAGGATGGCACACTTGGAAAAAGAGAACTGTTCTAGCCAGCTGAGCTTGACTCTCATTAACATGAGAAACACTCACCACTCTACAGGCTCACATGTCACAAGAACACGGGCGGCCCCGCCTGCACATGGAATACTACGGAGCGGGTGTCTGTACTGAGAGCTCAATCCCCAGGGAACGGATGTGCAGGAAGCACACACTCACTGCTCGAAGCAGGAGTGGTGCCGAGAGGCAGCTTACTTTGCTCACAGGCTTCTCCCGAGTCTTCACAGACACGTCAGCCGGCTTTCCCTTCTTGGACGGCGTTCTCTTGATCTTGGGCGAGTGGAATTTGTCCATCAGCTTCATGGTGAAAGAGGAGAGATGAGAACGCTGGGAGTCTGGAAACAAAGAGGGTGCCAACTGTTAGAGGCAGGTGGGAACTTCACGCACCTTTCGTGGACATGAGCATCGTCTCAACGCGAACCTTTCCCCAGCAGTTCAGAGCTACAAAGGAGAGGAAATAGGGACTCCTTAAGACATTTCTGGCCGAGACCAGTTTGGCTTAATGGATAGAGCGTCGGCCTGGGGACTGAAAGGTCCCGGGTTCGATTCCGGTCAAGGGCATGTATCTTGGTTGCGGGCATATCCCCAGTAGGGGGTGTGCAAGAGGCGGCTGATTGATGACTCTCTCTCATCGATGTTTCTAGCTCTCTATCTCTCTCCCTTCCTCTCTGTACAAAATCAATAAAATATATTTTTAAAAAAAAAGACATTTCTGATAACATGTTTCGAGATTTGCAATTTCCGTCTCTAGGGTAGGATGTTTAGATCTGTGGGAGTCAAAGTCAGTCTAAATAAGTAGGGAAAAAGAATTGGCAAATATTCCCAAGTGTCCTTATGGAGTCTGTACGATGATCTAACCAAAGTCCGAGCGAGCTGGCCAAGGAGAATGAACACCAAAGCAGACTCACAAAAATACAGGATGCGTGAACTAGAGAGAAAGGACTTTCGAATCAACCTCTCCCCTCACCCTTTGGTTCAGAAGCTGCAACAAGTGATAGGGACAAGGCCTCAGAGTTGGCAGTGAGGCTGAAATAGAACAATGTTTAGTAGTTTTCAAACTGAAAACTACTAAACATTGTTGAAAAACATTAGAGACAATCTAAATAAAAGGAAAGACAGTCCATGTTCATAATCCAAAATACTTAATATGGTTAAAATGCCAAACACCGCAAATTAACCTACAGATTCAATGTAATCCTTATTAGAAACCCAGCTGGCTATTTTTGGGGGGAGGGGAAAGTGGGGGACAGAAACTGACAATCTAATCCTAATTTTAATATGGAAATACAGGGGTCTCAGAATAGTCAAAACAATCTGGGAAAAGAAGAATAAAGTTAGAGGATTCACACTTCCTGATGTTAATACTACTACGAAGTTAGAGAAATGAAGACAGCATGGTACTTTCATGAGCAGAGGCATATAGAACAACAGAAAGAATTGAGAATGCAGAAATAATCTCATGTGTCTATGGCCAATTGATTATTTATAAGGATGTCAACACCACACAATAAGGGAATCAATATTCTTTTAACAAATGGTGGTAGGACAACTGGACATTCACATACAAAAGAATGAATTTGGGCCCTTCATACCGTACACAAAAGTGAACTCAAAATTAGAACTAAAGACTAAATTAAGATTTAAAACTATAAACTCTTAGAAGAAAACATAGGGATTCAAAGGAAGTACACTGAGGTGGTGTGATTTCTCCAGCTCCCCTCTGCCCTGTTCTTCTCCCCCTCCCCCCAGCAGGGTGGGGCCTCTATACAGTTTATACCACTTCCTTCTTTACACTTCAAAATGAGGTGACTGATCTAATCTCTAAAGCGCTGGTTAAAGGGGTCAGCTTTGTAGGCACAATGTTTGGATTAAAATGGTTCAAAGTCACTTCTCTAAGTCGGAAGTTTCCTTGTCTGGAAAATGGTACTGATAACACTGTTCTTGAGATGGCTAATGTGATGCAGATTGAAGAGAGGCTGCCAGTAGACACGGCCAGGCACCTGCTCAGTGCAGGGAGCTAACCTAACTACACGGTTTGGGTGAGTAGCAAGGCTGATGGAGCTCTGAGCACCGATTTACCAACTGCCTGCAGAAGTTGCATCAGGCTATGCTACCGTCCGAGGAATGGAGGGCCTTACAATGCCGTCCTCTTCTGCCAGCACTGACCCGAGGTCTCATCGGCCTTCACCTGTTCATCTGTTTCCCTCTCTGTCCCTCCCCCGCACTGTGCCCATTGCACTCCTCCTGATGCTGGTCTCAGCAACCTGCAGTCATAGCACATCCTTCTCTAGGCAGGTTCCAAGTCAGATGGGAGGTTAGAGCAATGTACTAACCTGTGACTTCCACCCTGGCAAGTAAGACTGAAAGCAGGGCAAAACACCACCCACAAATGGGGAAGTCTAGGCAGGATGCACAATTTCTCTGGTGTGCTTTGGTGTCAAAGGTCTTCAGAGACATGGGCTGGGTGAGCCAACTCGCACCTCCTCCAGCCTGCTACCCTGAGTTGCTATATGGGCAGGCATGGGGCTGAGGTGCTGGCCAGATTCACATCTGTGCCATCATAACTGCCATCACAACCAAGGGCGAACTCGGGTAGGCAAGCAAGGCATGGAGGGCCCAAAAATACCTCTCAGGTTCCGCCTGCACCTGCAGGGCTGGTCCTGATCACCACTGAGGACCAACTAAGGGCATCTCCCCCCGAGAGCAAACTGAACCCAGAGTCAGCACTCCCTCTGCCCTGCCAGCTGCAGCCCCAAGTTCTGTCTTAGGAACAGCTGAGAATCAACATTAGCATATAAATAAAATGCTGGATCTACCAACAAATCTCTCCTCGGAGTACGTAACAGCCCCAAACAGCCAGCTGTAGAACATGACATGACATGACATGACATGACATGACATGACATGACACCCCAAGTGGAGAAAGTAGGTTCTCGGTAATGACACCAACCTCCACAGCTCTGGAAATCAAGGACAGCACGAACCTCGGCAGATTCTAACTTGGAGGCTGCTTGTCACCTTTTTCTTGAAATAATGGGTTAGCAACATAGGTTACAGGTGACCTTGCAAGGTCATTCAAGCGGTGCCTCCGAGAGCTCATAAAGCACAATGACCGGGGACAGCAGGTGGAAGAAAGCACCGGGGGTAGCTCTCTCAGGATTACCTTGCACACACAAACACACACACACACAGCCTGCCCCTCCTCTCACGCCCCTCACGCACATCAGTCACGTGAGGCAGGGCTGCAGTGTGCCAGGTAAGCCTCACCGACCACTCTCCTATTATCCCACTCCTTCCTTAGGAAGTTACACTGCAGATTCTGTGTATGCGTGTCTTTGAAAACAAAATTTTGGAAGATTTCATACATACATATGCAGATGCTCCTTGACTCAGGACTGGGTTACATCCCAATAAACCCAACAACAGGCACCCAGGGTTCTGACTTCTGAGCTTATCCCTTACTTTTTGTGACAGTTTCTCTCTAAGCTCAGCTTCATGTGTAAGCCTGTGAGCTTCGTATACATGGCAGCAGACTGTAAATTTTCTTATGCTCCTGTGTTTCATTCTACAGCACGTCTGACAACTGCCCTGTGGAAGCAGAGGGAAATGCTTTCGTTCGTGGTGCTGTGGTGTGCCGTGTCCCATAAGACCCGCTTTACTGATCCGCTCTCCTGCCAGCGGGCAAGTGTTTCCAACTTTTAGCAAGGTGCCAGTGCCTCCACACCCACCAACACGTGGCACTGCCAGATTCGCACACTTCTCTATGGCCACGCTAACCAAAGCAAACGGAAGCCCCTTCACAGGAAAATGCCACAAGCCGGCGTCTCATTGTGACCTATCAGATCTGAGAGCGACGTGAAAGGTCACTGACAGAGCTTAAGAAAACGAAGCCCGGACTCACTCAGTGGCATTCACACCTCTGAAGGTCCTGAGCTCCCAATGACTAATCATCTGCCACTCATTTCTTCCAGAGAAAATGGCTGTGAGATCTTCATTTCCTGGGGCGACCATCCCAGGCCTTCAGATGAATGTCCTCCTCTGCCAGAGAGGAGAATGGCTGGAGGTGGGGGGAGATATTAGCTCACAGAATCAGGTCTCAACCAGAACCACACCAAAGCTAACCAAGTCCGCCCCAAGTAGATTGCCAGGTGTTAGGGTTTCATTCGTACGTTTTCAGCTTGCCCCTTGGCCAGGCTTCACAACCATCCCTACCCACGGCTGACAAATGTGCACATCAACTGGCCTTTCAGATGTCACTTGTGGCAGCAGCTGGGATCCCAACTTAGCAGTGGTTTCTGTTGGGGCTCAATTTCACCCTGGATGGGGGCGGGGGGTCAGGGTCACGGTGGACAACACTCTGTGGCAGTGCCCATCTTGATAAACGCCACACTGTCATTCCTCGTCTCCCACACATCCCGGGCGCAGAGGTGCGGCAAAGCTGGCAAGGACTCCAGCTCTCCCACTATCCTAACCCATACCCACTCTCTCAAACGCATAAAAGGACAACCGGAGCGCAGAAGTGACCTGAAGACATTAGAAAGGACCTTTTGAAACATAAGGATTTCAGATTTTCACTCACCTAGAATTTGCAGACTCATGTAAAGACAGAAACGAGAGGAGGGCTGAAATGGGTCATGGGCGTGGCAGGCGGCACGCGGGCAGTCTGTGTTCTAGCCTGAGCTCAGCCACACACTTGGACACCCGCTCTGCCTTTCTGAGCCGCAGGTCCCTCATCCACAGAACAAGGTAACCTCAGGACCCAGGAGGACTCGCGGTGGTCCTGTATGTGAAGCACTCAGCCAGGGACCTGATGTAGGAAATGCTCAATAAATAGCAGCCACTGCTGGTATCTGATGACACCGCCAGGCTTCTGCCAACACTTAATAAGGCAAAAGCTAAAAATACTCCCGGCTGAGAAGGAAAGCAACCTGATGTTTCATTTCCCCCAACAACTTCCATATTAAAAAGCCGGTCTTACTCAACATGGAGCCACTCATGTTGACACAGAAGGAAAATAGCTGGAGTTTTGCAACACCCAAGGCTCTTCCTCCTGACCTGAAAACCCGTTCCCGTTATCCGTTTGCTCAGGAAGTCTCCTGAGGAACTACGCCATCGCTGTGGGTGCTGATGGGAACACGAAGTGTATCTCCCTCCCTTTCAGCAACAAATGTAAAACAGCCTCATTATAAAAATTCAAGCCCTACGAAAACACATAACATGGAAAGTGGAAAGCCGCAGTATTTCCCCCCTTACCAACACGCTGCAGGCATGCCTCCTGTGCGCGCAGGGAGGGCTGAGTGATGTCCGCCGAAAGGCAGCCCACACACATCACACC